GAGAAACAAACATTCTACCCTTTATAACTATCAGGTAATCATGAAGAATGTAACTATAATTCTTTCCCTAGCAATAAAATATTCATTTATCTACAGGTACTATAACAATATTTATACATTAAAAATGTTTAGAAAATCATATCTTTCATTTGAAAGGTTGACTCTCATATATATATTTTTTAAAAACATTTTTCCATGCAAACTTGAATTGATACTTTATACAACTGTAATTAAAGTCAACCTAAGGAGACTGTAATGAAATATGTTCAATTACCAGTTCAACTGGCTTGAGTTATGTTTCACGATATTACATGCTGAGACAAAGTTTGGCTTAATATAAAATTACATTCAAGAAGTTGATAAACTGATATAATTGAATTGGTAAATGGAATTACATCTTTATAATTATCTGAGTTGCACGTTTTTATGTACACATATGATAACAAAATGATGCAGAAAACAATGACAATAATACAAAACAATGAAACATTTCAATACTATTCTGCAAACAATGTATGTACCAGATGAGAATACATTATATATACTTTTTCTTTTAATATTTACAAATGAAATAGATATTATATACACTGGAAACAATATGATACTATTACTGTAACAATGCGCACAAAATAGAAAACTAAAAGCAATGGGTGAGGGTATGTATCAACTGGTTTCCAGATCATGTGCCACCTGTTCATGAATGGAGAAATTAAATATCAGCCAATGAAATACTATACAGAGGGGTATTCTCGCCCCATGTTATTTTCGCCCTTTCACACTAAGAAAATATTTTGACCAATTTTAGATTTGCCCATTTACAATTCTTTGTAAGAAATTATACTGTTTTTTTTATATTAGCCCTGTTTTCAATTCGCCCTCCTGTGAGTAGGGCGAATGGGGCAAAAATAAAACAGAATTGAAAATTTCACTGTATACAGTAACTTCTGCTTAAGGTTTGATCTCAATTCCTTATGTTCTTACAATAAACAATGAAACTATTCTCATTCAAAAATATTCAGAAAGTAAACTCTATAATGGAAAGTGTATATTTAAGGTTTATATCATTAATAACAAGAGGCCCGAGGGCCACATCGCTCACCTGAGAAGCTTTAACCATTCTGTTCTTTACTAGATTTCCCCCCTTGTAATACATATTGTGACCCCACCCTACTCCAATTTAGACAATTTGAAATCTACACTACCCTAGGATGCTTCCACATAAATTTCAGCTTTTCTGGCCTTGTGGTTCTTGAGAAGATTTTCAAAGATTTTTCCTATATGTATTTCTATGTAAAAATTTGATTACCCATTGTGGCCCCGCCCTACATCCGGGGGTCATGATTTGATTAATTTAGAATCTACACTACCTGAGGATGCTTTCACATAAGTTTCAGCTTTTCTGGCCCTGTGGTTCTTGAGAAGAAGACTTTTAAAGATTTTTCCTGTATATTTCTATGTAATACTTTTGATTTCCCATGGTGGCCCCACCCTACCCCCGGGGGTCATGATTAGAAAAATTTAGAATCTACACTTCCCAAGGATGCTTCCACATAAGTTTCAGCTTTTCTGGCCCAGTGGTTCTTAGGAAGAAGATTTTTAAAGATTTTTTCTATATATTTCTATGTAAAACTTTGATTCCCAATTAATTTAGAATCTACACTACCCAAGGATGCTTCCACATAAGTTTCAGCTTTTCTGGCCCAGTGGTTCTTAGGAAGAAGATTTTAAAAGATTTTTTTCTATATATTTCTATGTAAAACTTTGATTCCCCATTGTGGCCCCGCCCAACCCCCAGGGGTCATGATTTGAACAATTTAGAATCTACACTACCCCAGGATGCTTTCACATAAGTTTCAGCTTTTCTGGCTCAGTGGTTCTTGAGAAGATTTTTTAATGACCCCACCCTATTTTTGTCTTTTCTTGATTATCTCCCCTTGTGAAAGGACTTGGCCCTTTACTTTAACAAGAGGCCCATGGGCCTTATAGGTCATCTGAGCATCATGCAACAACTTTCCAATGATTGAGTTTAGTTCATGTTTTAAACTAGACACCATGGCATTCAAAATTTTGAAAAAGGAACCATTATTCATCATAACTAAACACTTAGATTTAACGTATTTTCACTAAAATCAATACAGCCCCGCCCTAACACAAGAACCCCTGACCCTGGGGCCATAAAATTCACAATTGTGGAAGAGGCATTCTTGCTCATCATAACTATATACTTAGTTAGTTTATCTAATACCCAGGAGCAGAGAAGAAGATTTTCAAAGAATTAATATATTTTCACTATACAATCAATAAAGCCCCACCCTAATACAAGAACCTCTGACCCAGGGGCCATAAAATTCACAATTTTGAAAGAGGCATTCTTGCTCATCATAATTATGTGCTTAGTTAATTTATTTAATACCCAGGAGCAGAGAAGAAGATTTTCAAATAATTATTATTAATGTATTTTCACTATATAATCAATAAAGCCCCACCATAACACCAGAACCCCTGACCCTGGGGCCATAAAATTCACAATTGTGAAAGAGGCAATCTCGCTTATCATAACTATATACTTAGTTAGTTTATTTAATACCCAGGAGCAGAGAAGAAGATTTTCAAAGAAATAATGTATTTTCACTATAAAATCAATAGAGCCCCACCCTAACACCAGAACCCCTGACCCAGGGGCCATAAAATTCACAATTTTGAAAGAGGCATTCTTGCTCATTATAACTATATACTTGGTTAATTTATTTAATACCCAGGAGCAGAGAAGAAGATTTTCAAAGAACTAATGTATTTTTACTATATAAATCAATAGAGCCCCGCCGTAACACCAGAACACCTGACCCAGGGGCCATAAAATTCACAATTTTGAAAGAGGCATTCTTGCCCATCATAACTATGTGCTTAGTTAATTTATTTAATACCCAGGAGCAGAGAAGAAGATTTTTTTAAAAAATGCACTTTTACTATATGATCTATATAGCCCCACCCTAACCCCAGAACCCCTGACCCCGGGGCCATGAATTTCATAATTTTGGTAGAGGAGTCAATGCTGATTATCATCATGCCAACAGTTTGACTGCTAGATGTCCAAGAGTAAAGAAGATTTTTAAAGACAGCATTAATTTTGGTGGTTTTGGCCCCACCCCTCAGGCACCAGGGGGGCAGGGGCCATGAATTTCACTATTTTTGTTCCCCTTCACCCATAGATGCTGTATACCAAATTTGGTTGAAATTGGCTCAGCCGTTCCAGAGAAGAAGCTGAAAATGTTCAAAAGTTTACGACCGATTGACGACGAACAACGTACGACACGGACAAAAACAGATAGCAATAGGTCACCTGAGTGACCCTTCACCCAAAGTTTCCCTTCACCCAAGGATGCTTTGTACCAAGTTTGGTCAAAATTGGCCTAGTGGTTCTTGAGAAGAAGTCGAAAATGTGAAAAGTTTACGGATGGACAGACAGACGGACGGACGATGGACAAAATGTGATCAGAAAAGCTCACTTGAGTCTTCGGCTCAGGTGAGCTAAAAATTTTTGGTTGTCCCTCCCAACCATAAAAATTGCCTGACTCAAAACTTGTTTATCTCTAGGAAACAAAAACTTCTTTTAATGCATTCCAGACAATCCATTTCGAAAATTAAGCAATGATTTGAAAATTTTCTCTGAAAAAAAATTCCCATCTACCAACTGACTCAAATTCATTCTAAGTCAGGAGAGGGCAACAGACATTATTTTGAAGTTGGTCTTATGAATTTTGTCACATAGAAGTACATAGATAATACTTATGTTCATCGAAATCAAAATAGATATGTATTTAATATATCTAATATGCATTTATATACATACATGTATTGGTAGAAAGTGAAATTACAACATAACATTGGTGATAAATGTATCTGTTTCAAACACACTGATTTACTCTGAGTTTGCTGATTAATAAGTGGTTTGTTGTCAATTTAGACAGACAGGCAGACTGACAGACAGTAAAGTGACCCCTAATGGCTACAAAAACTTTCTCACACCAAAATAATAATTTCTACTGAAAATCATGTTGGTGTGAGACAAGTTTTTGTCTCCAAAGCAAATGAAATTTTATTTACATGTACATGCAGTGCATTTTTTTCTTCATTTTCAATATTCAATTGCAATATTTTGTAAGGTGTCATATTTGCACCTTCATCAATTCAAAATGTTTCGTCCTAAAAATTATTGGCAGAAACACATGAATTACTGAGAAAGCAGGTGAAATTTACATTTTCACTCTGTCCCTCTTCATTTGAAACTGCACCTTAGTGCAATATGTAAGTTTCATACCTTTTTTATAAAACAAACACTTGAATCATAATGGCAAGAACAAGTGCATTAGCAATACTTTCCTTCCCATTTTGTGAAATTAACAGTATTTAGTGTTGAAATCAACTCAATACTGAATCCAGCATTTTTCATACAACAACAACAATTACAAATATAAATATGGTTTCTGAATATGATTTTTTCCCCCAAAAGATAGAAGTGTGGCATACAGTCAAGTTTGTGACTCCAAATAATATGGCACATCATCCTTTGGTGTCATGGAGAATGTGTAAATATTTGACCATAATTCCTTGAATACTTGTCATGATTTAAAAAAATAGATTTCAGTTTTATACTGCTGAATACTTGCCAGTTACAAACATGATTAATATTGCTCTTAATGGGCAATTAAAGATCATCAACATACACATGTTAATCAATACTTACTGTAAATGTTCTATATTCACTCTCTAATGATACATGAAATGAAGATATGTTCTAAAGATAAATTGAGATCTCTTTGACCTTTCCTAGCTCTTCCAAAAAATCTGATTTTTTTGGAGGGGGGGGGGTCATATAAATTCCTCCACAGAATAGAATTTTGATACTTTTTGGTTAGCCACAATTGGTAACAAGTTAAACAATGAAAAAAATATTCAAAGGCCGATGCCCAAAGGAAAAAAAATCTAAATTGATTTCAAATCAAAGCAGTGGTAAAACTTTCTCTAAAGCTAGATGGTCATGTTTCCTCAAAACTTTGAGGAACACATCTTGCGTAACACCTCGCTTCCTCACAAGGCGTAGCAGCATCTGGTAAGAGATCTCTTGGACGGATTCATGCTGGTGATCAAATTTTACAATCTCAATGTCTGCCTCATCTAGCCCACATTCTCGAGCTATATGGATGTACAGTCTGTCTTTCACCAGGTGTTTTGAAGCACTGCGCAGGAATTTCTCCCCAAGAACCTTGTTTCCTATAGAATATAGACACAAAATGCAATTAAAATTTTGATTTTAATATTAATTGCTTTGACCTATTACATTTGTATTGAGAAACATTTATGGGAATAAAGCAGTTAAAAAATCTAAAAAGTTGCATATTTTTCACAATTGTTTGAACCATGAGGTTAGACTTTCTAGTGTCAACTTAAGCCATACAGTTTTTGTTCTACGCCCAGTGGTTATAAGAACCTTAATTACCCTTCCTGCTCCTGTCTCCAACAGATAAGTCATCTTTAGAAACTTTTTCACTGATCGGCATGGAGTTTGAAGTAGTAGACTTGTAATCTCTCTCCTCTTTCTCATCGAACGGGTAGGACCACTGCCTATCAAACTTAATTTTTCCTGAGAAGGTACATGTATTGGTAGCTCCACCCATTTCCATCACCTCTTGGTCTGCCTCACCATCAGTGCTGCCACCTGTAGACATTGCTGCCAAATTCCCAGACTCCCGTCTTTCAAACCTGACAAGATTTCCAGAACTAGCTGCTGCCGTAGGAGGAGGGTGGTCTTCAGAGAGAGACAGAGGTCCATCCATGCATACATTTAATTCCTTAGAACTGGTTGCTAAAATGGAATCTATTTCTAAAGGTGGCCCCGTTTCTTCAAGCTCTATGATGGAATGTGTCGTAGACAGATCCTGTTGGAGAAGGGGAAGTGAATCATCACTGTCTTCCTCTGATGGAATGTTAATAATGTGCCCATTTCTGAAAAGTAAAAAAACAAGAGGCCCATGGGCCACATTGCTCACTTGAGCAATGTGGCTAGGAAAAAAGCAGAAATCAGTTTACCGTAAATCTGGAAATTTTTGCTGTAGATAAATTTTTAGCAAATTTGCGAGTTCATTGCATTCGCAAAAATATTTTTCTTAAAAATAAATTACCAATAAGAAAATGTAAACAAAGCAGTGGTAATTCGGAAACGTAAAAATTAATCAACACCATTTTGCAGAAATCAGTTTATTATTGAAAAGTTTAAACCTAATAGTGGTCCAAACCAATCCTTAAAAGGGAGAGGGTATGATTTGAACAAACTTGAATTTACACTAACTAAGGATGCTTGCATATTTCTTTGACTACCTGTGGCTTTATTGCCCTTTACATTTGAACTTACATTGTGGCCCCGCCCTACCCCCAGAGGTCATGACTTGAAACAAAATTGAATCTACACTACCTGAGAATGCTTCCATATGAATAGAACTAATCACTAAAAAGAAGATTTTTAAAGATTTTTTCTACGTTTCTATGTATAACTTGGATTCAATGTTATGGCCCCGCCCTACCCCCAGTGGTCATGATTTGAACAAAATTGAATTTCCACTACCTGAGGATGCTTCCATAAAAATATAATCATTCATGCCTTTGCTATTCTTGAGAAGAAGATTTTTAAAGAATTGTCCTATTTATTTCTATGTAAAACTACGATCGGCCAATGTGGCCCTGCCCTACCCCCAGGGGTCATGATTTGAACAAACCTAAATCTACACTACCTGACGATGCTTCCATATAAATATGATCATTCATGCCTTTGCTATTCTTGAGAAGAAGATTTTTAAAAAATTGTCCTATTTATTTCCATGTAAAACTTTGATCACCCATTGTGGCCCCGCCCTACCCCCTGGGGTCATGATTTGAACAAATCTTAATCTACACTACCTGAGGATGCTTCCCTATAAGTTTCATCTTTCCTGAAACAGTGGTTCTTGAAAAGAAAATTTTTAAAGAATTTTCCTATATATTTCTATGTAAAACTTTGATCGCCCATTGTGGCCCCGCCCTATACCCGGGGGTCATGATTTGAACAAACTTGAATCTATACTACCTGAGGATGCTTCCTCATAAGTTTCAGGTTTCCTGGCACAGTGGTTCTTGAGAAGAAGATTTTTAAAACTTAAAATCAAATTTTCACTATTTCTGAATTATCTCCCCTTGAATAAGGGCGTTGCCCTTCATTTGAACAAACTTGAATCCCCTTTACCTAAGGATACTTTGTGCCAAGTTTGGCTGAAAGTGGCCCAGTGATTCGACGGACAAATTTTGATCAGAAAAGCTCACTTGAGCCTTCGGCTCAGGTGAGCTTAAAACAGTTGCAGAATTTTTATAACCAAATTATGTATCAGTACAAGAGTTGCTTAAAAATACCTTGAATAATTTCTTTGATAAAAAAATCTTGAACAGCTTCTTTGAAAACCCTATAGAGTACTAATATACACACAAAATACTGTAAACCAACATAAATTTGTGACTTTATCTGATTTTCCACATTTAGGACCAGTTTGTGATGAGAAATATTTGCAATAAGTGGCTCCCGCAAATCTCAAGAAAATTTCTCACTTGCAAATAAAAAAATTCATCTTTATTGTACATTTCAATTTGTAGTTTTTAATTTAACAGTAATCTTACAATTGGTTTTCTGTTGAAGCCTGCAGTCCTCCCTGTCTGCTGCCTATGAAAATAAATATAATTACATGAAGCTGTTTCACTATGTACATACATGTGTACATGCTTATGAATACACATCTATTAAGCGATATGCAATATAATGGATTCTAAAACAAGTCCATAAAAAAGGCTTATTTATATAAATCATTTAATGCACGAATTTCATAAAAATTCAGTGTTTTACTATCCATTTCAAAGTTCTTGTCCCATTATCATTACAATCAAATAAAACTTCAAATTAAAACTTTTAATGACTGTAAAATCAACATTAAACAAAAAAGTCCATGTAATTTTTAATAATTCCAAAACTTTGTTATTTGCCAAATAATTATATGATTTTTGCTCAGCTTTCATTCAAAAAAGTGAAATAAATTTTTTTCGATTGAAATTCCCATCTTTTTAACAGAAATAGTAGAAAAAGTGCCTCTCCAATACGTATTGGATGTTATTTTTCAATACGATATCATTCTTCAATATCGATACATATACACAGTCAGGACTATGTACGACATGTATTAATTGTACTATTTCATGAGAAAAACTTTCCCCATACATTAGGTATGATCAAAGTTTTAAACAAGAAAAAAAATAACTTTTGCATGGACTTTTAAAATTGACTGTTCTGCAGGGGGAATTAATTCTCATAGGGGTTAAGTAAGATCATACCTAATGTATGGGGAAAGTTTTTCTCATGAAATGACAGGCAGACGGACGGATGGACGGACAGACGACGGACAAACTGTGATCAGAAAAGCTCACTTGAGCCTTCGTCTCAGGTGAGCTAAAAAAATGTCGTGCGCCAACCACCGATATTTAACATCCTAAAAATGGTATTTTTATATGCATATGACATCACAGATTTATAAATATTTTGTCAAAATATCAAAAAGATGATTGTCCAACAGCATGCAAAAAATTATCATTTTTGGTAGAATAATATTTGAAATATTAAAAAACTTCAGGTTTTTCTGGGACAACCCTCATACAGATATTTCCTGAACTGGACTGCGAAACATGAATGTAAACATTCAAATGTTGGAGCGAGGTAAACTACTTCTAGGTCATTGTGCTTCACAACATTGCAATACAGGGGCCTGTTCGTGTAATAAATGCAGTTTTACCCGAAATTTATTCGTCTCAAATGTAAATATAAGTAATAAACAACAATGTTAAGAAGTTCACTGGGAAATGAACTTTTAGTTGGTAGTTGATCAAATCTACTGAGAAGCCCTTCGGGCTTCACAGGATTTGATCACGTGACCAACTAAAAGTTCATTTCCCAGAGAACTTTTTAACATTGTTGTTTATTTAAGTTTTCCTTAATAATACAGGATTTAAATATTGCATCAGATGGAATACTGTCTTTATAAAATTCAGAAGGACAAACATCAATAGAGATTAAAAGTAACATAGTTTACCATTTTCCTTTCTCTTGCAATGCTTGTATAGTCTTTGCTTTATACAAAAACAGACCATCACCACGACCACTACACCGAAAATTGTTGCACAAGTCATTCCTGCGATGTACACCGAAGCTAATCCATCATCTGCAAAGAAAACCAAAAGGCCAGAATTCAGACATGGTTTCAGGCATTTATTTTTTTGACATTGATATTCAGAAAAAAACTATAATAAGAGGCCCATGGGCCTTGGTGGTCACCACAACACCATGTATCAAGTTTCTCTTAGGGTGTAATCACTTTGATTAATCTTACCTGGACTTGTAACTTGGATCTCATAAGACAATGTCCTTTGCTTCCTCTGGAGTTTTATAAAAATTAATAAAGTTCACAAATTTTGCTCCCCTTTACCAATGCATAGATCTATATTATGTATATAATAGACAAATTTTGGACGAAATTGCTTTTACTGACTGTTTCAGTCTGAGAGAAGAAAATGAAAATATTTAAAATCTATGATCTTTGGAAAGTGCATAATACTGAAAGTTTAAGTATCCATAATATTTTTAAAAATTTTACATTCCAATTTTAAGTTCGATCATGCTAAAATATGCATTCTAGAGGAAATACGTATGTCAAGAATACTTAATTTACTAACTTAAAGTTAAGGTTTGGACATGATTACACTGACAGACATATGAGACATATATAGACAGGAGCATAAAACAAGGAAATAAAACAAACCTACCACTTTTTTCATGGCTGCCCTCTGGTTTTGGGTTAGGTCTGTAAATACAAAGGACACTTTTTTTATATAAATCTTCTTGAAAATATCAATAAATTTCATATTTTCTATAAGACACATTCAAAATTGAAACATTATATTTACCTTTTAGATGTAGTTGGTTTAACTCCATCGCAAACCGTGTTGTGCTTGTTTGTACACTGGCTAATCTCATACTGATTGAACAGTGTACAGTTCTTGCATGGCTGACATGTATTATAGGACCGTGTATCACTGAACATTCCCGGTCGACATTTCCGACAAGGTCTACATTCAGTGGGTCCTGTGTCAAGGTCCCAGATAAATTTCCATATCTATTGTTAAAAAAAATTGTAACAGCTATTGACATATATATATTTCACTGAATGAAAATTGAATTGTTGTGGTCTTGTTTCAAGATATGGAAACATGAGGAGGTGAATAGAATTAGAATAGATACAAATTAATTGTAGATTTGAGAAAGCATATTTACTTGGACATTGTAATTATAATCATTTTTCTTAATTATGGAACTAATTTATATTATATAAAATCATTGTACAGTCAAACCTCATTATCTCAAACATGATGTGATTGGGGGAAATGAAAATCTGAGATATCCATGCAAGGATTTTAGAATTAAGATACTGAGTGTAAAATATTTAAAGAATAACTTCAATAAGTGGTTTGGACTTCCAAATCACTTCGTCATATCCATGATATTCTAGATATCTGTACATGTGTTCCAGATACAGAAGTTTAACTGTATGAACATCCAAGATACTGAGAGATAAATTGTACCTCTAAAGGTATAGGTTCCTCCCCTTTGTAGCATCGGTCACAAGGAAAGCACCTGTCAGCCTGTCGATGGTAATAAACGTTTTCCTCGGGGTCACACCTAGGCATTGCTGCCACCCCCAGGATACTCCAGGTAATAATAAAAAGCATCTTCACACATTCTTCTGACTTTGGGACTCTCATCTCTAAAAGATATGAAATGGTGAAATCTTTAAAATAAGGAGCAAGGATTTTTAACTCTTTGAAAACTTGTGTGGTCTTTTGAAAGAGAAATGATGCACAGATGATTTACAATATATCTTACAGCTCAAGTCTTCAAAAAACTATCACATGTATTTTTAGAACAAGTTCACAATGAATAAAAAAATTCTAGATTGACCAGTTGAACAGGGAAGAAAGTCAATTTTGTAATTATAATTATTAACATATTTATAAAATACATGATTGTATAATTTTGTGCAATATTAACAACTGATTTGCAACAGTTTAAGTGTTTTTGATTTGTACAGGTGTTGTAAACATCACCAGCAAGACGATGAGATTGAAGGATTTCTACTCACACAGTTATGTATATGGACTCAACATAGCAGCCACATTCTACTGTGAAAAGGTCTAAGGTAATGCACAATTCCTTGAATACTATATGTTCAAAATGTATACATAAACTCGTTTATTATTTGCCTTTGATATCATCACTTGAACAACTGAAACATGGGATATGACACCTGATACACCCAAATTCTGTGTGTTTTGCCCCATTAAATGGACTGTTAGAACTGCCACTTTTTATCTGTATTCTAGAAAACTACTCCATCCTTTAGTGTTTGTTGGAGACTGCTATTAGTTCACAACTGTTTTTGGATCGTCAGTGTGAAAATCCAGATGCAAAGTTTTATCTTCTTCTTTGGAGTGTCCCTTGGATACAAATTAACTAGATCTAGACACAGGTGCTTGAGGACAGGACCCCCCCCCCTCAATATAGACCCCCGGGCCTGTTAGACTTTTTTCACATAAATTATATATGAATGACACATTTGTGATATAATATATCCTATCCATTTTGAAAATTTGCTTAAATAAACATTTTATAAAAATTTCTACCCCACTCTCTATATATAAATTAACAAGGTTGCCAACTTCGTCTGCAAACCGAGAGGCACTGCCGAGAATTTTGGTTGAATCGTCTCCTAAATCTAAACAAAGCCCTAAAATCAACAACTCATATTGTAAATTGAATATTTTTTTCATTAACCACCAACTCTCATGAAGGTTAAGGCACTTTAACAGTCGTTATGGTCAGTTTTTCAAAAGGATGTCGGGCTACAGCCAGCGTTTCTGCTTAATGAACGGAAGTGACGAGGAGACGACTTTTTACCGAAATACACAGTTCTGCAGAAAGTCTGAAACACTGTTTTGAAATAAACATTTGAAGAAATTTGGTTGATTTACATTTTAAAAAATGTCTTTCAAATGTATTGGAAGAATAGAGTTCTAAACTGCTGATGTAAATGAAATATTTCTAATTATTTTTAAATACTTGATTGGCATGTATCGGTTTTGAGAGTTATGCCTTTTTAAAATATATTTTATTAAAATACCTTCTTTTCCGTAAATATTTCGTGTAAAATCTACAAAACATTTGAAAATAATATCTTTATGAAGAATTCGTTCAAAAAAACAAGAATATATCTATTGCTGATATCTTACACACATGTTTGGTTATATGGGGAATATGGGAAATTAGTCCTCTCCTCATCACTTCCGTTCGATAAGCTTTTTACGGAGTTGGCAACCTTGTTGATTTTAATTAATATACAATGTAGGGTAGATTTTATAGAACATTTGTTTTAGGTAATTCTTCGATTTGTTGGTATACTGGTCCTGTACCAGTAGCCGTCTAGTACCAGTTACCGTCTATTACGTCATTTCGCGTGTTTAAAACGCGATTTTTCGAGATTTTTCTCCAAGATCGTCTGCTGCAGACAGAAAGGTAAACACGAGTAACTTACTATACATCAGAGATAATATTATAGTGGTATACTTTACAAAAACAGTGTTTCGTCCAAATAGTTTTCTTGTTTATGATGTGGGGAAGTGATGTCACAACTTTGAAAGTGAGGTTTTGTTCTATTTTTTTTTTATCTCAAAGCACCCCTATAAACGCGTTATCGTGAACTCAGATGCGATCAGTAACGCGTTTGTTTATTTTATTGTATTTCTTCAACATGATGCGAAAAGACAATTTCTATATTTTTTCTCAATTATGGGAGAGCTGATACTGGAATGATTGCAATTGTCTACCTATGCAGTTTGCACAGAACAAAATTATTTCCTGGATTTTGTGTGTGTGTGTGTGTGTGTGGGTGTGTGTGTGTGTGTTTTGTCTCTCACGTTCTGTTTACAATTAAATTCCTACCAAAATAGCGTTTGTAGCTAGATATCATTAGAAATGACGTAGACGGTAACTGGTACAGTGCATACGGGAAAATGGCGTCCTACCCTACCCTTCTTTAACGGTATGAAAACAAAGTTTCATGAGTAGGACTAGCAAAAAAATTATATATTCTGATAGAGCAAGAGTAAAGCTTTATATATGCCAAGTTTTATCTCCAAATTGTGTCAAATAGTGAAGCAATGAAAGAAAAACTTCCATTTTTAGACGGCTACTGGTACAGGACCAGTAGATCTTATCACAAATATGTCAATGAAAGATTATCTATGAGAAAAAAATTGAAAAAGCCCAGGGGTCTATTTTTTCCTGTCCTCAAGCACCTGTGGATCTAGATCTCCATCAATGATCATACACTGACAATCTAAATTGAATGCTGCAGATGAAAGACCTTTCACCTACTGAGGGTCAACATGTTACTAACTTGTTGTCATTGTTAAATGCGCAAGGAAGATCAAGGACTACAAACATTTCTGATCATTTAAAAATAAGATATAATCCCTTTCATTCGAACTAGAGACTTATGACAACACATGCCAGGAATAACATCAGGGTCAATCAACATGATCAACTGTGGCTTTATCATTTTTATGAAGCCGGAGAGGGCATTAAACAACATTTTTTTATAATCAATGATGGTCTTTCGCTTAAGACAAGAAATACAATCTGAATAGATATAGCTCCCCTTTCCTGTCCAGTTCCCCATTTCTACTAAATCGTGTCCAACTAAGGTTCTATAGAATCTGATCAGAATGGGTATATAATTGTAAATATTAGTACATAATGGGGGAAAATTAATTTACAGATTACGTTCGCCCTTGTCAGCTGCTCAATTGTGATCATGCCAAATACTCGCCGACTGGCGATTCATTGAGACGATTATATTGCATCATTAATTCATCGATCAATAACATAACCAAAAACGTGGTAGCATTTAGTACATACAATGTATAGGCCTACAGGGAGTATCGTAAATCGTTGGAAAAATATCTTAAGAAACGAATTCTTAACGTCAGTACTATTTTTAGACGTGACTCAATATTACATGATCAAGTTTATGCAGACTAGGTAATCACTAAAAGAAATACTGTACCTTTTAGTCAGATATATTTTCATTACGCAAAAAAAAATTTTGCGTAAACTTGGATCTTCGAATGGAAAAGCACTCTTCAGATCAGAGGCAGCGAAGTTTTTCGCCGATTTGGCTGACTGGGGAGTAGGAACTTACTGGCTTCTGATTGGTTAAGAAAAGCACGTTATACATGTCTCTGGTTGAGGTGAAGGCCAATTCGAGGGACTTCCCCTTTTGCTATTTTTGGCATGGACTTATAAACATTGTTAGTGTCAGTGAGAACGTCATCATATCATTATATATCTCTCCACTGTATAGGGTAACACTGTACATATTACATGTATTATAAAATCACAAACTTTTGGCACCTGTTAAAAAAATTATTTAAATTATTATTATTTTTTATTATTATTAAATGAAAGGTCATGTACCCTATGCAGTTGGTTTTAGGGAAAAAAATTTTTTAAAGGACATCAAAAATTGGTATGGAACTGTTATTGTATTTTTTAAAAATTTTCTACAAGTGATTGATGAATAAATATATACCCAGAATAGTGGTGTATGTAATTTAGGCTTGCCTCATCTCATACCATTATAAGACATATATTCTTTAAATATAAGTATAAAAAGACCTTGAACTTATTAAACATTATATCAACGAAAAAGTAAAACCTGCCAGACAATCATGCTGATGGGACCACAGGCACTTGTTTCGTATATAGGGTACCCCCTACTTATATTTACCAAAATATTAGTAATGGATGTAGTATACGAAACAAGTGCCTATGGATGGGACACACCGTTTTGATTCAATTCTGGTACGGGTATTATCAAAGTGCATGTGATAAATACTTTATAGTTTATATTCACTTTCTACTATGAACCAGAAGTTTTAAATATTTCAATCTTTTATTTTCATTTGTAATAAATAATGTGGATTAAAAACAATGTGTTAACAATCTTCTAAAGCAATTAAAATACATAAAAAGAACAAAACACCTTACAATACTTACAAATGGTTTTATATTCACCATAAGAATAACACATATGTTTTTCACATCATTAAATACCCGGTAAATGCATTTACATATTTTGAAGTCATATACAATAAGATTCAACACAATAATAGATTATCACAGATTTTAACAACAAAGCTCTCATGAACATTTCATGCTAGTTAAACTATTCTTCTGTCATATTTTGACCACCACCCCTCTCCTCTTCATTCTCCACCCCTGCCTCTTGCTTTTGATCATCCGCAGTGCATTTTTTATCTACATTCTCTTCCTCTTTTGACTCTGCCTGTTTTATATCTTCTTCCTTTGGCTTCTTCCTAAACTTCCCAGCCTTTAGTTCGGCTATTTCTCTCTGTCTCTCTTCTTCCTCTTTTTGTTGAATTTCTAATTTCCTCTGTCTTTCTTTCTCTTCAGCCTCCAACTCAATTTGAAGCTCTTTCCTCCACTTAGGAAAAAATAAATCATTAATATAGTGTATCTGATTAAAAAGAGGGCTAAATATTTCAGCTAATGCACTTCATGAAATATCCTGGCACGAAGCATCCTAGCAAAAAATTAAAATAATTTCTTAAATAAATTTCAAAAAAATTAGATAAATTGTTACCTGGTCCTCGACAATCCTCCTCAGATCAAATCCGGTCCTCGTCTTGAAGTCTGGAGGCTCCTCATACAGAGCTGTGGCCAGCATGATTTCCTCCCTACAACACAGCAAGAATTGAATTGCACATACAGTAAAACATGATAATACAAATGCACTTATAATGAATTCACGTTTGTAGCAAAGGGATTTTATTCTCTGTGGTTTTAAAACAATCATACTATGAATTACATGAATCTTAATGAATCAAGACTGGTAGTTCCTGGCATTTAGTTACACTTTTTTTGCTTTTACTGTACTTTGATCTAATTGTTTAGACAGAAACAGTTAATACAGGTTCTGTGGTTAAAAACTATTTTCAGTTGAAATACTCCAAATCTATTCCTTAATGTTGGAAAATAATCATACTGTACCTTCCATTTTTTAAAAATTCAATTCAAATATTTATACACTTTATATTATTGATAAACTATATGCTTAAATAAATCAATATATGTATAAGTTTGCATTAGAAATAACATTTACTTCAGAGAAGTCCTGTTCTTCTTGTCAGCTTTAGGAGCCTGTTCTCTCTTGTGAAGAGGTGTGCGGGGACTCGCTTTGGCTGAAGGGGGGATGTAGGGTTCTACTGCAGGGGGTAATGGAGGCAAGTAAATTGTAGACAACCCTGGTTAAAAAAAATAAAAGCTACATGTATAATGATATCTTCAACAAACAGTCAAAAACACAAATCCGCGAGTTGACTCCTCATAAGAGCAATAAGAAAATTAATGTGATAGCAACATTTTATTTTTCTTTTTTGATTTTTTTTCCCATTTTTGTTTACTTTAAGGTGAAATAAGTGGATTAAAAATAGAACAAGGTGCAAAATTTTTACACTTAATTTAATTGCAATGTAACCAGAATTTTAGAGAAAATCAGAATATATTTATCCACCGAAGAAAAATAAAACTTTAGCAAAAAGAGAAGCACAAACTGTAAGGAAATATGCATGTACCTGAGGCAATCTTAGATCCGATAGTAGCAGGAGTGATTGTGTCCTTCTTTGCCAGAAGATTCTCCAAATCAGTGTGGACCTACAATAGAGAAGATATTTCATCATTGACTTAATTAGAACATTACCATACTTTTGGAATTACTAAGCTCATGCTTTCTTTTCAATACAATTCAAAAAAAAAAAAAGAGGCCCATGGGCCACTTTGCTCACCTGGGGTCATGATTTGAACAATTTGAAATCTACAATATCCCAGGAAGCTTCCACATAAGTTTCAGCTTTTCTGGCCCAGTGGGTCTTGAGAAGAAGATTTTTTAAAGATTTTTTCTATATATTTCTATGTAAAACTTTGAGACCTTATTGTGCCCCCCCTCCAAACCCTGGGGTCATGATTTGAATAATTTAAAACCTACACTACCCAGGATGCCTCCACATAAGTTTCAGCTATTCTGGCCCAGTGGTTCTTGAGAAGAAGATTTTTTATGATTTTTCCTTTATATTTCAATGTAAAATTTGATTTCCCATTGTGGCCCTGCCATACCCCCAGGGGTCATGATTTGTATAATTTAGAGTCTACACTACCCCAGGATGCTTCCACATAAGTTTCAGCTTTTCTGGCCCAGTGGTTCTTGAGAAGAAGATTTTTAAAGATTTTTCCTATATATTTCTATGTAAAACTTTGATTCCCCAGTGTGGCCCCGCCCTACCCCCTGGGGTCATGATTTGAACAATTTAGAATCTACTCTACCCAAGGATGCTTCCACATAAGTTTCAGCTTTTCTAGCCCAGTGGTTCTTAAGAAGAAGATTTTTAAAGATTTTTCTTATATATTTCTATGTAAAACTTTGATTCCCCATTGTGGCCCCGCCCTACCCCGGGGGTCATGATTTGAGCAATTTAGTATCTACACTACCCCAGGATGCTTCCACATAAGTTTCAGCTTTTCTGGCCCAGTGGTTCTTGAGAAGAAGATTTTTAAAGATTTTTCCTATATATTTCTATGTAAAACTTTGATCGGCCATTGTGGCCCCGCCCTATCCCTTGGGGTCATGAATTGAACAATTTAGAATCTACACTACCTCACAATGCTTCCACATAAGTTTCAGCTTTTCTGGCTTAGTGGTTCTTAAGAAGATTTTTTAATGACCCCACCCTATTTTTGCCTTTTTCTTGATTATCTCCCCTTGTGAGGGGACTTGGCCCTTCATTTTAACAATTTAAATTCCCCTTTACCCAAGGATGCTTTGTATCAATTTTGGTCAAAATTGGCGCAGTGGTTCTTGAGAAGAAGTTGAAAATGTGAAAAGTTTACAGACGGACGGACAGACAGACGGACGGACGACGGACAAAATGTGATCAGAAAAGCTCACTTGAGCCTTTGGGTCAGGTGAGCTAAAAAGAAGAAAATTCCATCAAAAGTTACTTTTCTGAGATCCAGTGAACATTTTGGTATTCCTATCATTTAATTAACTGCTCTACATATACCAAGAAAATGCAAATGTTTTACTGTAAATTGTTAGAGCCTTACTTGTCCGACTTTGAGGGCCTCAAGGACCCTGTCATCCTTCTCCATGGAGTGAGCTCTGATCAGAATGTTCCAGGCCGCTGTTCTCATTCCCTCCCTGTTTTTGTCAGAAGACAAACAGCGGCAGATTTTTACCAGAGACTGGATAGAACCAAAGCGAATCCTCCAACTCCAGTCATTGGGACCTAATAAAAGACGAAAACATGTGGTATAATATCAAATTTAATATATACATGTATATGAATGATTTATGTTTCCATATTCATGTACAGTATTTGTTGTGAGTATTTCTATCATTTCTGACATAGTTTATCTATTTCACATATTGTTTACATTGTTGTACAATGGATGAAATATCATTTCATTATAAGCAGCTATTTAATACATAAAGTTGCATATATGAGTGTTTTTTCTGTTATTAATAGGAGTGAAACAGTTCATCGTATCTTCATTATTTGACTCGATTAAGTCAAAGGAAGCATAAAACAACAGTTGAATTTATTTCCTTCCATCAAAATGTATCTTATCAAAAATAACCAAACCAAGACCAAATTTTACAAAAAGTATCGAATCGTGAAGAAGGCGTTTTGTTTCACACCCAGTTATTAAATATTTTGATAGAAAGCATTAAACTCCTAACCTCCATCTCTAGCCTCACTAGCAGCATGGAAGAAAGCCAGGTCCAACAGTCCGGCACTGACCAGGGGGATACTGACAAACCCCCTCTGGAAGGGGTCAGTCAGCTCCTTGTTCACACCCATCAGGGCCATCTTCTGGATCCCAGCCGTGCTTCCATGGAGGCAGATATCAGACAAAATGTCTGTGTATGTAATGGCCACCTCCCAGTGCCAGCCATTTAGTCCTGGGGCATCTTGAAGCTGCAATAAAGAAAAAAGCTACATAACATGCCTGATTTTAAACAGCCATATGATTTGTTTCAAGAAACCACAAATGTGCTTCTAGAAATTTTTATAGAATTAAATGTTTTTGGTATGCAGATCAAAATCATAAGAAAGCATAATGACGGAATCTGAATTAACCCATTATCTTGCAGATAGTTGACTCAAATATTGGAACTTACTGGTAGGTTGGTATAGGTGGGTACAGAGCTAGCCTCTGAGGCTCTTCCCTCTGGAAGATCAGATCCCACCTCTGCCTTCCATCCTGTGCCAGGAACTGGCTCTGTCATAAAACTTCCTGTACGCTTGGACTCCTGGGTAATCCTGGGTCTGTCAGATCCCATTGTCAAGTTGGACCTTTCCCCCTTGATCTCTCCAAATGATACCTCCCTGGGCCCGGGTCCTTTCAAACCAGTGTTAGGAGAATCCTTAGATGCCAGTTTTGAATCAAACTTTTCCAAGTTTTCTACACTGAGGGCCACTGGTTTGGATCTCCTCAATGGGAACTGCTTAATTTCTGGCTCTGTGGGTGTCATTTCAATGTCCCCTCTACGAGAATGTCTAGAAAGCTTCTTTTCTGAATCTTTGTCTTCCTCACTTCTTTCATAGATGTCACTCAGAGTAGGCTTAGAGCTGGATGGAATACTGATCCTTGATTCTCTTCCTTTCTGGGTTTCTTCCTCATCAGTAGACACACTGTACACATCTGCCAAAATAAAAAACAAAATTCTTTATATTTTTTCTTTTAATACAACATGCTCTTCATCTTTCTAGGTATTTACTTGTTTTAGATTATTTTGTATGATTTGCACTTTTTTTACCATACCTGAGACATCTGATTGTGAGGTGCTCGTTGGAGAACCTCCTCTGACCTTTGGCCTTACACCTCGTGCCAAGCTGTGAAGAATTTTCATTGCAGCAATGTTTGTCTTGGCTGCTTCAGCTAGTATTTGTAGTGCAACCATTGTGTCAACCCTACAAGGCAGACCAAAAGCTATTTACTAATAAAGTCAGCTTATATGTTGAGATCAGCATTTTAAAAGTCACAAATAAATGATTAATCATCAGCCAATTTTAGATTTGTATTTTTAGAAGAAAAAATTATGTACCAGTTTTCATTGGAGAGCCCCATTCCACAGGTAGCCAGAGCCCTCAGTGCCTCCGCTAGTCCCCCACCTAAGTGATTTGTACACCTCCACACATCCAGGGCATGCCAGAGAGTGGGGCTCAAATCGTGGACACTGCTACTAATGGCACCTGCACTGTGTGCTGACTGGGAGTTCTCACGAGGCTCATGTCTATTGGAACTTGACTCCCTGGTGCTTTTGTTACTGTATTGCTGAAATAATGTTTTAAAGCATAGTTTTAATACCCGGTATATAAAATGCCTATTCAGAATATAGTCAGAAAAATTCATAAGGGAAAAAAAACACATACTACAGTTCAAAAAAGTTCCAGTTACCAGGTAATTATCAGGAACAAACAATTTTTTAATAATACAGTATGTTATAAACATAATTCATTATAGAATTCGTTCAGAAAATGTTTTTAAAAACTTCAAAGGAATTCTTTCTTGTATGAGTAAATGAAAAAGCATGTTTACATAGACCCATGTTTTACTAAATACTGTAGATTCCTAATTATACGCAAGGAATTAATTATCGTGTAATTTCACGTGACGCATCACTCACGAAATAAAATTACTCGCTTTTATTTTTATGATGCTAAAATCCGTGTAACTTCTCTTGATCAACCGTCCATTCGCAAATTAATGTTCCTGCAAAGTTAAAGTGTCATTTTGAAAATTGATACCTTGAAAAATAAGGAATTTATGTCGAAGTGTGTTGGCAATTCTAACAGATTTTTGACTTTAACTTAAAAGTTGACTAGGTCTATTGAGTTTGAGATTAACTGTCTAGTTTTTGACAATACATTTATGTCCCAGTACAAATTACTTCCCCGGGTGTATTTGGGAAAGTTGTGTTTACAGGTTGTATTATAAATATATTACCACACAACAAAGATTTTGTGTATCATAGCATAATTTTAATGATAAGGAAAATATCTTACCATCTAAGTAGGTAAAGAGTCGATTTTTGAAGTCAATTTGTCCTTGGAGTTGTCCAGCCATGTGGTGATAAAATAATCTTGTGAAAGTCAGCTGTCCCATCTGTTATAACAGCATACAAGTCAATAGGCATTATTATTAAGAATTTAGGTGCATAAATGTCTAAATTTTTAGTAAAGCAAACTCTTTATTTTCATGAAATTAAATTTTCAATTCAGTTTGTTTTTCATTGCAACAGTGTGTCTCTTTTATGAAATACTTTCCAACAACTTTTTCTTTAAGTTCCTTTTTAACCTTCATTATCACAAGATCTAGGATATCTCAAAGTTTAATTTTTTTGGTTCTTGGGTATCCATTTTTGAAGCCACTCTCATAAAATCTCGCTAGATATCTCGTTTTTTGGAAGAATATATTAACTGTCTTTGCAGTACAATTTAAAATGGATTTGACAACGACAACAACATAAGACTACCAGTGATTACATTGGTTAGTATAAATATATTTACCATACAACAAGTTTTTGAGATCACTTTTAAGAATTACAAAAACATTTTACATCGTATTTAAAAGCACAGAAGCTCACAATTTTATCAATAAAGTCAATAGAAATCACTCGATTGACCAAGTCATGTGGCACATCTGGACTTGTCCAGCCATGTGGTGATATAAATAACCTTGTTTTAGATCTAGATTAAATCATGCCATCATTTGTTTTGTTTAAAAACTGAATGAACATTAGAATTATTGCTTAAGAAAGATCACTTTCATAAATGTTTAAATATTTTAAGCAAAATGATGACTGAAAAATATTTGAATTTCACAATTTATGTCATTAACTGAAGGTGTTTCTATTCCTTTGCTGTTTATTTAAGATTAATTAGTGTGTATCTTTTCATTTAAGGCTTATAATATACTTTATATTACATGAAAATATCGATAATCCAAGCGTTAAACAACTACGCGCGCAATGCTACCGCTTTTGAGGTCTGAATCTCCCTCTTTTTCATCACAATAGGTTAATTTAGCTTTCTGAAAATGTCTTGCTAAAATTAACTACCAAAATTTCATATCTCTTGTAATGATCCTTGTAATTTAATTGTATAAGAAACACCACTCATTGCTATGCATACCTTCAGTAGTTTAATCTCCCCTGTACGAAGATATGGTTGATGCACAGCATCTGTTCTTAGCCAGTAAAGCATTGTCTCAGCCAAGAAAAACAGTGCAGGGATATGATATTTCTCCAGAGGAGACTGATCAAGGGAGGTAATTAGCACATCAAGGCATTCTAAAATACACAAGATTAATACTTTGCATCAAGGCATTCTAAAATACACAACGGATTACTTTTTGTCCTTCAAGTTTAAAAAAAATTATTGAACATTCTCTACTTTTTTTCCATTTACAATGCAATTGAAAATTATATGAATTTTAAATGTAATTTAACCTTTTTATACATTAAAAATGTATAGCGTTTTATAATCAATCCATTCAGTCTTTACCCTCTTGAATTTTTCCTTTACACTGCGCTAATTGAGCCAATTCTGTCCATGCCATAGGGAGATTAACATATGGACCCACACCACAGTTTTTAAGCCCAGCCCTTCTCTGAAAATTTTTGCACATAAATTAAAAAATATAAAATATATTATTTGTTTAGATTGTAAAACTCAAACATCTCCTCATTCTTACTAACATCAGTTGAATAATTAATACCTTTGCCCTCTCTAACATCTTGTGAGCTGTTACTTCATACTTTTCCCTGTCTTCCAAACTGAGGCTACTGTTGTAGTTTCGAATAAATTCTTCAGATACCTCAAGAGGATTTTTACTAAAAGCAAGATTGACATGAGTAAGTTTTTATTTAAGTAACAATGTAATCTTCTGACAAATGTTCAAGGGTAAAAAATTAATTATCAATGAGATAAAAATTCCAGTACATGTATTTTATTCTACATTATTTCTTACCTTGACTTTACTAAGGCCTTTTGACTTTGAATACTCTGTAAATAAGACTGCTTCAAGAGTCGCTCCTGAAGTTCTAATCGCTGGCTATGGGAAATGATCCCAAACTTGTGGACGATTGGGATCTTTGTGATTGGCATTTTGGATTGGTTTTCAACTCATTTTAAAAGACTTTTCTGAAAATTCGAAAAAAAAATTTAAAAACACAACACTCAAGGTGTATTTTTAATTAGGTCATTTTTAAACGTTAAGTTTTCACGATTCAACAAATCTTTAGTAAGTCTAGATAATTATGTTTAACAAATTGAATTGCCTCCAATGCATAGGGGGCAAGTAGTCATGTCATTGCATTTTAGGTTATTTATTTAAACCAATTTCTTTGTTTAAAGACGCCAATACCAAATAAATACGTCTTGACAACGGAAGAAACATAGAGTGCATTAAATAAACATAAAACCAAACTTTAATTAAGCAAAAATATCCTTATAAACCAATAGCTAAATAGATGAGAGGAAAAAATATATAACTTTGCAAGAACCTTACAAACTTTCCGCCATATTGTTTGTTTCCATAGAAGTTGCAAACTGGGCATGCGTAAACAACCGGATATGTGAAAAATTCTAGAATTAAAACCTGAGTAACTGCTGACAACGGAATAGAAAGATCCGAAATGAAAAAAGGAGGGGAAAAAGGGTGGAAGGGGGGGGGGGGCAAATATATAGGAAAGCTGCACAATATTTTTTCAGGGCTATGTGAATATAAAACTGCTAATGGGATCTCATTGTCTCTTAAAAGACTGTATGAGGTGTTAGTTCCTTTTTTCTAAGTAAATCTGAGGTACTGTATTTATACTGATGTCCAAAAAGTTGTGTTTTTTTTTTTTGCTATCATAAAAACAAATTTTTGGTATGAAACATCTGAATTCTTGATATCAGGAAATTCTTTTTTATTGATTTTTATCATGTTTATTGTTATTTTAAACAATCAGAAAATTGGTTTTTGATATATTTGTACCAGGTAATAAAACAAGTAAGTATTATTATCAAGCATCTAAAATCCTGAAAACAAAATGTTTCCCATTTCCCAAAAAATTGAAGCCTCCTGAGATTGAAATAAAAAAAAACTTATTTGTTCTTAGGATTTTGATAACAATAAATGCTACAAAATTACCACTAAAGAAAATATCATGCGCGGATCTAGAGGGGGGTCGGGGGGGTCAGGACCCCCCCAGGAATTTACCAGGTTAAAAAATGTATATACTAATACAAAAAAAAGTTACCTCTCTCTCTCTCTCTCTCTCTCTCTCTCTCTCTCTCTCTCTAAAATGGGTATGAGAAGTTAAAGATGTGAGGCAATAGAAGTAACGAAATAGGTTTTTGACATTTGGCGAGTATTACTTTATGTTGTTTTTTTTTTGTTTAGTTTGTTTAGCTCACCTGAGCCAAAGGCTCAAATGTTTTCTGATCACATTTTGTCCGACGGACGGAAAAGGCTCAAGTAAGCTTTTCTGATCACATTTTGTCCGTCGTCCGTCCGTCTGTCTGTCCGTTAGTAAACTTTTCATATTTTCGACTTCTTCTCAAGAACCACTGGGCCAATTTTGACCAAACTTGGCACAAAGCATCCTTGGGTGAAGGGGAATTTAAATTTTAAAATGAAGGGCCAAGTCCCCTCACAAGGGGAGATAATCAAGAAAAGACAAAAATAGGGTGGGGTCATTAAAAAATCTTCTTCTCAAGAACCACTGGTCCAGAAAAGCTGAAACTTATGTGGAGGCATTCTGGGTAAGTGTAGATTTTTAAATTGTTCATATATCATGACCCCCGGGGGTAGGGCGGGGCCACAATGGGGAATCAAAGTTTTACATAGAAATATATAGGAAAAATCTTTGAAAATCTTCTTATCAAGAACCACTGGTCCAGAAAAGCTGAAACTTATGTGCACATGGAAGCATGCTGGGGTAGTGTAGATTTCAAAATGTCTAAATTATGATCAGTGGGGTAGGGTTGGGTCGCAATATGTATTACAAGGGGGAAATCTTGTAAAAAACAAAATGGTCAAAGTTTTTCATGTGAGCAATGTGGCCCATGGGCCTCTTGTTTTTTGCTTGTCAAGAAGTTTCTGGGATTGGATTTTTTTTGACGGAGGTGGACCTCCCCTGGAAAAAATTTCTGGATCCGCGCCTGAATATAAATACATGTTTATATGTCTTATTTATTATCTTAATTGCTGCAAGCATATTAGATGTAACAAAAATAAATTTCATCTCTCTCTTTCTCTCTCTCTCTCATACACATTTATAACTTGATGATCACAGTAACAAATTTGTTTTTACATCACTGTACAGTTATATAGTGTTAGTTGCATAACTTCGAAAATATCTAATATAAATACGGAGCTGGACTTAAATGAGCAATATATATGTTAAATGTTTTCAATGATTTTTAATTGAAAAGCTGTTTTTTTTTAAATTCTAGTAGGATTATTGGATCACATCTTCCCCCTAATTTCTGTGCCTTCTTCATTCCTATGGATTTAAAACTCGCATCTTTCATATTGATTTTTTGTTCAGTTGACACTAACGGTTGAAACTTCTGATGCTATCCCTAAAATTAAAAAAAAAATCATCCTTATCATACTATTGGAATTTTACAGAAAAAAGGTAATAAACCAAATTGCAACAGTTACTATAAATACTAATAAATGATAACTAAGCACTCTCACCACACACATTGTCCCCCACTTTGATATATAGATATCCATTATTTCCAAAATCTGTTCCCCAAGAGTTTCTCACAATGTAAAATGGAACTTCACCTATATAACATACAATTTATTCTCTTTACAGGCTATAGCCTACATCCGATAGCCTGTCCACTTCTCTAGAGAGAATAACATACAATTATATATTGACTGATGCATTGTGAAAACCGAAATTGACTTCTGAATGATAATGTGCATGCTTAATCTAAAATGCCTAATTACAATGTATATTGTATGTTAGGTAATAATGATTACTGATGATGGTTTGAAAAGTAAATAAATACTAGTATTATTACTCTATATAAAGTTCATGGTAAATCTAGCAGAGGAAGTTGGGCTGTTGTGCTCACCTGAATAACCTGCTGTTCTTAAAAGCATTTTTCTTTTATTCACATGAATAATTGTAATTGAGAAAAAAATTAAAGATTCTCCCTTAATTGGCTAAAATATATTCCTAAGTATTAGTAAAACCACTTATCCTTTTTTAACCTAAATAGCAAAGTGCCCGTTGAAAGTGGGGGTGGGGCTAAACCTACACCCCAATGTTCAATGCCTATATTACATCTATCTTTGCAAATAGAAGGGGGTGGGCTGAGCCCCCCCCCCCCCCTAGCCCCCCCCCCCCCCCTTTCCCCACCTGACACCTATGTGGATGATTAATCAAAGATGTTAAAGGCTGACAGATAGATGGACTGAGATAAGATATGATCAGAAAAGATCCAGTTTCAGCTCAGATATATACACAACAAGGTACAAATGTACTCACCTGTCAGGTCATAGCCTACAATCTGTACAGCATGGTTTAGCCTGGTCTCACAGTGGTACTGAATTATCCCCCCTAGGTAATGGTTCCAGGTAGTAGCATCCACAGCCACCACCAGGGGGCCTACAAAGGCCAACAACTGTAGCATAGATTGTTCCACTCCATTATAACTGTCAAAACAAATGTCAAATGATTGATTCAACACTCTCGGTCTAATTAAAATTAGATGTTTCAAATTTGCTACTTATACCGATTCTCTAACAGAGATCCCAATCTATAAATTAAAATTAGATGTTCTGAATCCATACCATTTCTCAAACTGAAGCGATAGCAAATCATTTAATTTTAATTAGATTGACAGAGGTCCAACCATGCTATTTAAAGCAATTTATGTATTATTCCCTTTTAAAAGATAAATTGCAAATATTTTTATGTTCAATATTGAAAGATCTTGATTTTGTTTTCTTTAAAGTTCTCTGTATTATAATACCTGTTGCAGGTGAAGTTATTTATAGTAACCCCTCTGGTGGAGTTAGTCAGGAGCTGACAGTAGTCTGAGGTGTCTGTCAGTGGGTACTCCTCCTCATAAACCAACAGGGACTGGCTCTGTAATGGTACAAAAACACAAAATTGAATTCTTTATAATCATTTACATTTATCAAGCTTAAATTTAAATATTTAAAAAAAAAAAAAAACTACAGTAAAACAAGGTTATATCTAACACGCTTATAACAAACTGATGCTTACAACAAAGTTCTTTTTATTCCCAATTGATTTAGGTACAATTGAATTGAACCTACAGCTGTATCTTTAATTACTAAGATATTGGCAATAACAACTACTCCCTTTATCATACATCTTTTCCGGTATATGATTTTTGCTCACTTATTGACATACATGTGAATTTTAATAAGTATATGCTGCTTTTTGTACATTTTATTTTAATAAGTATATGATGCTTTTGGCACATTTTGAATTTAACTTTATTTCTCCTTTCATCCTCATTGTTGTAGCTCTATAGGCTCTGTGTGTTTCCCTCCATGTTCAATATTGTCTCCAAGGGAGTGTTCATTATTTACAACAACACAAATAAATTGAACCTAGGTTGAAATGTACCTATCTTCAAATCCTTTGTGGAATTGTCTTAAATTGAACCTATCTTCAAATCAATTGTGCCTATCTTTAAATCAATTGTACCTTTCTTTAAATCAATTATACCTATCTTCAGATGCATCAGAGATAGGCATAATTCAATTGAACCTATCTTTAATTGAATTGAGGATTGGTGTAATTCCAATAAAGATAGGTATAATTCATTTGTACCTAGGTATAATTATATCTATAGAGCTAAGTATAATTATTTACACCTATCTTCAATTCAATTGTACCTATCTTAAATTGAAATTAATTCAACTGTACCTATCTTCAAATAAATTGAAGATAGGTGCAATTATTTGAAGATTGGTACAAATATTTGAATATATGTTAATTTGGCATTCCATAAATTTAAGCTTTATAAATGTATAAAGGATTTGGATATCTTTATTTCTGATTTTTCCAGTCCCAATAGATTTGAGATAAGAAATTTTTTACTGCAATTATAACTTTCTTGACTTACTTTTTTTAACCATGAAAGAGCTATACAAGTGTCTCCACCAGCACACCCAGCATTCCCTACCGAGCAGTCGATGACTTCCTGTACACTCAGTCGAGGAGGGGTCACGTTGTGGGAAATTGCATACATAGATTCAATAGTTTCTGTTGTACTAAAAGCCCTAAAGCAATAAAATAATACATGTAATATTAAAATAAATAAAATTATAATGAATAAGTTTATATGAAAAATAATATGTAAAATGAAAAAATTAATGAAATTGTCAGTAATGGAAAAAATCTAAATAATAATGAAAACAACTAGTTTTCTTTTTCATTCACACACAAGCATCAACAAATAATCTTGACGTACTGCATTGCAAGAATATTTATTCAAATGCTAACAAGAAAATATTATGCAGTTTTAAAATCTGAAAAATTAATAATATGAACATACCAACATCCTCCACATTTGTTTTGATTCTTGATTGGAGATACATAATTTACTCCTTTATGATTCCTCCTAGAAAAAGCATATAAACCACCATCTTAGAACACCTTAAAACATCATCAATAGGTGAACATTTAGATAATAAAGTCCAATATTATGTCTTATCTGATTTAGAGAGATTAAAGAAATACTTAATCAATAAAATCAATTATGAATCATGCATTATAAATCATGCATAAAATCTAATTATAAAGCTTTAAGGAAGAGCAAATCTTAGTGGATCTACAAGAATTTACCAGTCCACTTTTCGTGGTATCTGGGCTGAATAGATTCTAGATAATGGTGTCTTTTTCCTCAGGTGTTTAATTTGTCTTTCCTTTGGTGGCCTTAAATCACTCAGGTATTGGTCTACATTTCAAATTAACATATCTGAATTCACACAAATATAACAAATTGATTATATATCAATAATTCCAATCTTCATTGTATCCATTGAATTCCTGTGTTTTGATTGGACGAGAACACGTTTAAGAACATTTTTACACATCGATAAATTTTTTTTTCAATCAGAACTACTTTTTTGACTAAGCTTCTACATGTAGTTTATCGTATAAACAACGAATTAAAGCAGTTATTTATTGTCTGTTTTGGATAAATTATAAATACAAGAAACTTCAAATTTAATTAATTAAAACAAAACTGGCGACATGCTAGGCTGCCCAGCTGACGGACGCCATGAAAATGTTAATGTCACTGTTCGATCACGAGTGTGAATTTTAAAAATCGCTGTCTCAACGTTCATAATACGAAGATAATCAACTCAGTTTGTATCGTTTAGACAGGGAAAAGAAACGTACCTCAAACTCTTGCCCTATAAGCATCAAATTCATATTTACTTTCTATATTGTTCCTCAATCTTTGAACAAACAAGTGCAAATCGAAGGCGTCGTCGGTCTGCAACTTTCGCTATGAGAGTTGTCGTTTATGTCAACATGGCCATGGTCAAGGACGAACTATTCTGAAGTAAACTCGTAATTACAATATTTGTTGACTTAAACAACATTCGATAAGTCTTTATAAGTTTATTTATCAATTGTTTTGACAATTTAAGCTGAACTCTATCGAAATTCATCTCGATTACGTTCCTTTGCGGTAAAATGTATTCCTACGCCGTCCAGAACTAACGGATTGTATGGAGGCCTCAAAGAGAAATAATTTGAATATTTTTAAAAATTCGATATTGGAATTATAAGAATTAAACGTTCTTTTTGAAAAATTTATCGATGTGTAAACTCTTGACATTTTACTCACAAACTTAACATAAATGTGCTTCGCACTTTTATTCAGTTTGTGAGTAAAATGTCAAGAGTTTACACATCGATAAATTTTTCAAAAAGAACGTTTGATCCTATATTAATTATGCCAAAATAAATATAGTGTTTCCCATTCCAACCTGAGAAAAAATAGGATAAGTAAGGAAAACATTTATTTTAACATTTTCCTGGGGAAATCACTGTCAAAACTTTAATTAATATGTATAGGATATGCATCTTCTCAGACACAGAATTATAATTTTAAAAAAATATTAATGGATTCATTCTGCAAAAATAACGGTAATTTTTCAGGGTTGGCAGCTCATACAATTTATGGTTGGACACGGAACCAGAAACACAATCTATTTATCCTGGTCTTACATATAAATATTTCCTTTATGATTAATTTGACTTCCTTGAATTAATATTCTACTGCTCACATCAAGAACAATTTTCAAATACATTATACATTAAATTAGTAAACAAAAAATATTATGATAGTAGCACAAAATATTTGAAATGTCTTAATTTACATTATGTTTGTTGATAGATGAAAATGATTAAATTTATATTTCATATTATATTTTCAATTTTTCATATTTCATACTAGCTGAATAGTAATATTAAACATCAATGAGATCACTTATTTCAATTATTTGATTTTAAGCATTAAATGCTTTACTTTCGAATTCCTCCTGAGAAAGATGTGAGAATTTAGTAAGTCCATAAGTTGCACCATTGGCTTTATTCAAAAATTCAAATATCCTGGAGTTCTTCTGAAAAAGAAAAAAAAATTGTGCTTTTAAAAGGTTTTTAACTTCCTGATGAATGGCGTTTAAAGTTATCCGCCAACTTACAAAATACAGATTTTAAAACCTACCTTTGTCTCTACTAGAATTCGTTCACCAGACGCATTTTTTGCCTGCTGAAACTCCTTAACAAAAGAACTTTTCGTGTTTATACATTGTAAAAAACCTAAAAGACAAAACGAAAGTATAATGTATGTCATTTTCATAATATTTAAAACCGAACACGGTGAACAGAAAAGTTTTTTTTTTTTTAAATATTTTATTTTCAACCAGGATTTTTCATTATTCGCATTATTTGCACTATTCGCTATGCCAATTTAATATTAATTATAACTGACAACAATACTTTAAGTGTTACTTTATAAAAGTCCTTTTCACTTAATTATTTTATTACGGAATTATAAATGCTACATGTCTTTCCTCCCTTTTCTACTTCCTTTTCAAGCCATCAACATGGCGAATCCCGTCAGCAAGAAGAAAAAGGTCAGCTTTGCTAGAATTTACGCCTGAATTATGGCATGAAGAGTAAAATATGTCCCAATAAATGATAGTAAAATAAATTAAGTTTGATTTTATGTTCTCATTGGAAGTGGATGTTGGGATTTAAGAACGATTAATTTGGATTGAGAAGAGAAAGTCGTTCATAACCATATCAAAATATCATGAATGCTGAATGGAAAAGACCTTTAATGATCAGAAAATAGTCTAGAAGTATATTTTAGAAAAAGTATGACAAACATAAATATCTATTGTTATATGTATTTTTATCCCAGAGGACTTCTATGGCATACATGCAAGTAATTGGCTTTGGGTGAAAAGGGGGGGGGGGGGTTTAGAACCATGTAGCATTGTAGTGAAATCGTTAGTGAGGCTAGTATTTTAAACTAAATCTGACACATCCGCAAATTTTAACTAAACCTTAACTTGACGATTTCTTTCCGTGACATTGTCATGATACTTTGATTCAGTTCACAAACATGCAGTGATCACTGATGTCAGATGCAGTCACTGAAGAGAAGTTTTCAGGACAAATTGAAAATTGAATTACTTATTAACATGCTACTGTTTTAATAAAGTAGCCTGGAAAAGTAACATTAACTTGCTCATCAGTCATCAAATATAGTAATTTAGGATGTCTATTGCAGTTTGTTGCAGATGGAGTCTTCAAGGCTGAGCTGAACAATTTCCTGACAAGGGAGCTGGCAGAAGATGGCTACAGTGGTGTAGAAGTTCGTGTGACACCTACACGTACAGAAATCATTATCCTGGCCACAAGAACACAGAATGTCCTTGGAGAAAAAGGCAGGAGGATCAGAGAACTGACCTCCGTCGTACAGAAAAGGTTCAACTTCCCAGAGGGAACAGTTGAGGTATACCTGATTGTTGAATAAGAACAAAAGAACCCATGTAGAGAAAACTGAAGCATTTGCCTCCCTTTTGCTTTAAGGATGTGTGTTTGAAGTATTATTTAAAATATGTGCTGAGCAAGAGTGCAGAAATTATAATTCAGTGATTGTATTTTGTAGCTTTATGCAGAGAAGGTAGCACAGCGTGGTCTGTGTGCCATTGCACAGTGTGAGTCTCTCAGATACAAGTTAATTGGAGGGCTGGCAGTAAGGAGGTAATGGTTCTGAAGACCTGATTTCTTTGTGAATTTGATATTAGAATTGTCAAAGACATCTCAGTTTCTGTGAATGCAAAAAAAGCTATTATTCCCAGTTTGCGGACAGGTTTCTTTGTTTGAGCAGTACTGTGGTAAAAATTGGGTACATTAATACATCATTGCTGTGTATTACAGTCATTATCATGTGGTTGTACATTGTAATGGTTTTACAATACAGAAATATTTGTGCTTTTTTAGTGGTGTAAAACAAGACATATATATTTAGATAAAAGTGCAAGTGTTTCTGCAGAACTTTTGACAAAAATTTTATTGTAAAATTAATTGCTTTGACATTGTAAAATTGAATGCCCTGCAGAGTGTAATCTTTATAAACAGTAGTAATAAAGTATCTTAAATTAACATTAATCAAATGTGCAATGGTCCACACAAACTTAAGTATTAGAATGCACAGAATACAGGATTTCAGCAATAGTTGCGGAATTATTTGAAACGTGTAGAACATGGCATTATTGTTGTAATACATTACAGCATTGAAAAATATTGTTTTAGTGACATAAACATGCATGTATTGCATATTCACTATTTTCTGAATATGAATATGCAGGATGGATGAACATTCTTAATGAACACACTTGGTATTCAAATTATGCTGAGCCAAAAAAAAAAGAATGTTGAAATCTAGCAGATAAAAAAAAAAATTGGGAAGAACATTCTTAATGAACACACTTGGTATTCAAGTAATGCTGAGCCAGAAAAAAAATTTGAAATCATCTTTTAAAAATCTTCTTCTCAAGAACCACAGTGCCACGAAAGATGAAACTTATGGGGAAACATCCTCAGGTAGTGTAGATTCAAGTTTGTTCAAATCATGACCCCCGGGGGTAGGGCAGGGCCAAAATGGCCGACCTAAGTTTTACATAGAAATATATAGGAAAAAAAAAAAGGCCATAATTGGGAACAACTTATGGAAGCATAATGTAGATTCAAGTTTGTTCAATAGGGTGGGGCCAAAATGGCCAACCAAAGTTTTACACAAAAATCTTCTCCTCAAATAAATTTATATGGAAGCATCCTCAGGTAGTGTAGATTCAAGTTTGCACCTTTTTCAAGTTTTCTTTTAGGGGGAAGGGGAGGATTTTGATATATGTTTGCTTTATCTAGGTGAGCAATGTGGCCCATAAATACTTGTTAATTCACTTTATCAATAAATAAATACATGTATAATTCACTTTTTGCAAAAGAAGTGCTTTAGTTTAATTCCCAATTTGCGGACAGTCTGCTTTATTTGAGCAGTACTGTGGGAAAAAATTGGGTAAATTAATACATCATTACTGCATATTTACAGTCATTATACAATGGGTGTGTACAGTGATGGTTTGACATTGCATTATACTTTTAAAACAATATTTGTCACAAGAAATCTATAAATCTGCATATAATAAAGTAACAATACAAAACTAGGGATGTTGCAAGATTTGAAGGAAAATAGTCGAGCAATATTTTGAAATTGTTTACATGTGTTCCTTTTTTGTCAGGGCCTGTTATGGAGTACTGCGATTCATCATGGAGAGTGGTGCTAAGGGCTGTGAAGTCGTTGTTTCAGGAAAGCTCAGAGGACAGAGAGCTAAATCCATGAAATTTGTGGACGGACTTATGATCCACAGTGGTGACCCCATTAACGATTACGTAGACACAGCCGTCAGACACGTCCTGCTTAGACAGGGTAACTTGTACTTAAAATTTTTAAAAATCAGGGAATAAATTTAATTCGTAGCATATTATGGAGTGTATACCAGAAACTAAATGGTGTACACTAAAAGGTAATTTTAGGTTTGACAGTTGTATGATGATACAAAATATTAGTCTTTTTGTGAAAAATTAATCCAGAAAATGTTTTGATTCCTGTTTGGGATTTATCTAGCATACCAGTAGTCTATATGTTTGCTACTTTTCACACTGTTATCTGTAAGTGTAAAAGTGCTAACCTTGTTAACTTGCTTTTAGGTGTGCTGGGAATTAAGGTCAAGATCATGTTGCCATGGGATCCCAGTGGTAAAATTGGTCCCAAACGACCACTGCCTGATCACGTCAGTGTTGTGGAGCCAAAGGAGGAGACCATTCCTGCTCACCCTTACAGTGAACAGAAAGGAGCCAAGCCCACAGAGGCCCCAGCTGTACAGGCCTAAAGGTGGGTAAGCTAGCCTGGACAGGGGTTAAAGCAGGCTGAATGCTTGCATAATGGGCCTTAGCTAACTCTAGCAAAAAATTATTGCAGAAATATTGGTTAGTCAAAAAATTAAGGGCTGTCACAGGACCTTCTCAAAAATCTGAAAACCACAGTCCACATTGTTTGGTATTTTATACTGAAATTTAAAGAATGACATTGATTTACTGTATGTGTACTTAAAAAAGCAGGCTTCAAATTTTAGCGGCTTTAGCGCAGACAGTGATTTGCTAACTCATGAATACCACTAAGAAATCATTCGATTACGCTACATCTCCATATCCATTGATTGCGCTAAATTTTGAAATGCACAGTATATGATAAATATGAGTGAAATAAATTTAAACAGTCAAAACACATTGCAAAAGATGGGTCAGTTACAGAAATGAGCAAGATTAGTTATGATGTTACTATTAAATAGTCAGCATTAGATGCAAAGAACTAAATCAAAACCAAAATGAAAATGAAAATTTTCTGAACTTACCCAGCCGGGAAAAAAATGGAACTCTGACAGCTCATATCATTGAATTTATTGCTTTTCAAAGGTTTGTTATGTATAGCTTGGCTTGTTTTAACCAGAAAATTTATTGCACAAAAAATTGAAAGGGTAAATAAGTGTTAAACAATTAGAGATATACAGTCAATTCTCGAATTATCGCCATTCGATTCATCGCCATTTTTGCAATACCGCCATGATTTCCCAAGAACGTTTTTCCTGCTATATAAAATTCTCTTTATAACGCCAAATTCGCACACATACCCTGTTTTCACAACAAACGTCCATTTTTAAGTGTAAATTATCTGGATAATACCGCCACAGGTGCATGTGGTCAGTGAAGCGCGGCTAATTGGTTGACGCTATCCCTGTTGTAAAGCATGCAAAGCCAGTGAAGGTACATGCAATTAAGTAAACAATAATTTTAACATGAACTGTTAGAATAATTTGGTTCTCTGTTTAATGAAATCATTTAGTCAAGGCTTCACCACGAAAGCGGTCATTGTAAAGTACGCCGATAACGATATTTTTTTGATGGTCTCTGCTTTTAAAAACAATGCAAAGTTTGCTTAAAAAATAATTATAAGTTGGAAATTGTGAACGTTTTATTAACAATGATTTAATAAACAATTAATTTATTCAAGAACTTATTTAACTTCTATAGGCAATGTATCACGACGATCGACCCAGCATTTTTTTTTTCGATATCAACAGAGTTTACATGCATACACATGTACATGTACTTGTCTTAATTTCATAACTGAATATTTTGTTTTAGCGAAATTGTACAATAAAAAATTACATGAAGTATTTTCAAATTTAGAAATATGTTTATACATACATGTACATGTGATAATAAGAATAGAAACGCTAAATGGTATTTCTAAGAACGATAACTCTACGTCTTATTTCCTAAAAGATGGAAAATTCAATTCATCGCCTAATTCGTTATACCGCCATGATTTCTAAATTACAAAAGGTGGCGGTTTATCGAGAATTAACTGTATTCCTTCAGCTTAGATGAACATTTCGTTTTCATATACAAGTTGTATTGTTGGGCTATAAGTTGACATGTATGAAAGAAAGTAATGAATTGTTTGTACATATGTTTGGTTAACTCACTGATGTAGAATTTTGTCTTTTTATTTCAGATTTGGTGAAAGAGACTTGTGTAAACAAAAAAATAAATGTGAAAAAACCTTCAGAGCATCTTATTTTTCCTTGGAAAACACAGTTCAAACAAAAGTCTAAACAGAAAGTCTGGTGTAAAATGAAGTCTAAAAGTTTGGTTGAGTAAAACAAATTGGCTTGAAAACAGATGTCTACTTTCCTAAGGAGGAAAAGTATATTATACACCCAGCAAATTGATTTTTATTGGATTCAGTATGTCTGTCTGGAGATTCAGTTCTTGACCTGTTCTCAGAGCCTGCATGGATTTGTCTAATAATTTTTTACATACGTTATTTTTATTTAAATAATGAAATACTTTCTTTGGTTGTTAATACGGGAATTAATGTCCCAGCTATATAAATTATATGGGGAACTTGCATCAATTCTTAGCAATTCATTTTCTTAGCTCAGGGGTATTAAACATATGACCTACCTATATAGCTATGATGACCATGTGTGTTTCTTTCAGAATTTTGAATTTCAAGTCCCCTGTGTCAGGGGTACCATAGAGGGGAGGGGGGGGGGCTAATTATATACGCACAATGAATTAATGCTTTGAAACCTGCTTCTTGGTATATTGCTAACATTTTGATGATTAAAATTATGAAATGTGGGGGCATATCCCCCTCCTCTGGCTCTGGGTATTAAGTAAACAAACTAAGCTTGCAAAGTTTATAGTTATGATGGGAAATGGTGAGTCTTTCAAAATTGTGAATGTCAAGGCCTCTGGCTTAAAACATGAACAAAATTCAATGGTTGGAAAGTTGTTACATGATGCTTATCCAGTTAGGTGACCTATGAGGCCCATGGGCCTCTTTTTGAGACATCGGTCTAGAAATTGCCAGTTGTATATATGTCGTATATTAAAATTTAAAAAAAAGTGTTTGTGAAACACTGTTGCCCCCATATTGCATGTCAAAACAGGTAACATTACAACATTGTCTTTGTATGAATATAAATTATATAAATTGTATTTTCGAAGAACTTGTATAATTTTTCATACGAAGCGGAATATGTTCATTTATATACAAGTCATATAAATTAAATACCTGTTGATATTCAATGTGATTTGACATTTTTGGTTCTTCTCATATTTGTCAGTTTTGAAAATATTTTTTAAAGCATTTCACACTTTTTGCACACACTCCTGTGTAAAAAAAATATGCAAATTTGTCATTAACTATTTCAATGACAGAAAAATAGAACATTTATGATCTTCTGTTGTTCATATTTGAAACAAAAACTTTAACCTTGCCCATAACTTTTGATTTAGTGGAGCTATAATTTTCGTATTTCATATGTGTATTGCTTGTGATAAGACCTTTCTCATACCAATAATTTATATTGACCTTGGAGTTTCAACTACTTTTCCTAAAAAATTCCAAACTTTTACTTTGGCCATAACTTTTAAATGGTAAGTACTAGGACTTTCATATTTCACATATTTATTCTTTGTGACAAGACCTTTCAACGAATACCAACAACTTTGACCTTTTGACCTTGACCTTGGAAATTTAACTTATGAAAAAAAAAATTATCCTTGACCATAATTTTTGAATAAGGGCTACGGCTTATATTCACATATTTTATATCTTGTAAAAAGACCAAAATGAATATGAATTACCATAACCTTGGAGTTTTAACTACTTTTTAAAAATTATAACCTTGGTCACAACTTTTGAACGGTATAAAACTTTTATATTTCACACATGTATTCTTTAAGGCAACACCTTTCATTGGATACCAACAACTTTGACCTTTTGACCTTTGAGATTTACGTACTTAAAAAAATTTAACCTTGACCATAACTTTTAAATAGTAAGGGCTAGGGCTTTCGTACTTCACGTATGTAATCCTTGTGAGAAGACCTTTCATTGCATGCCAAGAACTTTGACCCGCTGACCTTGACCTTGGAGTTTTAACTACTTTTTAAAAACGTTAACCTTGGTCACAACTTTTGAACGGTAGAAACTAGGACTTTCATATTTTAAATATATGTATTCTTTATGGCAAGACTTTTCATGGGATACCAAAAACTTTGACCTATTGACCTTGACCCTAAAAATGATATCTTGCCCACAAAGATACGGAAAGCGGGGGACCACAATTCTTTGAATTTGCTTGTTAATACCTAAAAATTAAGAGCAAGAGGTCAGGAAAGAAATGTCAAAGTTTTGAAAATTTCACACAAAGACTTTTCGGGCATAGTTCCCCCTTTAAGACATGCTAAATTAATGACAAATAAGTTGATGAAACAAAGATATTAGTAGTCATCATTTTGTAAGTTCAATGGTCGATACAATAACCTTGTCAGCAAATTCAATTTATCAATGAGTCAAATGCTAACTGACATTACTTACACACTGAATTGACGGATTTTTTTCGTTAAGTCCCGATAATGACAAATGGCACACTGCAGGTGTGACCGATCAGCAGGGGATGCTCACTCCTCCATGGTACCTGATTTCACCTCCGATGTTTTTGAGGTTCGTGTTAATTTGCTCCTCTCGTATTTTGTATTATTTTATGAACCTAACTTTGGGCTTGAAGTTGAAAATTTTTCGTTATCTCCATACATTTCATTACGCAATGTTTTTAAATTTTTTTTTTTTTATAATTTGTAAAATGTTTTTAAATTTAGTTTTTTTGTAAATATGATTTTATTTTTTTTTTAATTTGTAAAATATTTTAAGTAAAAAAGGAATGAAGACCCTGCACAGAAGATAACAATCGTCACTGCTTGGCCATTTCCGTAACCACGGGGAAAAAAAAAAACAATCGTAACTACTCGACTATTTCCGTTGTCACAATCGGCAAACTTCACACAGAAAAAAAAATGAGGCAAACAAACAAAAATCACTCACAACAAACAATCGTAACTTGACGGAAAAGGCTATTTCCGATGTTACAAATATCGGCTACGAAAAAGGGCGATTGTGATCCGAATGAGGTATGACGTTTGTCTAATTATGACGTCACGTCAGGTTTACTTTGCAGTGTTATTTTGTAACGGAAAAAAACAAATATTATATCCAAGAGGTGACATAAAAGGTAAGAAAATCTGATAATTTACTTGTTCTACAATATTATTTTTTGATTTATGTGCTGCTGATTTAGATGACGTCACACTTGGTAACTGCTAGGGAGCGTTGCGTTGTGGTTACCGTAGTTAGTTACTCACTTCGCTTAGTAGAGAGTAGACGTGTTTTTCATACAGCGATACAAATTGCAATTATCACAATGAAAAGGCAGAGATCTTCAGAGAGAAAAGACCAGAGTGTGTCTAAGAGGGTAATGGAGCAGAAAATAAAACAATTCTCTCTAAAAAACTGTTTTTTGCACATTTATAATTTTTATTCCAAAATTTCGTGGAAAGGGGGGGGGGGGGGTTGACAACACTTGTGATTCAGGACCGTAGCATCGATTTTGAAAGTGGGGGGGGGGGGGGGGGGGGCATAAATTTTTTTGTTAATTACCTGTAGTTGACAAGCAAAAAAAAAAAAAAAAAGAAAGAAAAAAGGAAAAATTGCCCAAACTCGTAAATCCTATTTCGTGTGTGTGTGTGTGTGTGTGTGTGTGTGGGGGGGGGGGGGGGGGGGGGTAGAGGCAAACTTTTTTCACTACCAATTCCATACAATACTATATTTCCTTCATATAACTTTACTTTAGTATAAAGTGGAGGGGCCAACCAGCCTTTCAATGAACATTTTCAATAGTAAAAGTATTGTTGGCAAAAATTGCTACGTCCCTGTGATTGTTTCATAGTATACTAGCGCCTGTGGGTGACAAGTCTATACTTTTTTTTTTTACATTGGTATGCAATAATTTAATGCACAAATCCTTGGCTACAAGAAAAACAAATTGTGAAATTTACATTTCTTCCTTTTTGTAAATGCTAAAGAATTATTTCAGATAAAACGTCTATTATGGCGTTAAATCACACATATTCACAATATAATTAAATATATTAAATGACCATAGCATGTTGGATCTCAGAGGGCAATGTTTTGCAGATTAATATTTTGTAATACTTTAGAAATCCTTGTTACATGTACATTAGATTTGTCCCACTGAATACTGTTTAGTTCATCTGAACTTAAGGCTCAAGTGAACTTTACTGATCAAAATTTGTCCGTTTTCCATCGTTGTTGAAATAATGGTATCACATTTCCATCTTCCTCTTCAGAACAACTGGCCAATTTCAATTAAACTTGACACAAAGTATTCCAGGGTAAAGGGGATTTAAAGTTTGAAAAAGACAATAAGCTCTTCAAATGAAAGATAATTAAGAAATCGTAAAAAATTGGCTGGGTAAAAGATGAAAGTTATGTAAAAGCTTTCTGGTGTAGTGTAGATTCAAATATTAATTATTCTTCTCAAGAACAGCAGAAGCTTGAAAAGGCAAATTAATATGTGGAAGCATCCTCAAATAGTGTGGATTCAGATTTGTTCAAATCATGACATCCCCCCCCCCCGGGGGAAGGGTTGGCATCTCCATGGGCTATCAAAGTTTTTAAAAATACTATGAATACATGAAGAAAAAGCTTCTCAAGAACAGCAAGATCTTGACTAGTCATATTTAGATAGAAATTTCCTCAACTATATATACTGTATTCAAGTTTGTACAAATACTAGCCCCCAAAAGTAGGGTAGGGCCAATTTTTGCAATCCAAATATTACATAAGAATAGATACCGCTATTTTACTTCTTCTCAAGAACAGTAAGGTTAACATCTCCTTAGGTGAGTTGATATCCTCTAGATCTATTAAGACAATGTATGAGTTACAAAAATATATATATTATAAAAATAATGAAAAAGAATCTTTTGATGAAACCTGGAGGCCATTGACTGATTTATTTTCGTAACCATCTTAAATTATAAAAAAAAAATTACATATAAAAAAAAAAACAGCAAGGTTATGGTTAGCATATTTAGATGGAAGCACACCCTCAATGATTGTAGATTCACACCCCCCCCCCCTTCCCTCCTCAGGAGTAGGGTGAGCCACCCCAATTTTTCATAGGAATACATAGGGAAGATCAAAGGGATGATTAGTCATATATGTTTGGAAGCATTCTTAGATTCAAGTTTATTCAAATCATGACACCTGGTGATAGGTTGGGGCTTGGGTGTTAGGGGTAGGGTTAGAGTAAGGGGTAGGGGTTAGGGTTAAGAGTAGGGGTAGGTTAGAATTTTTAATAGGATTAGGGGTAGGGTTGGGGGTAAGGGTTAGGGTTTGTGGTAGGGTTAGGGGTAAGGGTTAGTGATAGGGTTAGTGATGGGGTTAGGGTTAGTGATAGGGCTAGGGTTAGTGATGGGGTTAGGGTTAGTGATTGGGTTAGGGTTAGTGGTAGGGTTAGGGTTAGTGATAGGGTTAGGGTTAGTGATGGGGTTAGGGTTAGTGATGGGGTTAGGGTTAGTGATGGGGTTAGGGTTAGTGATAGGGTTAGGGTTAGTGATAGGGTTAGGGTTAGTGATGGGGTTAGGGTTAGTGATGGGGTTAGGGTTAGTGATGGGGTTAGGGTTAGTGATAGGGTTAGGGTTAGTGATAGGGTTAGGGTTAGTGATGGGGTTAGGGTTAGTGATAGGGCTAGGGTTAGTGATGGTTTAAGTGATAGGGTTAGGGTTAGTGATAAGGATAGTGGTAGGGTTATAGAGTTAGTGATAGGGTTAGGGTAAGTGATAGAGTAAGTGTTAGTGATAGGTTAAGAGATAGGGTTAGGGTTAGTGATAGGTTAAGAGATAGGGTTAGGGTTAGTGATAGGGTAAGTGATAGGGTTAGGGTTAGTGATAGGGTTAATGGTAGGGCTAGGGTTAGTGAAAGGGTTAGTGGTAGGGTTAGGGTTAGTGGTAGGATTACGGTTAGTGGTAGGGTTAGGATTAGTGATAGGGTTAAGGTTAGTGATAGGGATAGTGGTAGGGTAGGGTTAGTGATAGGGTTAAGGTTTGTGATAGGGCTAGGCTTAGTGATAGGTTAAGTGATAGGGTTAGGGTTAGTGATAGGGTTAATGGTAGGGTTAGTGATAGGGTTAGTTGTAGGATTAGTGATAGGGTTAGTGGTAGGGTTAATGATAGGGTTAGTGATAGGGTAAGTGATAGGGCTAGGGTTAGTGATAGGGTTAGGGTAGTGATAGGGCTAGGGTTAGTGATAGGGTTAGGGTTAGTGATAGGGTTAGTGGTAGGGTTAGTGATAGGGTTAGTGGTAGGGTTAAGGTTAGTGGAAGGGCTAGGGTTAGTGATAGGGTAAGTGATAGGACTAGGGTTAGTGATAGGGTAATTGATAGGGCTAGGGTTAGTGATAGGGTAAGTGGTAGGGTTAGGGTTAGTCATAGGGTGAATGGTAGGGTTAGGGTTAGTGGTAGGGTAAGTTTTTGGGTTAGTGGTAGTGTTAGTGGTAAGGCTAGGGTTAGGGATGGGTTACTGATAGGGTTAGGAAAGGGTTAGGGTTAGTGGTAGGGTCAGTGTTAGGGTTTGTGATAGGGTTAGGGGCAAGTGTAGTGTTAAGATAGGTAAGGTTAGTGGTAGGGTTAGTGTACTGTAGTAGGGTTAGTGGTAAGGTTAGTGTAAGTGGTAGGGTTAGGGGTAAGTGTAGTGTTAGGGGTAGGGTTAGGGTTAGTTGTAAGGGTAGGGTGGGGCTACAATATATTACCTTGCTTTTATAAGAAATACATGTATATTAATTTGGAAAAATCTGCTTACCCAGTGTAAAGATCAGAAGGGCCATAGTTACATAGGTGAGCATTGTATTCCACGAACCTCTTGTTATACCCCCCGCTTGAAAAGCGGGAGGGTATATAGTAATCGTATGGTCCGTCCGGTAAGGTCCGTCCGTCCGTCTGGTCCGTCCGTCTGTTACGCTTTGGGGTACCCATCTCTTATCCGCAACTCCTCTCATACCACTGAATGAAATTTGATGAAACTTTCACAGAATCTTTATTACATATTGCCATTGTGCACCTCCTATTTTACATTTTGATCTGACACATATTTTGGGTTTCCCGGCCACAGGAAAACATGGACTTTTTCACCACTTATAACCATATGGGAGGCGGGGGGTATCATTTAGTGAGCTCATGCTCACAGTACCTCTAGTTTTTGCTTGTCAAGAGGTAGTTAGCTTGCTACATGTAACCCCCTTCCTAAACAAAATATCCTTTCAAATGAAATTGCATTTTACAGGCCTGGATATACATGCATATACAGTCAATTCTCGAATTATCGCCATTCGATTCATCGCCATTTTCGCAATACCGCCATGATTTCCCAAGAACATTTTTCCTGCTATATAAAATTCTCTTTATAACGCCAAATTCGTACCGCCATCCGCCACCCTGTTTTCAAAACAAACGTCCATTTTTAAGTGTCAATTATCTCGATATACCGCCACAGGTGCGTGCGGTCAGTGAAGCGCGGCTAATTGGTTGACGCTATCCCTTTTGTAAAGCATGCAAAGCCAGACAAGGTACACGCAATTAAATAATTAAATTAGAATTAAATGAACAAATAATTTTAATATGAGCTGTTACAATGATTTTGTTCTGTTGTTTTGTTGAAAAAATCATATAGTCACGGCTTCACCACGAAAGCGGTAGTTGTGAAAGTACGCCGAATACGATATTATTTTGATGAACTCTGCTGTAAACAATGCAAAGTTTGCTTAATAATGATTATACGGTATAAATTTTGAACGTTTCACGAACAATGATGCCATAACAATAAATTTATTCAAGAAACTATTTTATGTACTGTCAGAATATATCACGCTGACCCAGCATGTTTTTTTTCAATATCAGACGTGCCGATTTACATGTACATAAACACACATGTACATGTCTCTGCACATTTTGTTTTAAAGAAATTGTACATAAAAAAATACTTGAATTATTTTAAAATTTAGAAATATGTTTTGTATACATGTACATGTAATTATAAGAATAGAAACGCTTTATGGTATTACTCTCTCCTTCTTGTTTCCTCTCTCTCTCTCTCTCTCTCTCTCTCTCTCATACATAATTATGTACTAGTATATGAATTTAATTGTAACAACAAGTTTTTGTCATTTTTAGAGCCGTATAGAGGCCTCTTCAGATGACAAACAATGGTACGAAGTGATGCTCTCTCTCTCTCTCTCTCTCTCTCTCTCTCTCTCTTCACTAGTAACATAACCTTTGTCATCTTCTCTCTTCAGTAATACTCTCCTCTCTCTCTCTCTCTCTTTTCTCTGCTGCTCATGGATGGGTAGAGCACATTGAAGACTGGGTAAGAGTCTGACTTGGAACATTTTACTTACCTAACAAAAGCTACATACAAATGCACATTATCCAACAAATATAATTATTTTCTGTTGGTTGTATACTCTTACAAGAGTTTTATATGATTAATATTATGTTACATGGCTTCTTTTATTTTTTAGCGTAAACTGACCAGTGCCATCAACAAGTCTGAGGAGCGTAGGGAACTTCCCACCATACCACAACCTACGCACCAGGTTAGTGTCACATTTATTCTCAATGACAATGCCATCACGCAATTATATTTCAAAATCATTTTATACCCCCGCTTGAAAAGTATAGGGTATATAGTAATCGGTATGTCCGTCCGTCTAGCTGTACGTCTGTGCCACCCATCTCCGCAACTCCTCTAATAAGTCTTAATGAAACTTTCACAGAATCCTTATTACATATTGCCAATGTGCACCATTTTACTTTTTGTCACATTTATTCTCAATGACAAAGCCATCATGCAAAATTTCAAAATCATTTTTTAAACCTATGCTGGATATAATTTAGATCTAGGATTTTTTTTCTCTTAAAATAAATTTGAAAGAAAAGATCTTTCCATTTAAAATCCTCAGAAAAATTAAAAATATCCCCAATGCTGAAAGCCCCTTTCCCCCAACAAAATCAATATTCATATCATATGCCCTTGTATATAGTTTTGCGCTAGAATTTGAGGTTTTAAGATACTTAGCAATTTTTTTAATTGGGTTTGGTGGATGGGAGAATCTGTTAATTTTTGGGGAGGGGGTGTGTTTCAATGTCGTTTAGGCTACATTTTCTGTAAATATACCAGTAAAAAGATTAGATCTTCCATCTTAAAACCTGATTCTCTGATTTGTTGAACAAATTGAAAAGGAGAATGAAGTTTTTATTAATCTTTACAGATGGAATGGTTGGCTAGTCAACTTTAAGCACAGAGCAATGCGCCGTGACGTACCAAAACAGAGACAACCCAAAGTCTCCAAGAGTCACGACTTAAACTCCTCCTTTTACGTCTTCTAAAGAGTAGAATGTTCTTGGTAAGTTGAACTTATGACATAGAATTAATTATTTCTTATAACTTTTTTTAATTTTTAATTTTTTACTAAATTTGTAAAATCTGTTATTTAGTAACAAATTACATGTATTTATACAAGAACTATAATTATACTGTACATGTGTATATACATTTATAGGTATAAAAGATGGAAAGATACTTTGTCGGCAGTGAACATGAAATGGTTACTAGTATGAGTTGTACAAAGACAGTGTGGGATACTTTACACAGACATTGCTTGAGTTTGCCTGTTCAACTTGATTGTGCTGGCAGATTGAGACAGAGTGACTTCCCTTTGTCCATGAACAGAGAATGCATGATCCAATACATGCAAGGCAAACTAAGCAGGGACAGTCCTAGTATTCATGGCAAATTCCATATGCCATTACACGAGACAGCCATACAATTAATACTTTTCTGGCAATTTGCATTTCTACTCTTTTTGGCAAAGGAGTTGGGAGTTTGACTCAGTACTACACCACTGTACTGACTACTACAGTATATTTTGGCATTCTTTTTTGAGGCACACTGTATTGACTACTATAGTATATTTTTGCATTCTTGGAAAAGTTTTTTAAAATCCATTTTTGACATAAGCCTTCATTTTTAGCAGCTGTTACATTTGCTGGAATGTAAATATTATTTTTACAGTATATTTCATTAGATTTCAACCCTACAGTTATTTGGCTCACTATACATGTGTATATTTTTTCATTTTTTTTTTATCTTTATGCAAATTTTATTGATCAGAAGATGATTAAGTAATTCAAATACATGTCGATTTTATTTATTTATACATGATTTTGCATGCTGTTTTTATGTTTGTAATAAATTAAAATATTTTCAAAAATTGACTGATGATGGTATTACTTTTTTAATGTCTTTGTTGTTTTTTTAATATTCCTCTTGAGAATTTTTCAATCCAATATGGAGTTGCCATCACTTGCCGGTAGAGAGCTGCAAATATAGACCTATATATTCAGCATTCAGGGCCATTCAGCAGTGAGGGAATTTCGTTGTGCTAACACCTACTGAGACATTAGACCTTGTTTGTTTATACATCTCATCCAAAAGACTGGCCTTGATGTCCTGCAGAGGGATATGAACCTGCGACATAGTATACACTTATCCACTGGTTGTGAGTGGGATAGTTCTTTTATCAAACCCGCGACAGGGAACTATTCCCCGAGGGCTTCTCTTTCTTTGAAAGAGCTATCCCAACATTAAGTGTTTTATTATACTGATGTATATTATAATTTCTAAGATTTGAATTTTCTTTGGAGTTATATAATACTGCAAGAATGAGCTGAAATCCTGATGACGTCACAATGCTACTGAAGTCATTATGACATCATCAGACTATGGATTTAACGCTGGAAATGAAAATTGGCGGCAAAAATTGCATGAAAATATTCCGAGGGGTGGGTAGCAAAAACTATACCCCGGGGTATATCTTTCTATGCGGGGAAATTTTCAGGCTATGAAGAATAGTTATTTTGCCTTCTGAACTTTATATAGGAAACATTTTAACAGAAGTATAATAAAATCAACTCCTTACTCAGAAACTCTTCTCTTTCTCAAAGCAAACATTCTAACTGCTGCACCACACAGCTGACTTCAAAGGCGGATCCAGGGCCACCACATCGGGCGTGCAGGGCCGGAGCACGCCAGAAATATACAATTTCAAAATAATTTGAGACATAACTCTCTTTAAAAGCATCCATTCATATTGAGCATATATTCTCCCCACATAATTTGAAGATGCTTAGCCACATATTTTTAGGAGGAGGTTTAACATACACAATTGCTCCGAGTTGAATCAACCGAAAAAGGGTAGTGTGCAAGATACTGTAAATGTAGAACATTTGGCTGTGTATTCTATTCATAGACAGAATCATCTGCTAAATCAAATACATTGATAATGTCTTGTTTACATATGTTCATATAAAATACATTCAGAAAGCACTTATTCAAATCTATGCTATTAACTTGTTAAAAAAATTGATTTCTGCCAAATATCATACACACCAAATAAAATACATTTACAGTACATGTTCCACACAAATAAGAGATGGATGGACAGACAAACAGACAAAAAGTGTCAAAATAATTCAACAGACTGTGTATAAAAGTAGAACCCAGTCTAACATTTTCTGGGTTTTTTCTCTTCAAATATTACAAAGTATAAATAGAGACAAGAATATATTTGACTGTTTTATTTGTAATTTGTATAGACTCACAATGCACTATAACATCAGCCATTTCTACACTGCACATGCAGATACATGTACACAGTTTCTTTCATCTCTCATGACAAATGATTCATTTACATTGTATTTAATATATAAAAAAACTGAGACCAATGAAATTAATTACTGGCTAAACACATACAGCTAAAAATCACCCTTTTGATGAAATGATTATAATATGAACACATTGAACACTGTCTATCTTAAAACATCTTGTAAAAGTAATTAAATGTTTTTATCACATTTCATACAAGAAATATGTATTATAACCTTAACGTGTAATGGCAATTGTAAAATATGGGTTTTTGTTGCAGTGTCCTTTCAGCATTAAATTTTATGCCACAACCTTTAAGTGTAAGCACCATTATAAATGTCATCAAATTATATTTCTTCATTGTAAAATGGTAAAATTGTGTCATGGAAAATGTATCAATGCAGTAAAATCTACCAGGGTTCATATTTATTAACAGGAAAAAAAATGTTTCCACAGAGTGATAAATAAAGCACTTTTGTACAAAAAAAAATATATATTAATATTTTTGATAAATTAAAATTCAGGATGCATTTCTAGCCACTCTGTTTAAGAAGAATGTTAAAATTGTCTTGTACAACCAATTCTTATCATTAAAACACATCTCCATTAAATGAGATGTCTGAAATTGATCCATTGCATTCATTATAAACATCTAAATAATACATGTATACATTCAAAATCAACAGTTTATATTTTCTACAAAAAAACAAATAACAAATTCATTACACAACATATTTCAAGAGGCTGTCAATTACACTCAAATCACAACCAGCGGTATAATTAACATAGAATAAATAATTATAACAAAGTCAGTACCTATCTTGGTACCTTTACAGAGTGAAATAAATGCATGCATAACACAATAGTCCATCTTAATGACCAACTTACTGTTACAACCAATCAAAATATGGGGAAAATACTTTGGGTAAAATGGTGGGTGAAGTTGATTTGTTATATGTACAAGACAAAAAATTTTTATGAACAAATGTTTTGGCAGATCTATTTATATCACAATTTAAACATCTACAATGAAGGGATGGAAACAGAGGCTAAAAAAAGAGAACTTGCCATTTAAAATACATTGTACTAAAACATTTTATAAATCCATCCATGATGTTTAGTTTCCATGCCAGGAATCAGCTAACACAAACATGTATTTCTAGCACCATGCTATTTTTTTTTGTATTAAAGCAGCATTGACATCATCAATATAAAAGATTTGTACTGACATGAAAAAATGAGGTCAGAGGTTAAAGGTTAAATCACAACACCAGAAGCATGGCAGGGATAGTTTTTCTTCACACTGAGATAAATGACTTTTGTATGGCACATTTACATCACTAGACACGACACACACATTACACGTTTGTATTTTTCTCTCCTGGGTTGTTCAGAGGTGTACTTTCGTCAATATTGTCATCGCAGCTTTCCTCTTCACTTAGATTAACCTCACTGTCCTCTATTTCACACAGGCCTGAGATGTCAGACACAGAAGCATTTGTAGAGGCATATCCTCCCAAGGACATGCTCATTCTGTCTATGACAGAGTTCCTGACATTGTATTCACTGTCTGTTATACCCCCGTCGGAAACAAAACCGGGGGTTAACTTTTTAGTGTTGGGGAATCCATAAGTCACAACTTCTTCATCATTGTCAGATGTATAAAATTCATTCTCGTCACATGACGGAGGTTCTGGCCAATCACTGTGTGAGTCTCTGTCACCTGACATCTGCTCATGTGATTGGGTAAAACTGTGATTAGGTAGGTACTGATTGGGATGTGTAATTATCTGATGCTGAGGGAGTTCGTAACTCTCCTCCTCTTCCTCGGGAGTTTGAGGAAGTCCTAGCACTCGCCGATAGTTTGGTGGACTCATGTAACACTCCTCATTATCGTACTCATTGTCCGCAAACTCGGAATCACCGACATACTCCGACTCCAGCAGCTCTGGGTCGGTGTAAAGAACCGAGTCATTGATGGGACCGTTGGGAAATCCTATGTGGGTGTTGGACTCATTGCTATGGGGACTAGAACTGGGAGAATCATGGATTTCATGGATTGGAACTTCACTGATGTTGGGGAGGGATGGTCTAGGGGCCCAGTCTGAAGCGTCCCAGTGATAATCTGAAGAATATAATAAAACCAAGAGTGAGACATAAAGCCACACAGTTCTAAAGCTATATAATACTTACATATACTCAATTAGCAAAAAAAAAAAAATCTTGCTTTAAAGCAAAGAGCAACAAACTTTCAGTTTAAGATCAAAGTAAAACAGAAAGCATTTGTATCATTACTTTTTAAATAAATTACCTGACACTGTACTAAAGTTTATTCATACAGAGAATATAAACTGAACTTATATTATTGATACTGATATTTGTACATGTATATAGATTTTACATAAATTTGACTCATTATTTGCACAGGTTACAAACACATTCAGGCAGGGTGGATCTGTTTAAAGACTTAGTAATCATACATATATAGAATAAAGTTTAAGAGAATAGTACACATGACATTTTCTTTTCTTTTTTTATATCAATTTTAAAGTAATGAACTGAATCTTTCATATAAATAAAGACCACATGACAAGAAAAAAAAGAAGAAAAACCACTTAGAATTAAAATAATCTGGTTAATAAGAACTAATGGAAGATTATATTGAGCATGCATAGTAGAATAAGAAAATCATAGAGATTTGAAAATAAAATTCTGAAATAAATACATGTATATATAATGATAAATAAGTGTAATTAATAAATTATAATTAAAAAAAGCTTTAACCACATGAAGCAACATTACAATTTTTTTTTTTCTAAGTAACATGCTGAGTGGTCGAGCTACCTTTTCCTTTCTTCCTGCACCTAGCAGCTGTTGGAAAAAAGATTCTCTATTGTATAAAGACAAAAACACACACACGTCTTTATATATTTTTTTTCTATGAAGAATCTTGATTATTTATGGATGATGTCATGAATTGACTACAAGTTGCTTTCCTTGACTACTCGGGTATATCTAATTTAAGCAAAGATAAGCAAGCACCTAATTCTAAGCCAATACAAAAGTAGAAAATTTTCTTTCTCTTTTTGCTTGCATGAAGCATTGCATTGAAGGGAAGCAACCTGCTTCTATGGCAATGTACATCATATCTCAATAGTGAAATGAGATGGCACAAATGATAATGAAATGCCCATATATTTATTTGGAGTAAGCTCTTAATATTTCATCTAGAAAGGAAAATGTTTCCCAATAGAGATCTATAAATACTTGTATTGGTTAATTGATTTAACCCACAAAGAAAAATAATTCCCATTAGATATTTACTATATAAATACTTGATGAGTTAATGTGTTGATTAGAACATGTGTTCGAGATAAGCCATAGTTCATATATTATTCTAGCTTAATTATTACATATTAGACAATAATTAGAGCAGATTTTCCTGCGTTACCCATATAATTGTACACTGTATACGTAAGTGTTGAGTGTAATGTGCAAGTTTATGACATACTGTTGACCATAAAAGAGTGAACTATCCCACTATCTGATAATGGTTTGTTTCTATAAGGTCTGGTGAAAATAGTGCAAATGAGGTGCAAATGGTAAACAAGAATGATGAAAGCCGAAATATACATGCAATGAAAATGAATCAATGTTTAAATATTAAATCTATATTCTACATTAAGATTCCATAGTATTAAATTTAAAAAATATATATTTTGTTCTTTCTAACATTTTTGTTTTTAAATTGTAAAAAAAAAGTTATCTACAGTTATGTAGTTGGAGAAATGTTATGAAGTTGAATGGATGAGTCAGAGAAATCTATTTTACTGAAGAAGTAGACTGAAGTTGAGATGCTTACCTGGTTCATCTTCAGACTCGGAGACGGGCAGACTGCTGAAGGAGGTAGTATCCGGACACATAAACCCTTGACGAGGCATGCGTGGAAATTTCTCTGGGTGTTTCTTTTCTATTTTCAAGATAGAGACAAAAAATGAAATGTACATGTATACATACATGCCTCTAGTTCAATATTTTTCTGAAATTCAACAGAAATGGAATATTGAGTGAAGAAAACCCTACCCTCTAAATTTTCCAGCATGTTAGGACAGTCACCTTCCCATGTTGCTTTCTGGAGGGAGTCGGTGTCTGAGGGAGGGTTAGATGGAGGGGGTGGGGGCAATGAGGGGGCCACGCTGGCATTGCTGCGGGGAGGGGGACCGTGGAAGGATAGAAACTCCTGGGTCAGGTAAGGAATGTTGTGGCAGTTCTCCAGTTCATCAGCAGCAGATCCGTAGTTGTGAAAATTGTCCAGGTTGTTGAGAGTGTTGAGGGAGTCATGGTTACTGGGGGTATAGGAGGCAGGCCTGTTAGGTACAGGGGGAGGCTGAGGACTGGGGGGAATGTTGGAGTTGAATTTGCTGATGTCGAAGTCACTGACTTTACAGGTATCTTTACGACTCTTCAGCATCACATCCCTCTCGCTGTCGTACGCGATGCCCAGGGTGACGTTCCTCCCTGTTCTGCTAAGACGTCTCCTGTAGCACTGTACTCCCACAAACAAAATCGCCAGAAATAGAAGACCACCAGTCACCCCTACAAAGAAAAATAAACCCTTTCAAATTGAATTCAACTTAAATTTGAAGAAAGCTTCAAGTGCCTTCTTTATTGTTGGCTTTTTTCACTGATTTCCAGCCATTTCAAAGTAACAACTTACCAACTATTATATACAGAGTAGTACTAGTAATTCCTGAGTCATCGGAGTCAATATTTGCTTCTACAAACTTAGTTCCTGGAGCTTCTGACCTCTCGTCTTCACAAGTTGGACCTGAAAATAAAGGAATTTTTTAACTCAACTATCATACCAACTTAATTCATCTTCAAACAAATCATGCACACAATTATATTCATTTGCTAACTAAAATAAAATAAAATTGTATATATGCTCCTTATTTACACATTGCACAAAATAACTCAATCTCCCTTACCTGTAAATTCTGGGGGACAATGACACAGGAATGAGGAAGGACCCTCAATACAGCTGCCTCCATTCTTACAGGGGGAGGAGTGGCAGAACTTCCCGTACCGACAGAACTGGCCCTGGTAGTTGTCCCGACACCTGCACAAGAACTCGTTAGGCAAGTCCTTAACATTCAGACATTCACCTGTAAAACATCCAGTTATATTTATAAATACTGTGGTAAAGATTCCAAACATTTAATACAAGCTGACAAGGAGTCTTCTGAGATAAGCCATTTTGAGGTTGAAAACATACCATTTCCTCCACAGGGATTATTGGCACACGGATCCAGGTCGATTTCACACTGGTTTCCCTCGTACCTCTCCGGACACTGACAGGTGTAGTGTTCATATCCTCCATACTGAGGGTAGGGCACACACACTCCTCCATTGGAACAACTAACAACACTGCAGATACCTGGAGGAATACATACACAAATTCCATAAAATTTTATTACATAGACGTTAACAGACTCAGATCGCTTGAATTTGACAACTTAGACAGGTTCTGAGAAATGTACTTACTGGAGCCAGTGGGTGTGGCCAGGGTGTTTTTACAGTGGAACTCCACCTCTTTAAATTCCTGGGCCTCCACCACAGCATTCTCTCCCTTTAGTGGTAGCAATATGTTAAACAGCTTGATGTCCTCCATACACCCATCAAAGCCTCGCCTGACCTCTGGGAAACCATTGTAACTGATGAAGACGTCAGCTCCAAAGAACACATCGTTATCCAGAAGGTTCAGGACCTTACTCTTGCCTGGAGCGATAGCCATGTTGGTGTACTTGTTGTCGAGAGTCAGCTCCGCGTGTTTGTCATTTCTCTCCACGTTAATGGTGTGCCACTTTCCGTCATCCACATGGATTGGGATCATCACCAAGCCTGCTCCACTTCCATAGTTAAACTTGTACTGGACCATACCATTGTAGATCTGCAAAAATTGTTTTTAAAATATACATTATAAATCATCCACCAGTGTGGATAAAAGATGGTAAATATGTTAAGTTGGGAAAGAAAACAAACCTCTAGGATGCTGTAGTCCATGTCCCCTGTGGCAAACATCAGGGAGGCTACAGGGCGGTGGGTCTTTATTCTCATGGACAGACTCAGTCGCTTCTCTATTGTAAACTCTTCCTTCAGAGTCCACCTAGCAAAACTGTTCCCAGAGAAGGTCATTGGTTTGATACCTGTAGAGTATAAAAATTTACAATTATTGAATAATTATCACCTCATCCATGCAATGAGTGAGCAACAATTGTTAGAATTTATTAATACTGTTGTTTTATGTCTATACTTACCATTTAGGCATGAAGCATCAGTACACCTGTCCTCATTTTCACATAACTCTCCACTTCTTCCCTCGGGACACACACACCTGGGGTTCTGATACGGCTCATGTCTACACACTTGATGTGTTGGGCAAAAAACAGCAGCACAGGTGTCATGTTCCTCAGGGCACATCACATCTAGGGAAAAAAAATAAAATTATAATCCTCATACAATATTTAGTATTCCTAGACATCTCCATGATAATATAACATAAGTGAAAAAATTCTTTTTTCAGAAATCATGGAAATTTACCTTCGATTCCATTAGAACACAGACATTTAAAGGAATAGGAGTGTTTGGCAGTGACAAAGCTCTTCCCCTCCACTTTAATGGCAGCCAGACTCTTGTTGAAGTTGATGACTCCTATACACTTGCCATCCCTACACGACTCTTGAGGACAAACATCTCCAAACACCTTGACGACCCTGACATTCAACTCGCTCTCAATGTCATTCAAGTTCTGCCTCAGCTTTCTCTCCAGTTTCTTCCTTCTGAAATAAGCTCCATTAGCCGACCTCTGCACTGCAAACAGCACATCCAGATCTTTCTGATCAGCACTGCGTTTTACCCTGCCCAGTGGCTCACTACCAAGGTTGCTGGAAGCTTGGACATTGATGATCTGGACATCATTGGCTCGCACATTTAGAGCTCTTTTGACAGCTTTCTGGAAGTTTCTCTGATAGTCCACCAGGAACTGCTCTGGGGATAGATCCTGAATCTGCATCGTCACAGAAGATTCCAACATTGAAAAGGAGATCATGAGGACATCCACTCTTACAGTTCCATACACAATATTCCTTTTGTCCGATACACTAACATTGACAATGTAGCTTCCAGAGTCCAGACCAGGATAGGCAATGATTCTTCCGTCATCCATTCCTACATCAAACAAGTGACGGTTGGCAGACACTACCTGGTAACTCAGCGTATCAAAGATATCCTTGTCTGAAGCATCCACCTTCCCGATCACCCCTCCTGGGAAACTGTCGTCATAAGAACTGATGGATATTTCTAGATTTTTCACCTCTGGAGGGTTCATGCCCTCCTCTATGATGTTTATGGTGGTGATAACATCTGAGTAGAGGTTGGGTGTACCGTTATCAAAGACGCGCACCGTCAGGGTGTAGGAGTCACGGATGTCTCTGTTGAATTTCCCAGCAGTACTCAGGATTCCTGTGGGCTCAATACGGAACTCTTGACCTTCATTACCACTGACAATGTCAAAGGTGAAAGGTGGGCCATTTGGGTCAAGGTCATTATCAGTTACTGTGTAGTGTATTATCTTGTAACCAATGTATTGGTCTTCCTGCAACAAATGAGTAAAAAAAAAATTCTTAATTTATCACTCATTTAAAGAAGAACTGTAGTCGGTGCAGTGCTTGGCAACAGATTTAAAAAAAATATACAATTTCATTTTCATGTACATTTCTTTCAATGCAAACTTGTGTTGGCAAAAACATGCAGAAAAAAATCAGACAAAAAAGCCCAATGTTACAACATATATGTGCATGAAGTAAAAATCGGACAAAAATGTAAAACAAAAATGATAAAAATCTGCATTGGGTTCTGATTTTAATTTGATAGCTTGGTTGGTTGTTAGTACACATATCCCAAAACCATCAAGTCATCAGTATAAATACAAGCAGGCAATTCTAACAGACATCTATGTTGTGGTTTTTTCAAGTAATGGCTACAAGTATATATATACACCAATATGTTTCCCCCAAACTAAGTAGCTAGTTAGGTCAGGCCTGTGTTTTACAAAAACATCAAACTTACAAATTAAAATTCCTTAAACTTTGAAATGCATGTACATTTATTAAACAGTATTATACTGTCAGTCAGACTTTTTTTAAGGACAGACGAGACGTTCCTTAATAATAGATAGATTTTTCTAAGAGTTTGTCATTGAAGTGTTGCTACTGAAACATGTTTACTCACAAAAAATTGAGGTACCTTACCAGGCATTTCTGCAAGATACCAGGGGTAGTTTTTCTTATATAATCCTTTGGGGAAGAAAAATAATTTTCCAATTTCAAATGTTTAAGTGTTTGGATTTTTCAAAAACGTCTAGAAACTGGTTTAGAAATGAGAATTTTATAAAAATTTTGAATATTTTTCATACATTACGAAGATATACAAAGCAGATTTTGAGGAACGTCTCGTCTGACCTTAAATCTACTATATTCATGGGAACCAGTAACTTGGAAATTGTACTTTGATGTTTATCTAATATAATAGCTGCCCTACTGGGATATTGTGTCAAAAAGCATTTATCAGTGCACATTGATGATACATATTTGTGCATTGAAAGTGCCAAGTAATCTTAAAAAATAATGCAGGCATTTTTAATTTTTCATCTAGTAAGAGATATACATATTCTATTCCACTAAAATTCCCGGTGTTATAACACTTTGAAAACTAAAATATACATAGACAATACATGGAATAAAAAAAAATTGGGTTAATATCAAAACTGAGTTAAACACTTGTATATTAGCAAAAAAAGTAAATTCTGCAAATGTATCATGCCAACTGAAATCTCTCAAAACATTTTTTCTAAGTTGGCTGCAAAACTTACTAGTCCCGTTGGAGGTCTCTGTTTAAACAAATTCCAAATTAGAAAAAAAATCAGCTGATTTCAATGTTTCAAAATTGTAGAAAAGGATGAAATTCCCCACAAAATTTTCAAAAAAGCCAACCCATAAACTGAACTCACCAACAAAATATTATTTTTGTAGGGGAGAAAAAAATCTAGAATAATTTTTTTTTTTACAAACCTGGACAGTAGCATTGTAACTTGACTCAGAAAAGAGTGGTGCACAATCGTTTACATCCTCAATTTCCATGGCAACAAAGGTGGTGCTACTCAAGGGAGGTAATCCAGAATCCTTGACCTCTACCACCAACTGGTACTTATCCACCTTGGTTCAAAAGAAAAAAAATTGTTAGAAACATTTCACAGAAATGCTCTTTTCTGATACCCCTCTCACTACACACTACTGAACTCACCATTTCTCTGTCCAGTGGTGCACGGATAGTTATCTCTCCAGTGACAGGGTGGATCTCAAAGCTGTGCCAGCTGTCTCCTTCAATGATGGAGAAAGTCAACAAGGAATTCTTCCCCTCATCAAAGTCATTGGCATTCACCTATTTAAAATAATTCATAATTCAGTTCCACATACTTGTTACTTTGATTAAGAATACCACAAGTAGAAAGTAGGAGCTTTATAAGAATTTGATGTCTCTTTTACAATACTTCACCTCAAACACAGTTTTTCCTACAGCGGTGTCCTCTGGTAGACTAGTTCTGTAGGAAGCCTGGGAGAAGAATGGTTTGTTGTCATTGATGTCTGAGATGTTGACTGTGACAAAGGTGGAGCTACTGAGTGGTGAGTCACTCAGGTCTGTTGCCATGACGGTCAGGAAGTACACAGCAGTGACCTCTCGGTCAAGGTCATTAGCAACTCTAATCACACCTGAAAAGATAGAGACAGATTGATTTTCAAAATATCACAACCTTTTAAAACAGTACTCAATGCTTATAAACCATTAGCATCAGTTCACATGACCTACATGTACCTTCACTTTCATCAATGACAAATTTCTTGTTGTTATTGCCAGCAGTGATGCTGTATGCCATTTTGGCATTGAGGCCGATATCTTTACTGGTGGCTAACACCTTGACAACTTGAGTCCCCACTGTGGCATTCTCAGGAACTGCTGCTGTATACTGAGACAGAACAAATTCTGGTGGATTGTCATTTTCATCCTGTATCTCTATGGTCAGAGTTGCAGTAGTTGTCAGACTGGGTATACCCTGAAACAAGATTTAGGTTTTAGATAGTGTTTGCAGACTCCCACTCCTGGAAGTCAAATCCACCCTTTATTACTATTTTTCTTCAAATATATAAGCATTTATGTCGCAATAACAAACCTGGTCATATGCATAGATGTTGAGCTTGTACTGGGAGATTTGTTCTCGGTCCACAGCCTTTATCAGTTGGATTATACCAGACTGTGAATCAATGGAGAAAGTCTCCTCTTTGTCCGTCATTCCATATCTAACTTGTCTGTTGATACCTGTACATTAACAAAAATTGTCATCTTAAACACCTTGTAAAAGTTACAAAGATTATCAGGGAAACTGACGATTGAATGTCACTTATATTGAATGTAAAACCACAGAGAATTTTAACTGTAATAATGAAATTAATTCTGTGTACCAAGATCTGGGTCTTCAGCAGTGATTCTCAGCAGTAGAGTGTTAACAGAAGCCGACTCCAGCAGACCATATTTCATAGGCAGATCTACAAACGTTGGAGCGTTGTCATTGACATCAGATAACTCTATGTAAACGTCGATGTCACAGGACAGGCCTCCACCGTCCACCGCACTGACCACCACGTGGTGGTGTGACTGCTTCTCTCTGTCCAGCTCTGTCTTATGGGTCAATATACCTGTCAAGTTACAAACACAATGGTAAGTAAGTTTCTGATGAAATGAAAAAGAAAGGTATTTGTGGCAATATTCTATAGAAAGTTTCTGTTACATTGGTTCCTTACCTTTCTCTCTGTTGACAGTGAACAGGTCATTGTTCCTCTCCCCTTTGATGACATAATGGATCTCTCCATTAGGAGTGTACATGCTGTCAGCATCAGTGGCCTTGACCTGGGTGATGATAGTGGAGGTCCCTATATCCTCCGACAATACATGCTGATGGATGGGCTAGAGAAAAAAAATACCAAAACATAAGAAAACAGGGCCATTCTACTTTAATCCTTCTTCATAGAAGTTATACAATGAGTGAATCTCAAATCTTTTGTTAAAATAAATATTAAACAATCTTTCTAAAGGTACCTCATCACAGACAGGAGCATTGTCATTAGCATCCAGAATCTCCACACTGACTTTAGCTGTGGACTCCAAAGCCCCATCAGTAGCTGCCACAGTCAGTTCGTAATGGGGAACAGTCTCCCTGTCTAAAGGTTTAGTCACATAAATATCCCCATTCTTGTGGATCTTAAATCTGCCCATGGTGTCACCCTCTGCTATAAAATACTCCACAGCACTGTTTGCATCAGCATCGGTCGTCTTTAGAGCCAGGAATACCGTTCCTGAAAGAGCGTCTTCATTGACCGCTGTCTGATAATGGGGCTGGCTGAAGATTGGTGGGTTGTCATTGCAGTCTGACACAGTCACTGTGACAGTGGTGTTGGCCACTATTTTGGTGGTGGATCCAAACTTCTGCTCAGCAAGCACAGTCAAGTTGTAGACTTCCTGAGTTTCCCTGTCTAATTCTGACACCAAACTTATCCAGCCCGTATACTCATTAATTTCAAAGGAATGCTCATATTTCACTGTTGTCTGATGGTCAAACTTGTACTGAGCATTGGTGATAAATTTTCCTTCACTCAGAAGTCTACACTGCACAACACTGGTTCCCTTTTCCTGGTCCTCTGCCACAGATACTGCATATAAACTAGTCTCAAAAGTAGGCAAAGCTGATTGGAAATTTGACACAATGACAGTTATCCGAGTATGAGCCACAACCTGTGGATTGTCTCTACGTGCAATCCGTACTGTGAACTTGTACTGAGGCACTTTCTGTACCCTCCACAGATCCAACAGGAAGATTTCACCCTCACTGTTGATGCCAAATGTTTCAGGACTATTCCTGTCCTTGGTGGACCCCGGAATAATGCTGAAATCCACCTGAGCCTTGGAAACTACTACCACTTTGCCAACGATGCTTCCAACTTGTTTGTTCTCTGCAATGATGAAGGTTGTTTCTGGTTTTGTCAGGGGAGCATCTTGTTTATCATTGGAGATGTAGATCTCTATTGGAACGTTGTTCTTCAGCTGGGGACTTCCATGATCTACTGCCTCAACAAAGAACTGGAATACCTGGTCAACTGAAAGTAAAAATAAAATATACATATAAAAGTATTCATAAACATTGCATACAGCAATGATCTTGAACAGTCAAGAGAAAAAAAAAATTCTCCATGCCTCACCTCTGTCACTTAGATCAGTCTTCACACTCAGAATGCCTGATGAAGGATCCACTGTAAACAGGGTTCCAGCTACGATCAGAGAGGCATCATATATATTGTAAGTCACTCTGCCGGCATCCCCTTGGTCCGGGTCCCTGGCCTGGATCTGCACCAGAGGTCGACCCTTCCCAGCATTCATAGGGACGGAGACCTTGTACCCTGTGTGGAGGAACTCAGGAGCAACATCATTGACATCTGTGATGTCGATAATGACAGTGGTGAATCCCATGCGACCACCATTGTCAGTAGCTGCTACTGTTATAGAGTACGAGGATTGCAGTTCTCTGTCAAAAAGCCTTTCTGCAAATATCTCACCTGTAAATAAGAAAAGAATGTTTCATGAAATAATGATATTTTTTCATCTTATTTTTTTTTATATTTATTACTAATGTATAAGACAGAAACATTTTTAAAGGACCCATACCAGCGTCTGCATCGATACTGAAAGACTGCCTCATCTCGGATGATAAAACGGAGTAGGTGATCATTCCATAGTATCCGCGATCCTCATCCTGAGCCTTCACCGTGGTGATGGGTATCCCTCTCCCCACATTCTCCATGACACTGGCCTGGTACAGAACCTGAGTGAAGACCGGGGAGTGAGCGTTGTTGTTCTCCAGGGTAATGGAGACCGTTGTGAAGCCGGTGAACACCCCATCAGACACGGACACATTGAGCATGTATGCTGGATACAGTACTGAGTGTTTCCTAGGGGATATGGATATCACCCCAGACTTGGCATCAATCTGAAAGACTTGGTCACCATTTCCACCCACTATGGAGTATTCCAGATTCTCTTGACTACACTTGTCGGGGTCAGAGGCCGTCACCTTGGCAACATGTAAGCCTGGGGTTGGGTTCTTTACCACACCAGAGTAAGTCGGTTGATCAAAAGCAGGAGGATTATCGTTGAGGTCGCTGACAATGATGTGAACTGGCACGCTCATGTTTAAGGCTGGCATTCCACCATCAGTAGCTACGACATGGAACAAATACTCCTGTGTCTCCTCAAAGTCCAACAACCTTATTGTCCGGATCACTCCAGTTGTGGGGTGGACCTGGAAAACGGAGACACTCCTGGACTCTTCCAGTGGGGACAAGTTGTAATGAACTTTGGCATTGATTCCAGAATCTTCGTCGACTGCAGTGACCTTGAGTACAGATGTACCAAAAGCGGCAGCCTCAGAGATGACCGTGGTGTATTTGTAATGAGTGAAAGAAGGACTTTTATCGTTGACATCCTGCGTACAAGAAATCAATGTGATTAACATGCATAAAACTCAGAAATACATGTAATATTAAATGTTTTTAATTTTTAATTATATTATCATTTCATATCTAGAAATCAGATGCTGTTCTTACCAAGACATTTATTTGAAGTTTCGCCTCCCCATAAGACCCTGTCAAGACATCTGTGCCCCTAACAGTCAAATTGTACACCTTTGTTGACTCATAGTCCAGTGCAGTGGTCAGTGAAATAACGCCTATAGGAAACAAAGTTTTACAGGTTAACTCCCTTTGCTTATCTTGCTATGAATAAATATATATGAATTCTTAAAATATCTTATCAGAGTATATAAACAGAGGTGATTTCTAACATTTTGGCCTCCCTGCTGGATCAAAACTATACAGCAACTTTCAACAACATAGAGAAAAGATAAAACATGATTAAAACTTATTTCTACTCATAATTTACTCTTCATAAATCTTCCTTAATATCAGTGTACATGAAACAAGAGTCTGGCTGCTCGCTTGCTATACTTCCAACCAAGTTCTACCTCTTAAGTAATAAGCTGCCAAAAAGCTGTTATGTGAACCATTATGTAAAAACCCTCAACACATTATTCGACTTGTACAACAGCTAAAAACCCCAGATGGATAATTTCATACATGTTTGAAATTCAAACATTGTTTTCATAATAGGACACAATTTAAATTGATATACAACATATTACAGCTTTCCTTATTTTTATCTGGCATGCTAATAAAATTTGTAAAACACACACCCTATACTGTCGGTGCGTCTCCATTACTGCAGTGATTTTGCCCTTATGATCTAACAGAACTTTATTAGTGGTATTTCAAACATTTGTGTTGAAATGTTATCAGCTGGGGAGAAATGGGCCATGCACTTAATTTACATGCATTTAGTATTGAAAGTATCAAATTCTCTCTACTTCATTAATTTCTTTCCATTAAATTAATCTGAAATGAAATGTGAATCTTTTTTTCTAAATTTTTTAAGTTAAAAAAAAATGCCATTTAGTTCTGAAGATGTAATAAAAAGAGACCAGTTATACTAATTATAAAGTCTTTTGAATCTGAATTTCAAACTTTAAATCTTTTTTAGTTGTTTTTCAAGTTAAAGAATGCCATAAAAATATGCAGATGTAATAAAAAGACCAGTCAAATAGACCAGTCATACTAATTTTAAAGTCTTTTCAATTTGAATTTTAAAATTTTTGCATGCAGTTTGCACTATGTTAATCTCATTCATGAGTCAGATTTTCAGTGAATTGTTTAGGAAACAATACCATTATGTAACTAAGTGTGACTCACGTCAAATTTTGACCTCGGCTCGACTTTCTATTTAAGGGAGTGACAACTGACAAATATGTTCATGGTAAATTACCAACAACAAGCCAAATAAAATATCAGTGCACAAAATAAAAAGAAAAAAAAATCCTGGCGATCATATCAAGCACTCGAACAAAAAGGAAAATAATATCAGGAATAAAACCAAATGAAAAATTAATCATCAGCTGAAAAATTTGTCTGCAGTGCTCATTTATTGAGGAAATGATACGCTTCTCCTCTGCTATTGATTTTCAAAAAAAAAAAAAAAGTTCTGGCAATAATCTCTGGAGGGTAACTGTAGCACATGCAAGGCTTCATAAGGCCAAGATGCAAAAGGTTATTGGGAGGGTAATTTGTTTGAGATAACTGTCAAGCACAGAGAAGGAAATGACCAATCAAAACCAATACTTACATGGACCCTGATGTCCCATGCCTTCAATTGAATTGTGGGTAGAGAAAAACAGACATTAACAAAACAGTATCACACAATGACACATACATTTATCACATGATGTTGTTAACCCCTAATCACAATTTTTAGGCATTTCAGACAAATATTACTCAACATCAAGTTTTCAATAACTAAAAGCATGGGTAAATTGTTACTAAGCATAATTTAAAAATCTGAAGAAAAAAAAATGACTTGAAATTTTGATCAGTATGTTTACATGGACTCTCATATCTATATTGTTCCAAAGGGTTGAAATGTTGATGAAAATGATTCATGATGCAGGGGCATGGCAGAATTATGATATTAGCTGTTGTAAGCCATGGCATGACAAGGAAGTATTAAGGAAAACCACCACCACAAGACTGTAATAATAGCCCTATTTCCAAACAATCTCATAATGCCTTAAGTCTTAAGATTATAGGATTTCTGTGTTTTTAAGGAAGTAGTTTGTTTACCGATGTTGAAGTCGACAGTGAATTCCTTATAAGGGTCGCCATCTGTGATGGAGTAAATGAGCTTGTGGTCGCTGGGACTGATGGCCTTAAGGCTATAAATAGACGTTCCTGCTGGGGAGCTCTCCTTAACGTCAACAGAATAAAAGTACTGTTCAAAGACTGGATGTTTGTTGCTGACCACTCGTATCTGGACTGTTGCCTCAGACGACTTTGAGGGTTGACCTAGACAGAAAAAACGTGTGATCATTAGCACAATCAATACCCTGCAGTGCAGAGCCTCGAAGACAATAGAACGCAGAGGCGACAAAAATCAATTCCCCCCAGTAAGACAAATGACTCTACAATTCGGAAATCCAAGAGCCTCCTAAGAGAAATCTTTAATGGATGCGTGCTCACTGATGAGGTGAATTTGAGCTTTTATAGCCATAAATGTTGCCGTTATTCCATTTTTTTCATCTAACAAAGCAGACAGACTGAGCAATAAATCATTAATTCAGTAGGCTTCTTAGCAGTACCTTTATCAGTGGCTCGCACTTGTAGTGTAAAAGTCTGGTCTACATCCTGATCGGTTAGGGAAGACGCGAGTTGGATATGACCAGTTCTGGCATCCACTCGGAACTTATTTTCTGTATGATTCTCGATGGTATAGGTGACATTTCCATTCAGACCAGCATCTTTATCAATAGCTGACACCTATAGACAAAAGTACAATGGTTCTTATATAAACAAAATACATGTACATTAATTTTCATGCAAGATAGTACATTTTCAAATGACTTTTTCTTCAAGAACATATGCAAAATTTGAATTTGGTCACCTACCTGAGTTACCAAGGTTCCCTTTTCGGCCTCTGTGGACACCACAGTATCATAGGGCTGGTTCACAAAGAGTGGAGCATTGTCATTCTCATCCAGGATGTTGACGTGGATCATAATGTGGAGAGGCTTCTGTTTTCCACTTAGATCCTCCACCTGAGCTATGATCTTATAATGTTCCCTCTCTTCCCTGTCAAAGGGTTTTCCAGTTGTCTGTAGTACTCCTGAGGTCCTCACCACTTCAAACATGCCTTTTCCGTTCAGAAGAGTGAACACATTGGGCTGGTTCAGAGCACTGGCCACTTGGAGTACAGTCAGAGACTGAGGAACAGCCACATTTTCAGGGATGCTCAGTTTATATTCATTATGGTGTAACAGTAAATTGAAATCATCAGACCCTTGGGTAACTGTTAGCACTAAGGATGTAGTAGTGTCAAACTTTCCATCTGAAGCTTGAATGGTTAGATGATATTTGTTCTGCATGTTTGTGTCATTGACAACATATATAGTTCCGGAACTCTTGTCAACCTTAAACTTTCCATCCTTGTTTCCATCTTTAATCGTGTACACAATATTGGCATTTTCATCACGATCTGCATCTGTTGCTGTCATGGTGATGACCTCCACATCAGAGGCCGTAGGAAGTAGGATATCTGCTTGGAATTCTGGGAGTGAAAATACAGGTGGATTGTCGTTAACATCAGTCACATTGATCACAACTCTAGCTGGCTCTGAGGCATGTAGTTGTGGCTGACCAGAATCTGCCACATGGACCAGAAATTCAAATTTGTTAAACTTCTCCCTGTCAATGGACACTTTTGATTTGATAGCACCAGTATCTCTTGTTATAGTGAAGAATTCTTCTGCTTCCTCATCAACAATTTCATACATCAACTGAGCATTTTCATTGGTGTCAGCATCGTCTGCTGTTACCACCAATGGTTTTCCATCAGATCCCAAAATGAGGCTGTCAGGAAGTGAGTTTTCACTCAGACTTCCTGCATAAAATGTCTTGGTAAAGTAAGGTTCATTGTCATTGGCATCCAAAACATGTATCCAGACAAGAGTCACATCCAATTTACCCACAGTATTCATAGCCAGAATTGTAAGATTATAAAAATCCACCGACTCATAGTCAACTCCACTTTTCAAATACACAACACCAGAACTGGGATTCACAGAAAAGGTCATGTTTTCATTTCCTCTGATGATTTCATAGTTCACAGAAGACTGGCTGTTTGCCTTGACCGTCACAATTGGACTCCCAATGACAGAATTCTCCAGCACTTCCGCGATGTATTTTTCCTGTGGGAACCTGGGAGGGGCGTTATTGGACATGGTGACATGAATGTTGACGGTGGCCGTACTGCTGAGTGGGGGGACCCCTTTGTCCGTGGCCCTGACCAGGATGCTGTAATCCGTTCTCTCACTCTTGTCCAGATTCTTAGCCACGGAGATGATGCCTAGAGTTCCATCCAGAGCAAACGCCATGTCAATGTTACCTGTAACGACAAACCGACAATGTATAAACTCTCATACATGAAATGTTATTTAAAATTGAAATTTGTAAGAAATGGGGATGATGAAACTACTTTTTTTTTTACTACACAACATGAATTTCTATGATAAATTGAAAAAAAATATAACATTATCTTAATGTGAGAGTGTTAACATATGGAAAGAATGCCAAATTTCACTCTTTGAACATGACAGCTTCATAGTTTTTTCTCTTTCTTGACAGCAAAAAAGATATCCTATCTCTTTATCAATGAAAGGGAGTAGAGAGCAGGCAATTTTTCATTACTTAATGAATGGATCGACAGCAAAAATGATAAAATGCATGCATAAAAGATTTACCAAATCAAAGCATATCAAAACAGAGACATCTGACAAGCAATTTTCCCATTATCTACATGGGGATACATGGGTTACTATGCCTTTATGTTCTTTCCAACCCTGGTCAAATAAATACCCACTATTTTACAGCAGGAAAAGCTAATAAAAGTGATAGGTATTTACTGAATAATGTCCTAAATAAACATCCATCAAAAAAAATCTTTAAATTCCTACATGCTAATAAATCAGATCAGATCTCTTAAGACATTATAATTTAATGGCATAAACAGGCAATAAATGATGATGAATTTAGGGCTAGTGGTAAATGGGTCTAGTATATATAATATATATACATTTCTAAATTAAGTTTTCGAAAGCTTATCTATCATTTTTTTGGTTTTAAATTTCAGCTCATGCAATGCATGCATAACATGTGTGTTATTCTTAAATCATCCACGAAATTAAAATATGTAAAATATGAAATTCAAATGAAGGTAAAAGAATGTCTGGACAACTATATATGAGAAAAACATGTAGGAAATAAATCACATCTGCCAGGCATCATTTACATTGAGGAAAAAAAAATGCAATTCCCTTGTTCACTTAATTCCAAGCTTTTTCTGGGTGTAATGACACCAGTAGGGGACTTTGTAGGGAATAACACAATCTGACTAAAACCATTGTTTTCTTGCTTTATCTGGCCAGAAAATGAAAACTTTTAAGTTCACATTATGTAATCAATGTGTTTCGTGGTTATATGGAATTACAAATGCTATTGGGTGTATTTTAGCATTTGTAACAAGCAAGATTTTAGCCAGATTGTAATAAAATAAGGGATTTAAAAAGTGGCTTTGGAGGGAAGGGGTGGGGGTGGGGGGCAAAAATTAAAAACATTCAACATGGACAAAATAAAATACAAAAATATATATGTTGTTGTGCATTAATACTTTACCCACATCTGTGAAGAAACATTTACAAGTAAAAAACACAAGTTTACTACAATTCTATCAGTTTGCTAAGTCTGTATAAAATGCAAGGCTTTCTCATTCAAGTAAATGATTGTTAGCAAATTATAGTGCAATTGACATAACATATAGATCAAGTGCTAAAGTCTTACTGTTGAATTTAATGAAAAGTCAAGAAGTAAGATTAATTACGATAAACTGACAACTTAATATAAAAACTCCCTATAAAGAAAGTCACATATATACAAAAGCAGTCATGATGAATAGTTTAAAAAAGCTAAATTTAGATGAAAAATGTTAAGTTATGCATACCATGTTAATGACTGCCCAAGGTTACATAGAAATATGTGTGTATATATAAATCTTAATAACGACCAAAAACACAGCACTAAGACAAAACATTTACAAGGAAGTGGGGGGATACATTTCAAGGTGGCATAGGTAAAATATGGCCTGGGTGTCAATGTGTTAATAATCAAAATTTGTTAACGACCATTTCCACGAATACAAGTAATTAACACCATTACCTATGACAGAGTGGGTTATCTGCCCTTAATGACACCAAGTTAGTCTTATTAATAATATTAACCACAAGTACTTTTTCATGACTGATGGGAATGCATGAGTGTCTAGGATAATGTACCGCATTTGGTGAACTAGCATGATACTGCAATATCGAAAAAAAAGTTCTCTTTACCCGAAACAATAGAGTAAGTGATTTCGGCATTTATCCCTTTGTCTTGGTCAATGGCCGTGAGTTGGGCTACAGATGTCCCAATGGTGGACGTCTCGAACACGTCGGTCTCAAGGACATCCGAAATGAACTGTGGGGGGTGGTCATTGACGTCTTTCACAGTGATGGTCACTCGGGTGAAATTCTTGTTGGATGGAACCCCCTGGTCTCGGACCATGACCGTCAACACGTGCTTGTTCATCACTTCTCTGTCCAGGGCTCGCTTGACACTGATTACACCTACAAGAACATTGAAATTAGTTTTGAAAATAATCATTATCTCGTTTAATGACTTGACTGACCACTGAACTGTAATTTCTTTACTACTTGAAATGTCATTGTCTAACAAATTATAAAGATTTTCATCCACATTTACCCTACATTTTTGTTTTTATTTCTTGTTTCTCTCTCTTTTTTAATTTTTTGCTTCAGTATGTTTTCATGATTTGGTTTCAACAGGCCATTAAATATTGTTATTCATGCAGTGCAGAGTCATACTGGCAACTTGAGGGGGTCAGCACCGAAACTACACCAATTAACTTTTACGCTTCTGCACAAAGCTACAAACAGGGAAGCTTGAATTAAACTCTCATTCATAAACCTGGAAAATCGGGGAAATATACACTCTACTGTTTCATTCATTCAGAAAAGCACAGTGACCCCCAACTTTTGTTTCATTTTTCTGTGCAAGGGTGCAATCTGGCATTTTCCAGATGTAAATGTCTTCTCAATCATTTTATTGATATTTCAAAAAGAGAAAATTTTTTGGTACCAGTTTCACTGTCGATTTCAAACAACTGGAGACTGATTGCGTTAGCGGCTCCCGTCAGCTTGTAGAACAGCCGGCTGTTTAAATCGTTGTCTTTCGCGGAAATGGTGAGGACACTGGTTCCCATGGCAACAGACTCCGAGACGTCCCTCTTGTATTCAGCTTCCGTGAACTCCGGTGTATTGTCATTTATATCTAGGACTGTCACATAGACCTAATAAAGAGAAGAATAGAGTGTTGGAAACCTTCTCTTTTATAAAACCCAAATACAAATACCAGTACTTTCAATAACTATATTATATAAAAACATGTTTTTACACATTATTAAGACAGTTATTCTAGCTATTTGTGTGGTTTTATGTGTACATAAAGCCAATGATGTTTTCTTTTTTGTTTTTTATCTCTCAGTTCCCGCTATACCTAGCACATTTCAGCTAGTTAGATCAATTTGTTCACAGATTTTTATGTTCTTATGTTTACCAGATGCAAAGAAAAAATGAGTTTATCTAAATTTAATCCATTCTCTGTGTTATCCAGCATTAATCAGGGAAAATTTGGGTACCGCTGAGAATAATGGAGGCTGATGCATTGTGTTTTTCGAAGCTTCAAAAAGCTTACGTCTTAGCTTAATTAACAAAATATGATTTCAGCCCACCGAATGGGATCCAATGGGTAATGAGCCAAGCCAAGCCGCCATGAAGCCTTGGTCTACGAGTATTTCTGTCTCCCATTTATTTCATCTTGTGAGATGTTAGCTTCATAAAATACATGCATAGATAAAGCCTTAAACACTGCATCAATTCTTTTTGACTTTTATATTCCATTTGCTTTAGATTATTCATAAAATACATGCAGAGAGAAAATGCTTAGATATCAATTTTATTCAGTGTTTTTCTATATTTTTCCATTTGCTTTTTAAGATCTAGAATTACTTCCGATATGACCATAAAAACCTCTCTTTATGTTATCTGTGTGACAGACTCTCCGATTTCCGTGTGCGAAGGTCACCAACATTTTATGGATGTGGCTAATCTATCTTCTCCTAACAACCCTGAATTAGCGGACACACAAATAAATCTCCGATTTTCACTTCTACCACCTCGAGTACCCAACAAAAATGACACATCAAGGCTCGGATCAGGGGGCAGTAATTTACTCTAGGGGATTGAAAAACACAATCACCATCACTCCTCTCATTGAAGAGCTGTGAAAACACTTGTGGAAGGTGTACAGATGCTCTCCAATTTATAGCGAGAAAACACTTCAGATATCAGAAGTTCATATTCTCTAAAGTACATGGTAAAGGACCCTAAGACCATTCTCCCTGATTGTCTATCTCCTATTATTACCTGGTTTTAGGTAATGTTTTTATTTTCGGTGAATAACAAATACAGGAAGATTATCCCCAGATAAAGATCTAATAAGCAGACAATCCCAAGTCTCCAACCGCTAGCAATTTTTTCTTCATTTCTTTGAAGTACAAAAAAATCTGTGTGGGAGATATGCTTAGCATTTAGTAAATAATATTTTTTAGAAAGATTTATCAAATATTTTCTATTAATTGCAATTTAAGGAGATTAGAGAGGGGAGACACACCAGTTATTCAAAGCAACAGAATGTCTAATTTTAGTGCAAGTTCTTGCAGTTTATAAAAAATTTACAAAATAATGAGTTTGATAAAATGCCAGGATGAAAATGAGCTAATGATTCCCGCTAAAAAGTAGAATTGCAAAACGTTTGCTCTGTAAAATACAGCCACAAAAATATTTACATTATTTAAGGTTAATCTGTTCTCCAAAGCTACCAGATTTATTTGAGCCATCCATTATAAATGAAGAACTAATTGGCAATTCAAAGTTTTTTCGGTGAGCACTTGCAGGAAAGATTTGTAAACAGAGTGATAATGCAGTCCTCTTGCTTTTCTCTCATCTCTCACTTTACGGAATAAAATTGGCAGCTTCATTTCCACAGATTCTATCTTTAAAATGCATGAAAGAGCAGAATCTCTCTCACTTCAAGGTGAAGGAAGTAAATTAAAGAACCTGTGCAGATTTTATACAGAAAGAGATAGATCAATTTAAAGGGAAGCTTTCATCACAATGACTTTGCCAAAAAAAAAAAAAAAAATGGTGCAACTTTTTTTACATGTTTAAAGCAACACTGCCTCAGCATGTGATGAATTTTGACTTTTGACTGCAGTTAAATTCTCTCACATCAACTATTTGAAGTCCTCACTTCAAAATACCCTGATAAAGACTTCATGCCTATTTTAACATATATATTTCCCAGGATGTGAGATAAATCTCTAGACTTCCCTATCAGATAAGGACCACTTCTATAATCTGCTCATCAAAGAATCACGAAATTAACTAATATTTGCTACAATTATCACAATTCGTATTATATGGCACACCTATGGGCTCATATCAGTAGATGATATTTCATATTAGTGTTTTCACTTCACACCTCTGAAAAGGCAATTGAGTAATCTTGGTTAATCTGAGATTACTCTTAATTAAAATATAAGCATTAATATAGGTAAAGACCCCAGGTAAATATAAGCCTATCATCAGACACTTAATCCCCCCAACAAAGGCTGATTTTACAATATGGAGAAAGGGTATTTAAAAATATTTAAAATCAACAATAGTTCCCCCATTTTTTTAATGGAATTCTCTTTTGAGGGGAAGAAGAAGATGTACGAGATCTATAAAATCTTATAACCTTGACAGAAGTTTGATGGACGCCGTCCGTTGTCATGACGGTCAGATTGTAATGGTCCCGTCGTTCACGGTCCAGTTTCTTGGCTGTCACTATGTTTCCATACTCAGGATTTATAACAAACTGGTTCTCTGGATCACCATCTAAACAAAAACAAATCATCATTTCAATAAAATTCCTGTCTCTAATTAATTTTTTTTTCATAACTGTCTTACAGAAAAACATGCTTAAAGCAAGGTGCCAGGGATGAACAATTTTGGTTTTTATTTAAACATAATTTGTTATACTCATCAAGTATTCAAGATAATTTAGAACTATTGGGAATGAAATCATTTCGTTGTAAGTGTGATTTCAATATAAGCATGTTCACAATATTTGTGTTTGACTGTATATGTAAAATAGATAAACATGCACATCATTACACAATGAATGACAGGTCATGTGCCAGCTTTGAAATATCTGACACCTCAGCACAAGCTGGGGGTGATGAGGACTACAAATTGTTTCAGATAAATATGACATTCACATTACATCATAACTGACAAAATTCTGCACATCATCATAACAAGCAAAAGGATGAACCCTATTAATTTTGATGAAGAGCAGAATTCGGAGTGTTTTTCTATGACACCTGGTGACCTGGCCTTGGTTTATGATGATAGGGCCATCTGCCATTCAGAAATGTCAGACAAAAGGCCCTGTGTTTATGTACCATAAAAACCATGTGTACCTGTCAGGGAGTACCACAGTTTGTCCCCGTCCGCATCGTCAGCGTGGAACACGTCCAGTACCTCCCCGACCTTACAGTTCTCCATCAGCTGGACCTCGTAGTGGGGGAGGGGGAATTTGGGAGGGTTCGGAGACATGGTGGGTCCGCGGAGAACCGCCAGCCTCACTCTTGCGGTGGCTTTCTTCTTGTCTTTACCATTATCAAAAGCCTGAACCTAATAATAAAAGATTACACCTTTCTAATTATTTTCTCAGGTTTCTTCATGGCAAAAGGATATATTTTGATGCAATACTTTCTTCTGATCTTGTTTTTATGAATTCATGCTTTGGTGAATATACCGACACAAAACCAGGTATACTACTGTTGGGAAAACAACTTATTTCTTTACCTTTAAGTCATAACTCCCAACATTAAGGAGACCTTTAGCATAAATCATCCCAGTGTTTTTGTCAATGCCGAATGTCTGTTTTTTGCCCTTCAGCCTGTATGTAATCTGGCCATTGGGACCGATGTCCTCGTCCCTGGCCGTGACTCTCAGTAAGGGGGTCTTCCCTTTGTCCTCTGTAACTGCCATCATCCGGGCTCTGTAGACCTTCTCCAGGAACTCCGGCCTCTTGTCATTCTGGTCCAGGATTTGAATGACCACATAAGCAGTGGAGGACAGGACAGGAAAACCAGAATCAGACACCACAATCTGTTTGAGAGACAAAATTCTTGGGTCAGTTTTTGACAGTCGTATAATACAAATATATTTCAGTACACAGTGTTTGTTTGTGTATGTCATTTTGAACCAAATCATTTTATCTATTAGAAAGTCTAAATTTCTAATTTTGATTTCTTTGAGAGTCTGGGGTCAAACATTAACTGTTTTCTTTAATAGCCACCCCATCCTCTTTTGGAGACTTATGTATCCCCCCCCTCTCTTTTCAAATAAAAAAAAATCAAATGAAATCTTCACAGTATGCTATGCATGTTTTTTTTTTTTTTCAAATAAAAAGCTGATAAAAAGTCTAAATAATTTTCATGTAAACAGAGAGCATAACATAGGATTTTACTTAAATAACAAAAATGTACTGGAAAATGAAACCAATATGCACACAGTACCAGCAAATAGCTATTAAGTGCATTATCACTTCAATCAATTCAATAAACTATATGTTATACTGGCTTTTTCCCTTTGTGCAACAGTTTACATAAGACATTATCAGTCTTAATTTCAGTGCACAATTCACAAAGGAATTCTTTCAGAAGAGAGAAGAAAATCGGATCTATGGAGGAATCTTTCTGATCAGTGCAGCTAGCCCTAATGAGAGTGAATTTGACAGGCTTTGAGATTCCCGGCCATAAATCATTACAAAATAAAAGAGTTCCGACAAAGTTGCATAATTTCATGTCAATTTCCTCTTTTTCAAAAAAGTTAATTACCCTCAAAATACGCAATAATTGATCTCTGTGAAACTGTTTTGAGCTTTCCTCTGAATAGAAAGAGGGGTCGGTGTTTTCAATGCTTTGTGCAAGTTAAAGCTTTTTATTCATTAAAGGATGAACTCTCTCTGTCTCTCACACTTCCAGAAGTCAAACGCACATAATTGGAATTATTCTGAACTTGTCAGCAAAATTTATCTTTATAAACAGAAATGAAACAGGTGAAATTGAACATGAAAGACCGCCAGACTTCACACACAAGAAAAAAATAAAGAGAATTCCCTTTTTTTATATCGGCATTCATCACTTGACAGTAGGATCTGACAATAATAACCACTCACAAACCTGACAAGCAAAAAGTCATAATTTTACTTCATGGATAGTTAGGCTTATGAACTTCTCGGTAAGGTCACCGATATTAAATAATTTCGTCTAATTTACGTCCAATTTCACGCGGCCAGTTCCTAGACGGCTGGGGTTTAGCGTCACATGGGGATCAAGCTGGAGACGAGACCTGACACTCACAAGTATACTCTGAGCTATAATAAGATTTGATATATACGTAAACAGTCCATGCCAAGGCCCCCATCGGAGAAGGTAGGCTCCAGAGCTACCAATTTGGAATGTCGATTCAATATAGATCACAAAATAAACATGGCTAAACAAGGGTGGGTATTTTGCTGAGCACATCATAAACATTCACATTAAGTGCACCAAAACCATTGTGACTGACAATCCTATCCTTTCGCTTGCTGATCATGCAGTTTAAACTTATCTGCAGACTTAAAGTTTCTCATTTGAAAATCTAATTAAATTCTTTTTTTCTCTTCTCTAGACCATAAATACCCAATGGTTCCTTTTCACCCTTTATCAGATTTCCACAAATAAAAGTGGATGAAAATTTTTTTTAAGGTAGTGTAAAAAAAACCAAATGGACTAAGCAGTCCCTATAAACCTCTTAAAATTCAAGCTCCCACAAAGAGTTTTACCTTTGCAACCCTAAGACAGCTTGTAGAAATGCAATATACCTCTGACTGTATGGTCCACTGGCCTGAGCAAAGGCTCGGCCAGTGTCCCTAACTTGAAACCCGTATGCCAATTCTCTGAACAAAATAAAAATAGCCCTCCCCATCTAGAGTCCCTTTATCCATCTCCTTGTCCCTCTCTTTATGTTACAGAGTCGTGAGAGGTCATGCAAAGAATTTTGCCCATTAAGATTTATACCCGAGATTGCTGTTTGTCAGCGGAGGCTTTTTGATGAAACATGCAACCTGCTGACTTCAGTAGAACACACTAAAAATATACATCTGATCTACATATCTACCTCACTGACCATTAAAGTACATCTTAACAAGGTCTGGCCCCCATTGATCCACCTGTTATATCTATCAAATAGGAGAAGAGATGTCAGGCATTCAATATTATCATCTAAGATTTCACAAAATAAACTTCTCCTGCATCCGCAGATGGAGTCCCTGATAGAACTAGAACTATTTTAATCTACGCATATATTAATGACGTAACATAAAATTTATATAAACTCCATGAACCAGTAACTCTAACCCTTGCAATAAGGTAAATTAAGGTACTAGAGAAAACGACCCTTGACAAAGTTTAGACTTGATCATAAACAAATCTAATTTATCGAGGTTAATATCTCGAGACTTGCTGTTTCCCCCAACCCAGATCTCTCAAACCTTCCTCGGCATGTAAAGAGGCTCGGGAAATGCATTAACTCAATTGAATTTGAATTTTTGAGTCCCTTCAATTGAAAGGTGCTTTGAAATATTAACAGTTCATGGCTTATATGCCTTTCTCCTTCAAATCTTGCATCTTTAAAAAGTCTGAACTAATAAAAATCCAATAAAAACTTTTAGAAAGTTATTTCAAAATCATTAACATAGTTTAAAAGTTGAAAATCTTAAGTGCAGGGCACATTAACCTTAAAGACTTGCATTCAGTTTCAAGGATATCTACAAAAATTAAGTTTGAATGTTAAAACTTTTTTCAAAGTAAAAAAAAAAAATAACAATTTCTGCTTTAATGCAACCTTATAACGAATGCCATAATGTTCCACATCAATTATCATTTGACAATAGACAAAGCTTGACACATAATGACAGGTTAAAGAAAAACTTTTCCCTGTTGGTTGCTGCTTCAAGTATTCCACTTATCTTGTACCCTCACTATTTACAAATTCTACAGATATTTAGATTTCTGTATATAAACCATCTTCTAAGCATGTGCTTAACAATTGAAAGAATATTTCTGTTTTTATTTGTTATCTGTCAAAACAAGAAACACCGATACCAACTGATAATATTTTTTACTCCATAACAATTGGATATGAAGCATAAAGAAAGTGCCAAGTTCTTTCAACATGCTGGAGATTTTTTTTTAGCATTGCAATATACATATGCCAACTCCCCCCTTGGTTTACAAGAAACCAACGCTGTCAAAGACCCCTGAGGCAGCTGAGTGACCAAGGCTGAAGGAGATTTTCCCCATTTCCGGGTTACCTGTCGGACAATCTTGGTCATTACTCAGCTTTAGGTCACACTAATTAACCAATGGAACCCATCTCTTTGGATGAAAGGATACACATGCTTCATCCAAGACAGTCTAGCTGTTGAAGACACTTGAGCTGAAATTGGAATCCAAGTGCCATCTCTGCAGTATTCAAGTACTAGTGTCTGGCTTTTCCAAAAAAAATGGCAAAATCAGATTTCGACTGGAAGCTGTTAAACTTCAGGTCTAGATAATTTAATATTACTTTTTCTTTCTCCACGTTTTCTTCCATTAGACATTAATTGATGAAACAGATATGTCAAGAAACCGGAACCATTTGAATTTGATATTTTATCAATGCATGCTATTTTACATATTTTGAAAAAAAAAATGCAAGTTCACTTCCTTGAAAGAAAAGAAGTCAAATGGCCAAGTCCATATCCTAAGCTAATAATAAAAATTTAGATGTTTAATTGGGATGCATCTTTTTTTCAATATCATGTTTCTTCCGATTCCCCGCTCCATTAAGACCTAATTTCATTACTTTCTCAAATCTCAGATATTTCCTGTGGAAGCTAAGTTTAATTATCACAAAAATACTACAGGCCTCCAAATAGATTCACCTGACATAATCTATGAATTTGCTGAATGAAAATTAAAAAGTTTACGCAAACAGGATTATATTTCACACCTACTCTATTCGCCCAACTTCTTACGTAAGATAAAAGGGCCATTTGATCATTATACACAAATATTAGTCACACAAATGGCAAATAAGCTCTGAAATCCTAGAGAATTAATTATAAACATTATTTACATATTTAATCTTATTAGACTCATCAGCAAAATATGCTAAAGTACGAAGTGCTTTGCGTCTATATTTTAGAGAGCAAGTAGCTTGGAATTGCTCACTTAGAATAATTTTTCGGTATCTCTCATTTTGTTAAGATGAAACTGAAGCTACAAGATGAAAAACATCGCTCGAGATAAATTCGTATTTCTATGCTTCATTCATATAAAAACACATTGCTCACTATGATTACAAATGAACAACTTTGTTTTTATCTGGAAATCTAACATTTCAACAAAAACATTTTAGATTTTAATCTTTGGCTATGATGAAAAGTTAAATATTGAGTTAGAGCCTTGCCAAGCAAATAACTCCTGGAGATTTTTACACGGAATCTGTAAAATTGTATTCCTACACACATCGCCACTGTGGGGGATAAAAACGGAGAATTTCCGTTTATTGAACAATCCCTCCTGATCTCCCCCAAGTCCTATTTCAAAGAAACCAGAACATTATAACTAGAAGCTTTTAATTCCGACTGAAATAAGATATTGTTTTCAACATACGGCCTGGGAGACTTTTTTTCTTGATGTATTTTAAACAGAAAGGTCCCTGCAGAATAACACCTCTTTTTTTTAAAATCTTGGTTCCTTCTTAAATTAATTAAGACGCTACCCACACAGCTCATTTTTGTATTTAAAAATAGATAAACATGTATGTATATAAATATAATTTTTATATCCTAATTATTCAAAACATGAAAACCTGAGAAAATGGTAACTTATATAAAAGCAAACAACTGTTTTCTGTGCAATATGTCCAGAAAATCTCCAGCAGATCAAACAGTAGCAAGAATCTACTCAACAAAATGTTCTTTATCAGAATTCTACAATTTCTTTTTGGAATATTTCTCTTTTTCATCCTCTTTTTTTAAACACACATTTATTGATTTTATTTTTTGTCTGGTGTCTCTAGGAGATCTCCCCGATACATCATTTTCCGTAAAAGAGTCCATTAATTCGGAGCTGTTTGCCCAGCTCATCAGCAGAACCATAGGGGTGTCTACAGCAAAGGTGTGATCCTGGACCAATTATAAGCTAATCAGCGGCATGAAGCCGACACCCAAAAGATACAATATTGATAAAGACCCAAACCAGGGACACACAAAGCCCTCCTCTCTAATGGTGTTAATTCACTGTGTAATCATCCATTTGTTCTCTAGAGTGCACTTCTCGTTTTTCTGACACGGCTAACTTTTTTTTTTTCGATGCAAAAAGCAGAAACTGTGAAAACCGTGAAAGCATTCAATGTAAACATGCACAGAAAAAGGATGTCTGGAGAATAGTAGATATAAGGGTATATATCTTTAATGCAACCGTTCTGTGCAATTATGCACCAAAGCTGGCAAGGGTTCTGTCCTATTTCAATAGCAGCACGTCACCATACCCTGGCAGCCCGCTTGTGAAGGCTCGAATTAATTGAAGATACTCTTCTGCTGTTTTACAAACATTTCTGAGAAGGTTCTCTATTTAAGCTTGAAAAAACACTTGCAGAATCACATCAAGCACTTGACAATGGCAATGAAAAAAATTTCAGACCTACTCTATTTTTTTTAATTGAAAAAGCTATATAAGAAGGAATGTAGTGTTATTAAGCACACAACTCCCGCTAAGAAATCAAATTTCGAAAAATATATAATGATTCTACTGTCTAAAGTGACTGTTATATTGCGGGGGTAAAGAATGTGTGTTTCTCTCATTTGAATTTTGCCTTTAGATATTTTCTGCATTCTACCAAATCTTAAACATTAATAACTACCATATTGTACATGCAGAACCCATCTCCTGCCTAATTTCACTCCATGGTTCCTTTACTTTGTTAATGCAGATCTGCAGTCTGTTGTAATTAGATTGACTTCAAAATCAAAGCCGACTGCACGTCTTAATAATTACAGGGAACATTCACTTCTCTATTAAACCAACAATACTGCTCTTGATATATAAGACAAGTATATGTCTGGGAGTGGGTGATCATTGTGCATTCAAAGAGCATCTTCCCCCCCTCTAATGCTCACGACCTTGTTCGAATTGAACAACTACAAAAACACTGACGTGACAAGGCCTCGTTACGAGGTCAAACGAATTTGACATTCCACCCCCTGCTCTTGTTCCTAACCATAGTCCCCAATGGTTATCTCAGGATTAATTACCCAGGGCCCATTCTCAAAGTTTAATCGATTTCACGCGATTCAAGAAAAACATTTTCGAAAATGACCAAATCAGATTTTCTGCTCCATCTCCTCTCTCCTGGGCCAGGGCACATGTTTGCCTTCGACATGCGACACAAATGGCAAAGTGAGCAAGAAATTAAATGAAATATCCCCCAATTAGTCCTTTCAATATTTATCCCATTCAGTCTGTCAATTTTGCTTGAGGGTGTCTTTACTCGTTTTTAAAACTCCTTGCAAAGCTTGCCAAATTTAATCTGTATCTAAAATTTAAAATTTGAACAACACCAGCTTTGTTGAGGTGAAGGGTATCGGTCCATCTATGGGCATTAAGTCTATTTATAGACTCACTGACCTAATTTTTTTACACAGAAAGGACCCAAATTGCATGTCAGAAATATATCTATCTTTTTGACAGATCAAATAAGCCCTTATCAGCTTTTTCTCAAGAAAAGTGTGAGTTTTAAACAGGGCAAAAGTTGAACACCATTTAAGGTATTTAGTTGTCAATGCCTTCTTTGTGCCCTAAAAATGGATATTTTAAGATATTCATGTTGCTTTGGATAATGTCAGAGGGGAATTCAAATTTTTGACATCCAGATCAAGAAATCCTTATCTTTACATTATGTCACAATTTTTTCACCAGAAATCTTAATCTTCTTTCAATTTGAAATATTAAAAGTTTTAAAATCAGCATATTTCTTATCTATCAATTAACATTTGTATATTACATAATGGTCTTTATAGCACTGTCAATCACTGAAAAAAAAAACACTCACACAACAATGTAATATAATGACTAAAACTAAACAAGTGAACCATATCTGTTTAATCATCATTATCAATTTTATTTCACTCTGCTGTTGTGTAGGTCAATTAAATACTTGCATATCTGGAGTTAAAACTCGAATACCCTCCATTTTGTTACTGATAAACAGGTGCTTAGCATGTAGTTAAAAGAAATCTTTTCAAAGTCAATTCAGATCAACCTTACGAAGAAAAGACTACTTGAAAAAGTCAAATTATCAGAAGTCAGATTAAATTATGCCTTTAATAGTCGTCCCCCGAATGGGTCTGCAAAAATTGATTTATGCCTGCATCAATGGCTCGGGGCTTCAAAGTCACTTATCAAATGCAAACAATCCATGCAGAGATACATAAACCTCCTGATTGACTTGTTTGAAAATTGAAAAGAAAAGGTGGTCAGAAAGTGTCCAAAAAGCATGCACACAAAGTCCCCCCTCCAATGGAACTGCTCTTATTTGGATACCTTAACAAACATTCAATTCAAACACCATCTTGCAATTTTTCTTTTCGGGAACTTTATCTTCCACTTGAAAGGTGTCCCCCAACACCTGGGACAATTACAGAGGAAATTAACCCTCAATTTGTTTTTTTTTTTTTGAAAATTCATTTTGAAAGGAAAGAACTATATTTCACACCGTTAGCCTCAGCATGACTTTATAATGATCAAAAAGGACCTTTTTTTTATGACTTCCATAATTGAATGATCTTTCTTTCTTTTTAAATTCAAATGATTTTATGTCAATATTGAATGAACATTACAACAAAATTTATGTTTCATCTTATGGAAATGAAAGAGAAAACTAAACAATTTCTCTAGCATAAATGCTTATTAAATTCTGTGCCCCATTTATTTATTTTATTATTACTTTGAAGTTTGAAATAATTCAAATTTTGAATAAAAAAAAGTTTAATGATTCATTAAGAAATTCCATTCTTTATTATCATTTCATCATTGAGCCTATAATCAATCATGTGACTTTTTGGTTGTTCTAGCTGCACTGAAACCTTGCATAAGGAAGTCAGGTGAACTCTACACAAAGGGACCTAGCCAGGTACAAGCATGATATTTACAGGAAATTCTGGCACACCTTGTTTCAACTTACCTGTAAGATGTGTTTTTCTTGTCTTTCTCTGTCTAGTCTCTTTCTTGTTGTTGTGATCACTCCTATAAAAAAAAGGCTTTATAAAAATTAAAATTCCACATGTTTTCATAAATACCAGTACTGACATTTCATTTACCATGCATTTAGTTTATTCTTTTTTTTTTATTTTTCCACCCAGCATAAATCTTAATTTAATTACATAGTACATTTCAAGTTGACAAAATTGTACTCAGTTCATGAGAGGGAACAATTTTTTTAAATTGAAAATCAGAAATATCACAAATAAAATTTTGCACAAGGCTGGTTCTGATGGAAATAGCAGTATGAATTTGTAACATTCTACAGTAATACATGCTTCATGCAGAAGCAAATGAATGGGGGAGAAAAACCTTTATATTAATCTTATTAAATTTCTAGGTTTCAGGTATGAAGTTACATTTTTCACAACTTTCTAAAAAGTCATGAACTTGGAATATGTTTGTGAAGATCATGCAACAGGTATACATAAAAGAGACAAATAGGTGTGAATTTCAGTTTTATTACCCCGACAAAAGATATCAGAGCAGGTTGTATAGCAGGAATGGCGACCCCCTTACCCTGGATATCCAACCTCTCCCCATTCCAACCTTGAAACGGGAACAAACAAAGAACCCCATCCCGCTCACCTTTGCCCTCAATAAATAGATACACCTCGCTGAAAGAAAGCCATACACGTCAGGCTAAGGACTATAGTCTCTGGGTATACTAAACTGAACTTCCCCCAAGAAATAAATCATTTAGCTTCGATGAATGGCATTCACAGCCAAATTTAATATGGCTGATAACAATCGGGAGGGGATAATTAATCATAAGGGGCCCTATCAAATAAAACCTGGTCTATCACCGCTACAGCTGCCATCAGAACTAACGAACCACTTAACTAATCTAATTATGGTTGTCATAAGATTTTCTTAAGATTTCTATCGGAAACGTTTTTACATGCAACAATCGTTATCCATCAAACAATGAAGTGTATCAATTTTCCGAATCCACAGGTGTGCCTTATGAAAATTGATAAGGGGTCTCCCTTAGTATTGTTGTTCATAATGCACACTAAAAACAGATACTGAACGTTGCTCTGGGCTCCTGGAACAGTAATACATGATTTCTCCGATAGATTCTGATGTTAATTTACTTTCCTAACCCAGGGCTATGGGCAGACAGGACAAAGGCACCTGGTGTTGTCAGGGAGCAAATCAGCTGGTGACAGGTTCCCTAAGATCTTGGCTTCCATTATCGTAAAAAGGGATGAATTTTATAGCCCACGTGCATGTGTCACGCTGCCTCTCTCTCCCCTGCAGAAGGGAAAAGTTTAAGTACTGCTCGGGATTTACTTATCCCAGCGATGGGCCTCGACCCCTAACCTTTCTAGTCCATGAAAATTGGTCTCAAGCCATCGTGCACACCCCATGATTTTAAGCTGACAACAAAATCATGATAAATGATTCCGTATTTCGAGTGGGTTTGCATAAGCAGGCACATATTTCTACTTTTTTGAAGTCTCTTCAATTTAACCCTGATTTCCTAGATTAAAATGATAGGACCAAAAATAGTATTTGTGGTGGGAAGACTTGTGGCTTATGAAGTAATAGAGGATTTTTCTGCCATTCTTGTTGACAGGGGGGTAACAAACACAAAGCTGGCTGTGGATTATCAACCTGTCACATGGGGGGAAATTCCTCTTGACTAAATCTTAGATAACTTCTTGTCTACCTTCCAACACTTTAATTACGCAATAGGGCATGTTGTTTTGAAGAAATAAATTCTTTCCATTTAACATACCAACAAATTTATGCTTTCTTTCTTCATATAATTTCTTTAATAATCTTATTTTTTTCATTGATCATAAGAAAACTACCCAGATGAAAAAACAAATTCTTTTAAAATATATCCTAAAAGCTGCTGCATCATAGCACATGCATACCATAATAGCATAATTATTCTTGTTATAAAATAAAAGTTTTTATTACTAAATTATGCTTTTACTTCTTACACTTTCAAAAAATGTCATAACAATTTAATTGATCAAGGTTAAAAAAAATCCCAATCTTTAGTGTATTGTTCAAAGTCAACACTCTCGGACAATGCATCAAAGACACCCATCCTCCGCAGTGTCTATGGCAAACATACAAAAAACGTGTACAAATAGCAGAAACTGAAAGTAAACAGAACCAGCGATAAGAAAAGGACAGACTGTTCTATTATTGAGAAGAACTTGGCTATGAAAAACAAACTGACAGATGGATGAGTGGTCACCAATGAAAAAATTTTCACAATGCAGCTCAATCCTCTGAGCCCCGAACAAGAATAAGACATTTAAGTCTTGTACCGCTCCAATGTTGACAAAAAATTTTTCATCAAGGTGTACCAGGACTTTTCAGTACATCTGTAACTCGGTCGTGCCCGAAGCTTTGCCTGCTGTCATACGAAAACAGAACAGTGCAGACAATACTATAGCTAATTTCATGTTCCCTCAGTCCCCATAATCCAAGACCATTTTCTGGGTGGGCAGAATCTTACAATGCACCATTATTTTAGTGCATACAGTTAACACGTGTCAAAGGACTCCCAAACAAACTGCTGTCTAATGTCAGTCACAAGCATGACAACCTAAATGCTAAAAGCCTTGTAAGGCTGGGTAATCTCTTACATGGGGGGCTTTAGCAGAATAATGTACTCTGATGAATTGTGAAAAATGATAACATTTACAAGGATTGATAGAGCTGCGATAAATTCAAATTTGATATCTGCACCCGACGTCATTCAGAGTTGGTGTCTACTTCATACTTTGGTACCCTGATGCGGTTTGACCCTTTTTTGTCTTGGTAAGAAATCTGACTCCTTGAGTATACACTGGACAAAGTACTACAATAAAGAAAAATAATGGGAACCTGCCTACTTCATACTGAACCCTTAAATAGAAGCTTATACATGTATATATAGGTATTCATCAGGCATTTGCATTAAGAACTTATTGTTATATTTCTAATAGATTTAGAAGGAAAACAATAGACAAATAATAACATTTTGACTCTTAATCTGCAAGTTTAAAACTTGTAAATATTTCTTTTGTGCTAAATTAATTAAGAGGTTACTTGTACCAGAAATAATACCTTAAGTAATTAAGACCATGACTAAAATTGTTTTCAAAATACTCTGTTGCCAAAAAAATTAGTATGGAAATTATCTTCTTCATTTTCTAAATTTTCTTTTATGCCAAGCAACACAATATTCTACCAAACATATTTTCCATTTTTTTCACAGGTTTAATTAAGAAACTTCAAAGGAATATCTCCCTCTTCACAATTTCCCAGAGAATAATAAGAAAATTATAGTAATTCATCTCCCAGATGCATGTTTTAACACCCTCGTCCTTATATTTTGTTACCCAGCTTAAAAGCGTTTGATCCATGGCAGTTTCAATATGCAGTAAATCCCATACAAAACACCATGTGGCCTGATAAAAAAGAAGCATTATTTGTATACAGAATGCCTACTGCAAGATATGGGTGTCCCTTAAAACAGCATCCACTTGTTAATGACATGAAGCAACAACCGTGTCAGGGCCCCCACCCCCTTAAGTATCCCTAACACGTGTGACAAAATTGTTTCATTTTTTGGTGATTTACTAAGGCACCTCATTGAACACAAGTCAACTGATAGCACTACATTTTTATTTTGTTTTCGCTAAATTGAATTTAATTGATCTTTTGTCAGTTTTAAATATTGCTCTTCTGGTGTATGTATTTTTTCCCCTTTCTTTTGATACAAAACTGCATCTTTACATTCTTCACATGAGGTACAGTTTTTATGAACTTGCTGCAAAAGATATCTCTGAATGGATAAAAAAAGAATTCCCTCAATGGAAGGTAAAAATACACTTCTTTAAAGAAATTCCAATGTTGTCTAATCCATCAATGAAAATAAAAAGTTAAAAGATTAAGACCTCCCTTTCCATTCAAACACTTAATTTTCTTGTTTTACTTTGAAGTCAATGCACGGTCATGTCTCTTTTACCTATAGTGAGCGAGACTTAGGTAACAAGGACATGTCTTTTATATATACCTGTGACTCGGTTTATCCTGAAATACGATGAAGGATCCGTCTCGGCGATGCTGTAACTCAGTTCCTGATGCGATGTCACGTCATTATCGTAACCCTGAACCTGTCCCACGACGGTTCCCTCCCTTGCGTTTTCCGTCACGTTCATGAAATATATTGGCCGCTGCATCTGAGGGATGTTGTCGTTGACATCCGTGACCTTGATGTAGACCTCGTGGCGAGTGTGGAGAGGGACCAGGCCTCTGTCCGTAGCATATATTGTCAGCCAGTAGTAGGAGGCACTCTCACAGTCCAATACACGACTCGTCCGAATGATGCCTAAAATAAAGATGTACAGAATTTACAATCCTTATAAAACTTGCGAAAAATTTAGTCCTATAAAGGACAATGTCACATATATGTATAAATTAAAAGAATTTTTTTTTTTAGAAACAATTGATTTTTGCAATATATGTGGTAAATTAATAATGTTATTATTTGGTTTCATACTGTAAATTAATAGGCAGTCATACAGTCCATAACCTTGATACCTCTAATAAGATGATGAAGTATTTAGTATAAATTAGGATGGATCAAAAATTTGTCACATTCACAACATGTTGACAAATTTTTGATACCACAGTTTACTAACAAAATCTACTGTGAAATAGCTTATTTTCATTCGGATTAATTTTCATTGTTTTCAAGGTAGGAAGAAACACATGAATTCGTTTCCATCACTAAATGTACAAATTTCAATATGTATAACTTCATCCATAATTTTTTTTATATCAAAGTTTTATTATAAAAATATGTAATTTACAGTATCAAATAAAGAACATGTTGAAAAATCTAATTCAATCTGTGCTTTGTGGGATAAATTAGAAAACCTAAGATGCTACAATACAATCCAGGTCATACCCTAGATTGACCATTTTGTCATTGATCCAACACATTTATCAATAAAGATGTAGCCCTCGATGACACATGGATTAAGACTTTCTTTTCATCAGCCCTGAAATCCATTCTTCTCACAACTGAAAGCAATCTCTGTGGACTCTATTATAAATTACAACATGTACAAGGCTTTTCCTATATTGATTAAGAGGTAATGGAATTTGTAACAGATGGCCTAACAGTTTATGATTAAATTCATCAGAATCTGGACCCTTTATTAAGATGTATATCTTAAATGATATTACGATGGCATGCATTACAAGAAATATTGGGAATAATTGAATTTTATTTCTTTGGAATAACTGATATGTTGCATAGGAAACATATTACTGTACATATATTATATTTGGTGTATACAGTATTTGGCAGAATTTAATTTTTCAACAAGTTTATAGTGTAAATTTGATTTAGTGCTATCCGAATGTGCTAGATATAACGTATGATAAACAAGACATTTCTTGTACTGTTCTACTTTAATTTTTTCAAATTGCTAACTTTAGGCTTTTTTTGGGTCACAATTTTTCACATGGTTTGCTATTGTCAAAAGGAGCCAGCTAAGGTGAAATTTCCATATAAATATATAACCTCTATAAGGTCCATTGCAAGAAAAAACTTAGAAGCATGCTGTATTATCATATTAATTTCTTTTTTATATTTAGCAAGTTCGCCCAACTGAACTACACACCCATCTTTGTCTCTAGGTTTGTGCAGTATACCATTAATCTTGACCTATAACTATTGTAATACCTATAGAACAAGCCATCAAAGAATGTTCCTTCATCTTTCTCCTAAAAAATTCCAGATATCGCTTTTTTCTTCTTTTTTTTTTTTTTAAATTAAATTTCGTGACAGTTATCATGTTAATATCATGTGGTAGACAGGGCTAAGTATAATCGCTACAATCTGCCCGGTGATCAAAAAACATCAGGTTTAAGACGGGGATCGAGTTTTATAATTTATAGGCTATCAATAATACAATACCTTTCTCGCATTTCTCATACGAGTGTCAAAAAAATATCATATTGTGTCGAAGATTATGACAAACTACATGTTTCATCTTTTTTATTTTATTTTTATTTTCTTTGTTGAATAATGGTGACATAAAAAATGACTTGATCATATTGTAAGATAAATAAACAGAAATATATAAAATATCCGTTGGTATTTTAGACAGCAAAACCAGTAGAAAATGACAAATTGCTGTTATATTACTACATTAACCAACCCCCAAAAGCCTGGGAAAAACGTTATAGGCAGGAAAAAAGACCTAATTGATTTGTGAATGCCGACTACACTTTTGACCTTTATGGCCATTGTTTTATATGACATTGTGACTAATACTCCACTTATATTTGGTGCCAAATACCAGTTTAATAGTTATCTGGTCTTCAGTTGCATGCGTATTGTCCTCGTACTTAATTCAAAGCACGGCAATGAATAATATGGATTAACATCAAAGAATAAACAACTTTGACGATGCCTATCTCCATAAAGGTACATGCACTATTAATTAGGAAAAAATAACATCAAACAAATATGGAGGGTGACATGATGGTGCACCACAAGCGCAATTGTAAATAGGAGGCGCATACCTGGCGAAATACAAGACATCGTAAAGTACATCTGATAGAATATACATGTAAGGAAATATGGCTTGAAAAAGTTAACATCTAAGTGATCTTAACTTGTTACTCGCGACAATGTCTGAAGGACAATGAAATTAGTGCATTGGAATATTTATGCAACTATTTCTTTCAGATTCGTATTTCTTTTTGAAAACTCCAATCATTGAAACTCGTATGTAATCCAATTTGAAAATGGCCCCATACACATTTTCTAATCTAAATTTTGAATTAGAGAGATCTGACATGTCAACAGCCCATTTCTTTAAGATCCCACTGTTCAAACATTGGCCCGTGATTGCTGAATTTACAGGGTACCATTTTGACCAAGAATGCCTGGCATGCTGACCATAAAACAATTCAGGCTGTTTATTTTCGGTAACTACTTCACTATAAATGTTCAAAATTGAATTTCAGTTCTGCACTCCATAACCCTTGAGAGGGTTAGGTTCATCTACAGAAAAATAAATTGAATCAACTCATGTGTCACCTATCTTGTAAATGGATTGATATTTCGATATTCAATTAAGCTTGTTTTTGATGTTGAATGCTAGAATCCATTTGGTGGTGTTCAATTTCTGGAAAACTTAAGGTATAACACATTATACACCAAATCAAATGAAAGTCCCTACTCCGGGGTGTAAATATTTATCGCAAGCAAAGAGAAATATTTTGGAGTTTAAATTCATCCAACAAAACGTTAAAAGCCCTACCGCTTGTATATGATTAGCTTTTAATTAAAACTTTACACCTTTAAAAGAAATAGCACTGGAGAAAATTAGAGGAACACTTCTTACAAGTATTTGTTTTGACAACAAATTTCCATTTGAAAAATTGAATATTTTGAGAAAGGACTTGTTGACTAGTAAAACAAATATTTTCATTGCTTCAACCACAAAGCTGATTATTTTCCAATTTCTCAGTGTCAGAATGTTTAGTCAGGGTAAACCTGTTCCATTCACATTGTAAGTAACCCCAAAATCAGGCAAAGGACCCTGCTGAAATGCTTGGCCGATCTGGGTCTTTTATTATAATTGCTACACCTTTTAGTATCTCTGGACAAGATTAATTTCTACCTAGGACAGTTAATAAGATTAGGGGCCCCCAGCTGAATCTGTTTTCACCCACTCCATCACAACAAATGACCACTAGCACCCATAAATCATCACTTAATCAAAGAAAGTGCAAACCTATTCATATTGACATCTGCTCATTAATTATTGAGCACTTTTTGATCATTATGAAATTATGTACATGTATGAATAATTTGACAATGAATAGTAATTATTTATTCTATATAACAGATTGTAAACTGGTGATGAATGAAACGATTAGCAGGAACATTTCACAATTAGATAGCAGGCTATTACACATTGACAACAAATAATTGCTTCTGTGAAACCAAATATCCTCAAAAATTATATACCGGTATCAACATCTTCATCCTTGAAGCTGACATAACGGTAACCTTCATCAGGTGACCTTGACCTTGACCTACATCAACAGCCCAAAACAGAAGGTGCAAAAGGTTTAACCATATATATCTGTATTGGGGCAGGTCTCTGCTTTGACAACTAAACCTCCCCAAAGACATGACCTTTTGCCAGGCTTCATAAAACCACAAAGGTGTAAATGGAGTTCATGTTACAGGTAAAAAATTGACATGTCTCTCGCTATCTCACCGCTGGGTGATGGGATAAGTAGATACAACGGAGACCGAATGCGGCTTACATAGCATACATTCAAAAGCTCATAAAAGAAATCAACAGAAAACGGGGCTAAAAATGCCCGCTTTTTTGCCCATTGTTGATTTTTTGACAAACTGTGAGGATTCTTGAACGACAGGTGTTAATGTTACATTATGTGATAACTGGAACTGTACAGAAATGATGGGGTACTCGCGACATACAATCTACGATTGTGGTGATAAGTAGCCATGACACATGACAAATCATCGATATATCTCTTCCCCAGTGCAAGGTGATCTAGACATTTCGATAAGAATACAATTACTGAGATTTCCTCAATGACTCAAGAGCGATTTAGTGTATTCCCACTTTCAGTGTTTTTTTTTTTTATATACACATAATTTGTGCAGTGAAAATCGATAAATATCTTTATGAACCATAATTTGCTTATAATTATATAATACATGGACAAGAATTTCAACATTTCCTTTCATATTAAAGATTAAAATGATTTTATCTTCACTAAACTTGCATTTTTCATGCAAATACAAAAACATATATCATTAAGAAAATTGTAGCCAAAAAAATCTAAATGACTTCGGGTATTTAAAATTTCTGAGAGCAAAGCTAGCCTGCAATGTATTTTATTAACTTTTAATTTACAAATTCTGAATAAATTTAATACACCATGGCTAATCCGGGTAAATATGCATTTTTTTAAATACATATTTGATTCATTTCCACTTAACCAACAGTGACCTTTCTGGTATCCAAAGTTAATTAGATTTATAGTGGTACATGAACTTCAGACTTCCTTTAGGGCATTCTTTTTTCTCAATTCCTGGTTTTTAGAAGATCAACATGGATAAACAAAGTGTCAAAAGTTTTTTAGACACCAAACCATAAAGACCTTTCTTTGCGACAAATTCTGTCCACTGGCAATTTTCATTGTTTTGTACCAAAAGATATTACAAATATGCAACGTTCCTTTGTTTGACAAAGTGAGAAAAAATTAAAAATTTAAAAAGATATAAGTAAAAATCATGAGTCTCATAACCATGTGTCACTATAAAGCTAAGCATTTTAGACACCCTATATCTAAATTAAACCCTGCTATAGGTAGTTCAAAAATCCTCTTAAATGTTAATGTTGTTGTCTTTAGATTATCGCATGTTGATGAGATCTATAATATAAATAAAATTGTGTAAAATATTTTCAATGCATAGCAGTGTACCTATACACAAAAGAATCAAAATGGTTTTCACTTATGTCCTTGAAAAAATAGGAAGAAAACTCTAAAAACAAATAAAGAATTGATGTTTTTATAAAGCCTCATTCTTTGCTTTCCATGATCTCTTATCTTTTCTAATATGTGTTTGTTAACTAAGGGAAACAAAATGTTCTTTTTTCAGTACTGTTCAATTCTCAAGTGTCTGTTTTAATCTTAGCATGAAACTGATATAAATTCAAACCCAAATATGTATTCTTTTTTAAATGACTGTCAAGTTTCATTGGAACATTACAAGGCAATTACTGCACTCGAAGTGGATGGGAACCTGACATGATTTTAAAATGATTTACCTGTTAAAGGCACCTGCAAATCTTTCCTACCTTTAGGATCATTTATATCATCTCATGCAATCAACCAGATGTTTTATTGGAACAGATTTTTTCAATGTTGTAATACCCCCAACTTTGAATGTAAAGTGTTATCATAACAACTTTGAATATCACATGCTTGAGTTTGCAGGGGATCATCTCGTTTTTCTAACTTTTGTGCCAAATGATGTAGAAAGCACTTGTTGAGAAATTGGATGAAATGCCTTCTGAAAAATGATCAATGTTATGCAACAAAAGGAACACTGTCTTAACATAAATTAACTCTCTTTAAGTCCTGCATTATGTCTCCAAAATACATGTATATGGCTTTTCCAACAGGTGCACCCTGGCATGAAGATTCATGTTTAGTCTTTGAAGAACATATTTTGTGCTAATTTAATTACATCCCCCTTTTGATTAAATCCCTGCCAGTGACACAAGCCATTCATTTCTGCAGAGGAAGGTGTAATTATTTCCTCAGAAAAACCATACTTCACAGTCTCCATAATTTTATAGTGACATGTATGACTGCCTTACACAAGCGCTTTGATTTGTCAAGAACAACTTAATGAATGTTATGTTCATTAAAGTGGTTCTTGTCAAACAAGCACTGAATGTCACAGAGATATAGGACAATAAGAGAAAAACACGTCTTACCTTCATTGTCAATACTGAAAAATCCCAGACCACTTCCTTCTCTGATGGAGTAGGTGACAGGGGTTGCCATGGAAACTTCCAGAGGATCCGCATCAGGGTCATGAGCTGTGACGGTCATGACCTTTGAACCCACTGGAATGTTCTCCTTCACAATTCCATATCCCACGAAATCTCCGAACTCCGGCGCTTCATAGTTCTCATTCACATCCACTACTTCAATGTTGATGGAGCATGCAGACACCATGGATGGAGTGCCCCCATCTTCTGCATGAGCACTTAAATTATACACCTGTTTGGTCTCGTAGTCCAGAGGTTTGAGGAGGCGGATGACTCCGGTGTCGCCGTCAATTTCAAACGTGTCCTCGACGCCATAGATGAGGCTGTACGTCAGCCTGCCATTTTCTCCCTCATCCCCGTCCTCAGCCTTGATGGTGGTGACCACAGTTCCCACAGGAATGTCCTCTTGAATCTTGATATCATAATTCTCTGGGACAAACTTAGGGATGTTATCATTGTCATCTAGCAGAATCACTTTAACAGTGGCTGTAGAGGACAGGGGTTTCTTGCCAAGATCACTAGCTCTCACTGGAAGATAGTACACACTTTGTATTTCTCTATCTAGAGGCTTCTTCACAGAAATTATTCCACTTTTTGAATCCACACAAAACTTGTCTTCTTCTCCAGCTAAAGAGTAGACCACTTCCCCATTGTTTCCAATATCCCGATCTGTAGCTATAACTTGCACCACTGTGGCATTCACTAGGATACTTTCAAACACCGAGGCCTCATATTCATCTTTCTCAAACTCTGGTTCATTATCATTCTCATCTTTCAAACTGATACTAATAACAGTTGAAGCAGACTTTCTTTTTGTTGATTCTGCCATATCTGAGATTTGGATTTCAAGGTTATATTTTGGTACATGTTCTCTATCTAACTTAGAAATGACTATGAGGTCCCCAGAGAAAGGGTCAACTTTAAACTGGTCATATGGGTCACCATCCAGGAGAGCAAATTGTATCAAGCCATTAAAGCCAGGGTCTTCATCAGTAGCCCCAATTTTTAAAATGCTAGTGCCTATAATTGTACTTTCAGAGATTTCTAGTGTGTTGGATAGGGTAGAATTGAACTGGGGTGCATGATCATTAGTTGTTTCTATGGCTGCTAATTTGGGTTCAATGGAAGGACCATCATTGTTATTATGACTGGACACCTGCAGTATCTTGAGAAGTCTATCTGAAGCATCTGTGTTCTGACACTGCACATTGGCATCCTTATTCGACAACTGCATATTCTTTTTATTATTAACCAAAGTCAAGTTTACGAAAACTGGATCAGAGTCAAATTTTCCATCGCTGACGACAATGGTGATCTGACGTTGGTCTTGGTTGTGCTCTTCCATGCTACAATTCAGAGTTAACCTTCCCGTTCTTGGATCAACTTCAAAGCAGCCATCCTCATTGCCAGACTTGATGGAATACGTGAGATCACTGTAATCAAAGTCCACCGCTGGAGTGGTGACAATGTCTGTCCCCATGGGAGCCTCACGGGACAGGTACCCTGAGCAATTTATTTTCTCAAACAATGCACTGTTGTCATTCACATTGTGCAGTTGAAAATAAAGAAGAATTTCTGATTCCCTGCTGAAAGGGCTGCCCCAATCTGTTGCTCGGACAACAACCCTGTAGTCTTTTCTCATGGTCTCATAGTCAAGGCTTTTAGTGAGTTTGATATCACCCGTAAAATGATCAATTTCAAATGGCAATGATTCTTGGTTAGTGATGGAATAACTGACTCTGGCATTCATGCCTTGATCAGCATCTGTAGCGACTACTTTGTAGATTACAGTGCCCTCAGGTGTATTTTCATCAAAAACGATATTAGTCTGATTAACCTGGAAAACTGGGGCATTGTCGTTTGTGTCAAGTATGTCTATGGTGAGAGTTGCGGATCCTCTTAGAAGAGTTCCTATGGATTTTGGATCGTAAGCATTGATGACTAGTTCTACCGAGGAATCGGTCTCTGCATCTAAAAGAGAGGCAGTTCTAATTAAACCGGTTTCTTTCTTGATTTCGAATAAATTCTTGTCATTTCCAGATGCAATTTCGTACATGAGTTGAGGTTTTACTCCCTTTTGATTTGTAACACTGGGTTGTACGTAATACACAGAGGAACCTATCGGAACGTCCTCTGCAACTGACGCCTTGTAACGGTCAGAGACAAATATAGCACCATAGTCGTTAAGGTCATCGATATGAACATGAATTTTTTTGTCAGTCACTTTTGGGGGATTTCCTGAATCGGAGGCTTTTATGGTTATATAGAAATTGTTAAAAATGGAGCTCTCGCGCTGAGAGTTTGTATACAATAGGTGATATTCACCGACAGTGTCTTTTGATGGAAGCACTTTAAAAAGACCACTTGGATCATTATAGATTGAAACATTTTTGATTTCACCATTTTTCCCAATGTCAACATCTCGAACAGTTAACACAGCATACACGACACCAGACGTCCCTGTATTTTTGATGTTAGGAAAACTTTTCACAATTATTTCTGGTGCATTAGAGTTTGCTTGTGTGACATGTATTGTTATGTTCGCATTTCTTTGCATGGCAGCACTGTATATTGATTTGGGTCCCCTATCTTGGGCAGTCACTGTGAGATGGTATATGCGTCTTTCCAAAAAATTTAATGGTCGAGTGACTGTTACGGCTCCTGAGGTTGGATGAATGGCAAAGGAATTTGTCTTTGTCACAAGACTGTAGTACACTTCTGCATTGATTCCTTCATCACCGTCGGATGCAGAAACAGTCAAAATAGTGGAATGTAATCCAGTGTCTTCTGACACAGTAGCATTATAATTTTCCCTGTCGAATAAAGGACTGAGATCATTCTTATCCTGCACTCGGATTATCACATTAGTATACGTTGTTAAAACATCCCTCTGTGTCACTTGTCCTGTTGCTTTCACTTTTAAATAATATTTACTAATTAATTCACGATTTAGACTCCCATAACTACTAGTGTGTGTACGAATTCGTAAAAACACAAAATCTCCCACTCTCTTATGCTCCACTTTGAAAATATCTGAGCGATCATCGTCCACGATTCTGTAATTCACTTCCACTTTGGGATCTGTGATGTAAATGCCCATTTTCTGCGAGGCAGTGATATAACTTCTGCTGGGTGCCCGCTCTGGGATGGTGGCATTGTAAAGCTGCGATGTGAAGTGAAACTGGTCCTGTGACATCACTTCCCCCTGCGTCCATGGTAACCGGAGGACCAGCGCCACCATCCATAATTGGAACCATTTCCTGCTGTCCCACCAGTCTTGGGCAAAACTACCCATGCTGTTTAAAGTCTTCACATTTCTGTTCGAAAAAAAAAGAGACCAAATGAATTAAAAGACAGACTGCTTACTAGGACAAATTTATTAAATGTCATTTGGTAAAGCATAGATCAGGAAGATCGACAGGTTTTATGACTGAACAAATCCATTAACAGCTTTAAAAAAACAAATTATCAATATACACGACTACCCCACCGAGCGTCTAATGTTAGTAATTGAAGTGTAGATCCATGTCATTACATAGGACCTAGGGACTCTTGCACAACAATGCCGTAAATGATTACTTTTTGTCACTCTCCCCCTGAGGCTAAATTGTAATTAAATTCAGGACAAGGTAACTTGTCAATCATTGCACAGGATATGCTCATCAAACAACCATGCTCATTTTTTTTTTTTAAAAAGTCTTTACCTATACAAATGATATAACCCTCTTACTTAGATTTAAATTTAACAGAAAATGACTTCTTCAGCTAAAACGCATTGCACAAGGGTATTAGAAAATATAACAGCTGTGTTTGCATGTACTGTAATGTTTAGAAAATACATTGAAATGCATACATGTATTAATAATCGGTACACAGGTGGGCAAGTATTAGATCTTTTGTAATCAATAAGTGCATATACTCATGTCCTAATAAGCAAAAGATTTATAAACCCTGAATCTCCAAACTAGCCTATAAATGCTAATCAAGGTTCTTGGCCATCTCAAATCTTTCTTGTAAGCTCCTAATATTTCAATCTTTTAATTCAGATTAAAGAATATTCTCCATAAACCCCCGATCATAACAACAAAAGGAGATAAATATTGGAGAAAGGTCAGACCGATTTGCTGAATGTCCAATTATCAGATGACAACAAATTTTACGATAGGGGGTATTTAGATTAGCAGCAGGTTACGGCAACTCAGTAAATCCTGTGCAACCATATTATCTATGAAAACTACAGGTAATCGGCCAAAAATAATATCTACCCATCTCTCCTTAGACTCATTCACCAAAAAGATATCATATCAGATAGGGGCCCCGATTTTGATACTCATTCATAAAGATTATGAATTAAATATACAACGTAATTATTTATATTCAACACACCTGCAGTCAACTCCCATATACACGACACAACCTAAACACAGCATGGTCATATTTCAACGTCCAACATAATTCACACATTTCAGAAAACACTGTCTAAAAAAAACTCTGTGCCATACCTTTTAAGTTAGCCAGAATCAGGTGTAAATCCATTGAGTAAAAGTGAAACACTATTAATCAGCACTTTAGCACTTCAGCCAAACCTGTAAAGTCTTGATCAATCACCTAAGCTTTCCAGATCAACCCTTCTTTTTTCTCTGTTATAGTCCTAACACAACACACACGGCTCTGACAAAAACTCTACCAATCTCTTATCAGATGTGTTTTCAATTTTTCCAGGTGAAAGGGCCACATCTAGAGCAGTGAAGAAGGAAAGACTTGTTTAGTCGAAAAAAATGCTCTGAGCCGTGATAAAAAAGACAAATTAATTTACATAACAGACCGTTGGTTTCCTGGGCTCTTTCCATTGAATGTGGTGTCAAAACCAAAACAACGAGACGTAACGCACTCCCTAACCCACCGAGCACACCTGTGCATCTACCTTTATCAGCGTGCTAATGTGTGCACTTGGTCAATATATGAATGAATGTAGGAAAAATAGGTAAACCCAGTAGATTAATTCAAACACTGGAATTCACCTTTAAATTATCAACCACAATACATTATCCTCTGTCATAGCAAATTAAAATTCATGATCCACTTAGCTAACTATAAAATTAATTTTTTACTTATGTGTACATTTGTATTCTAACAGATAAAAAAGGTTGATTAAAATTTTATTCAATAAGCATTTTTTCTTCTTAAATATATCTGTTTAGCTCTATAAAACACACAGTGCAAGTAAATTTAAATTTTAATGAGAAAAAGTTCAATGCACTGACTTTTAATAATCTGAATCTTGAAATGTGAAGAGATGGTTTAATTAAACGTTTCTGCCTCAATTCATTTAAAAATTGTGTACTCTATAATTTGCATACAGTCCTGATTTTAAATCAGGTGAAATTTTTTTTTATTACCTCCAGCAATAGAGTTGAAAATCAACTTTTTTTTCTCGTACCCAACACAAGGTAAAGTATTAATTTACTGCAGCAAAGTATGACCACCCACAAAGGTATTGAAAAATATCGGTCATTTTCTTAAGGGCACCCTACTTTAACCTTTTTTTTTTCTCCCTGCCCTAGCTTCGCCAATGCTTTTTATTTAGCGTACCAGATGAAAATCATAAGATGTGATATAAACACAGAAACCTGAACTAATAAACAGCTGATTGTTGAAAAAAGGGATTGATTGAAAACATTGGCAGCTGAAAATTTGGTAATTCAATACACATTTAAATATATACCTTTACACATTATTGTTTTAAAAAGAACAGAATAAACTGAAAGGTATGTATATACACTGTATATTAAAATAACTGTTCGTGTCATACATACCTACGCAGTAAAGTGCCAAAAATCTCATCATTTGATACACACAAACAAAACAATACTTGGAAATGTCACACAGTTGACCAATTATTATACATTTAAACACATGTTGTAAACCTTGTACAAATGAACACTCAGTATTCAGAAGAGAAGTTTCTTAAACCAAAATTATGGACATGCAGTCAAAGCCAATGATTATCCTTTACTTTCTTATCAAACATTAACACACCCAAGATCAGCTTGTAAAACGGATATTAACCAGAAATTGGCACATACTTGCAATGGATGTCCCCAGAAATAAGGTACATATAAAAGCTCTGACAATGCTAGGACTTGTGGATCACAGCTGGCCAAACCCTAATCCCATTGACAAATTCAGTGTTTAATGGCTGTGGTTTACCCATGTCACTCGGTGGCCTTTGTATCTTGTCAAACCTAGTCTGACTGTGTCTATGGGGCCCCTATTAAGAACTCATCTTTGGCACTTCAAAAATACATCCCGACTGAAGTGAAAAGTCAACAATAATCTACTTGCAGCTAATCAATGGGAATTAAATCGGACAGTTACATAAATATTGGGTGATTTTCAAATTCAATACACTTACGAAACACCGATTATGTAATAGACAAAGAAAGGGTGTAGTGCATATAGTCGTTAAAGCCTTCATTAACTTACTATAAAAAAAATACTTAAAATTTGGATAAAAAATATTTGAATAATGATGTAAAAGTCTAAAGATACATGAAAACCACAATGATACGCATATTTTATGCAATGAATTACACCCAAATTGCAATTAAATAACCCAGCATTGTGTTTCATTTTCAGAGAAATTGAATAACAGCTGATGCGCATTATTTACCGGCAATGTTACTATCTGTTCGCTATCCTAAAGTCAACAAACTTTAATTTTACTTGTCCAAATATTGGCGATATATTCTGTCTATATAGTTTATGTACACAGGTGTACAGTCACACAGATATAAACCTGTCTCCAGTGTTACTGGCATAGATGTAACAGGACGTGTAGGCTGTCTGACATTCAAAAGGCCGTAATTAGCCGATTACCCCACACTTCCACCAGTGTTTTCATTTGGAAGGTTGAATATACATGTGCATAAATTTTGCTAATTCAGAGGACAAGCTTTTTATAAATGTTTGTTAATTCAGTACTCCTAACATGTTTATAATATAGAATATGTGGGAGTGATATAAATACACCAACCTATAAAAAAAAACACCGAGTTCTTTTTCTTCCTCCAAAAGACCTTAAATAACTCTCATTTAAGAATTATTATCAGAAGAGGCTTCTAATATTTATTGAACTCAATCAACCCCACTAAAGAGATGGTTGATAACTTTATACATGTACAAATATTTTGACAAGGGTTTCGACAAGAAAAATAACAACATCTAAAGAAGCTTTTGTATCATCAGCAACCTGTGCCACTGTTATTCTAACAAATCAGGGCTGTTAAACCCAGGTAAAACCTCCCCAAAACAAATCACCTTTCTTCTGATAAGAACTTCTGACCTCAACAATCAGTGGAGAAAGAGAACACAAATTAGGTTCGTGGACCCAACAAAAGATGACATTTGTTAGGGTCTATCTAAATAAAAACTCCACCATTGTATTTGTCATAACACACTAACACCTCCCCTATAAAACCTAACCCAAACAGTGCAGTAATACTTATTTGTGGAGGTGAAAATGACTATTGATATTTTATCTGAACAGCTCCCAGTACAGAAAAAAAGAGAGAAAAAAAGAGTAAAACTCGATATGGGTCTAGATTGCAGTCGATGAGGGTACCCTATACATGAATTACAAAGGTCTGTCGAGAGAGAAAAAAAAAGATGGCAAACTCTGATAGTATTTATGTCATGTGTGGTGGTTTATGTGTTCGGAAGTGTGGTAGATTATCGTGGTTCACTGGTCACTGATGTTGATGTCGGCCAACTGAGAGACAGTGAGACGGCCCAACATTGTCATAACAATCCATCAAATTAAATCTCAAAACGTACAAAAAAAAATCCGTAAATTTCAAAAACAAACAACTCAGACCAAGGAGTGGACCCAAAAAAGCCTTGTAATATTGATAATATACAAAATCTCTTTGTGCATATTGCATACAAATTTACATGGCATGACAACTCAGCCAAGGCCAAGAAAGACTTAGGATGATTGAGTGCTCCGGGTCTTTTCTTGATCTTCACTCTTGCAGAAGAGTACCGGGTTTGTTGACATGTCAAAGGCAGAAGATTTCAATGCAATCAGAGGAATTTATTTCAGATGATCTGCGAAATCAATAGAACCGAGAAAGACAAGACCATCATCTCATACCACGATGAATCACTGCATATTGCTGCACCAATGACTGCACCAAGCATATAAAGACACCATCTTGTTCAAACACACTGTCAAATACAGATGTTGTATCCAACATAAATCTTTACGAAACATTTTTAATTGCCTTGTATGCCAACAACAAATAAAACTTAAAATAAACCAAAAAATAATACCCCAAAAAATTATCTCAGCAACAGAACACTGGGATTTTCATTATTTTCATACATAAATTCTAACACATTTGTAAAGTGAAAAAATAAAAACTTGCAGTCAACTCGTTTACAACTTAACCTTACTTGTTATATATTAAACTGTTCAATACTGATATTTGTTTTCACTACCTGGATCACTTTCTTTGGCAAACAAGCCTGAAAAGCTCTGCATAAAAGTTATAAATTCTCTTTTACTCCATAAATAAAAGAATTAATTTATTAAATACTGGGATCAATCAGACTGAGGTCTTTCATGTAATGTGTGTACGTGTCCTGAATTTTTGCCAAGCTGTCTCTGACTCCATTCCTACATTGTGTTCTATAACTGACTTCTGTCCCCTTATCTAACTTGAAAATGGTCACAACTGTATTGTTCTGAGCCCGTCATTAAATGCTCAACACCCAACCCAGGCTAATAAACACCTTAAGCATGATAGAATGGCGGATAAAGTCAAAAAGTACCCCCTATATTATGTACCGTGTCTGCCCAGAACATTAAACAGATTACAATCACTTCGTCCCTAATAGTCTCTCTGGCCAGGTAAGTAGGTGGGGATTTTTATATGGGTAAAATGACTCCTCTCCATACCTGTGTCTAAAACTCCAGGACGCCATTAGAACTCTTGCATGACTTTTTATTATTTAATTTACTTGTTATTTATTTTGTACAAACTGTTGAACACTTCTAATTCATCCTGTTATAATATCTCATGTAGGGAGAGGGCGATTTAAGTTTTTAGAACTTGTGCCCAATCCCATTGTATATATTTTGTGCAATAAAATATGTTCAAATCAAATCAAATCTTGCATGACTAACACCATTTTTACTGTTTCTCCTTCTCCCCACAAAAAAGGAAAGTGACTTAGTATAGGCAGTGACAATAACAAAACCCTGACCAGCTGATAAAACCATGCTTTGATTACATGTCATTGAGCCGGGACATCCCTGTGTGATCTATGTGATTTAAGGAAAACCTGTACAAACCAGCAGGGGTCACTGCTAGACCTAAATCACCAGCTCAACATAAGACCCCCACTGAATAATAGACACCAAAGAAAAAAAAATACAAGTTTAAAAAAAATACAGGCTTAAATACCCCCACGATTTAAATAGATGATTGATCTAGGGAACATGGGGGTAAACATGAGACATAAATTTCTCTCTGTTTGGGCCAATAACCCTGTTTGAATGGATCAAGGAAACAACATTAATATCCTGTATTTTTCTTAGAGTCTCTGAACCCAAATTTATACATAAGTATTTATTCTTCTTCAT